TCGCCTGTGAATGAGGTAACCTGCCAACAACCGCCGGAAGGTCTTTGGAATCCCAGGCAAAGGGTCGCAGCTGAGCTCCGCCATAGGCAGCAAGGAGTCGATGATCAGCAGAATGGTGTGGGATAGGCCTAACACCCATTCCGAACGCTCCTGAAGGCTGAGAATTGCTGAGATAATGCTGAGATATGCTGAGATATTTTTCAGAACAGAATGTCAGAACGAAGAGAAGTTGGTGAATTGAGTGAAGCGTCTCAGAGTTGGTCAGGTTGCATGGCCCATTCGTGAGCAGTCCTCCTCAGCTTCCCTTTCTTGAGTACTTCGCACAGCAAAGTAACAGCATGGGTCTGGCTCCTGCAAAGAAACCTGCATGGCTCACCGTGGGGGTTATGGATAAATATGGAGAAAATAACTTAAGCTTTAGCTGCAGAATGATCCAAAGTTGGACCACCCGCAAAGCCAACCATAAAACCACTCTTATTCCATTCACCAGTGAATCACCTAATCGTATTGGGTTCACCATAGCCCCATGGCTGAACCATGGCCACCGCAGGCGCCTTGAAACTTTTGAGTCTAGCACACTCACCTGACCTTGGTGGTACCATCACCGCTGACGGAATTTTGTGGTAACGAGTTTGAAAGTGTGTCCAAATTGTCCAAAGCAATCAACACAGGATGGCGAAGCAAAGAAATGTGATCCAACATGCGTAGAGGTTTGAGAAAACAAAAACTGGCCAAATGGTGAGATATGATTCATCCCTCCTTCGCCTCCTTTAGATGAACACGTTATAGCGCGTCGTGCATCCATCAAATTCCCGAGTTTTTTGACGTATCAGGATCCTTTTGACTGGAAAAACATTACAGTACAATGCCATTTTTGGATACTTTTGGAACATTCAACATAGCACGAATACAAGAGTTGATCCAGTCTAGGAAGTCCAAGTGATTCAAAATGTTCTCGAGCTGCGGGGATCACCCTCCACTTTGCTGGCTCAGTTCCAAATCTTCCAGTTTAAAAGAACCCAAGTGACTGGAAGCGGCAGTTCCTGATCAACGAAAAAGGTGACAGAGACACTGACGCCTGCAGCGCCCATCAAAGCTCCCCAACGATCAATGCAAAGGTGGGAACCTAAAACTACAAAGGTGAGAGCTAGCAAGAAAAAACTATCTGATCAGTCTGATAACTACAGTAGTCCAATGCCGACCCAAAAGTCAATCAAATATACCCCATTTATGTGCTATTCAAAATATAGAAAAATCATCAGATTACATCAAAATCAGATAAGTCAGTCCCCTTTCTATATATATATATATTTCATGGGTTTCCCTATGGTTTTCCATGGTTTTTCTCATGAAAATCATCAAAAACTCACCACATCGGATCGCCTCCCGGCCATCCAGCGTGGAGAAGGCGAAGCCGTTGACGAAGAGACTGAAGGTCACCGACTCGAAGCGGTCCTGGTTGTTCTGCGGCGGTTATGGTTACGTAATCTGAAAAAAGATAAAAAAGGGATCAATATCTTCGAAGGAAGTTTAGAAGTCAAACTTCCGACAATATGGACACATGAAAAGCAGAGGTGGGACGAGTCAGAGAAGAGAAGAGAAGAGAAGAGAAGAGGAGAGGAGAGGAGAGGAGAGGAGAGGAGAGGGGTCAAAAAGTAGGCTTGCTAAAGCGGCGGGTGCGGAGCCATGTGGTCAGATGAGAGATGACAAGTTGCACACCGTTGTGGCGCGAAGCACATTTCCAAGTCAAAATGTACAAAACACCTCAGCTTCGGAGCACGTTTAGAAGTTGCGATGTCGAGAAAGTGCACGCCGTTGCGGCGCGAAGCACATTTGCAAGTGAAAAGCTAAAACACTCTACGTTCAGAACACTTTTGGAAGTTGAGATGTCGAAAAAGTGCACGCCTTTGTGGCGCTAAGCACATGTCGAAGTCAAAATGTACAAAGCACACCACGTTCAGACCGCTCTTGGAAGTTGAGATGTCGAAAAAGTGCACGCCGTTGTGGCGCGAAGCACATTTCGAAGTCAAAAGTGTAAAAAGCTGATGGGTTCGGAGCACTTTTGGACATTCAGATGTCGTTTTGCGTGGCGGGCGCAAGGGATTGTGCACCTTGTCAAAAGTGAGCAAAACGTGAAGGTTTTGTAGCAGTTCCAAAAACGATGCCAGGCTTGGGACATTTGAAGAAGATCTGCAAAGGTGCATTTTCCGTGGCAGGCACAGTACAAGAGACATGTTCATCAGAGATGTTAGGAGGTCGGGGCGCTGATTTCCTGAGAGGGGTTGCATTTTAGAGCATCAGATCTTCAGGTTTGCTGAGATGATTTTGTGTGACAGGTGCAGCACTTCGTATGACCTGGCATCACTTTTTCGTGGCAGGCGCAGTACTTTAGACAGGTGGAGTGGAAAAATCGCAAAACGCGTTTTTTACGAGGCCGTCAGCTCTGCACTACACTAATTACACCACACCACGACTACAACTGCAACTGCACTTGCAAATACACTAATTACACTACATTACAGCTACGGCTCCACTACGCTACATTACACTACAACTACAGCTACAACTGCAACTGCACTACAGCACACTACATCCAGCAGTTGTGGTAAGGTGACCACTGGAACCATTGCAGCCATTCCAAAAAACACAACTCCAACCACCTGTCGGTCCATCAGTGGATTCGCTCTGCCATCCATGATTCACAACAACCAACCTCTCCTATAGGTTTCCCATTTTTGAAACTTCCGCCACCGCCTTGTGCGGTACTACTGGTATTAATTATTATATAATGGTATATTTCATTATATCATTGAAGGTAGATGGTACTATAGATTCGTACAATAGATCTTCTACAGATGGTACAATAGATGTCAAAATAGATGTTCTATGTCTGCTATTTAGGTTAGAAAATGTTACAAGTAAGAGGTCCTATGTCTTAGAGGTGTGGGATACATGTCACATACACACCCTTAGAACTGGGATATTTCATGGGGTATGGCAATGCAAAGGCCATCTTTGAGCATGAGTTCAACCCATGGCTGACTAAATCCTATAAGAATCTCTGGTTTATCAAAGGATGGAAAGTCAGGATGTTTTGAAATTGATACCCGTCAAGCCGATCGATGATAGGATGATTGATGATAAATGGATGCGTTCCACAACAGCTTGCGCAAACAGTAGCTTGGTTCAAGCCTTGTAGCTGTCTATTTACAAAGTGAGGGTCTCTGACGGCACAAAGTGGACTAGAAAGGAGCTTTCTCAAAGCATCTGGTACTCAGTGCTCAGCAACATGTCAACCCAGCACTCCTCCTCGCACATTTTTGCCTGCATTTGTGCAAAGATATTTTCAGACACCAGTCTCAATCCAAACATTTGGAGGCATCATTGTGCCATCCAAAGTTTCAACCACCTGCCCGCACGATATTCACGCAGGTCACGGCGCTCAGAAGTTCTGATGCGGCTGTGCCACAGAGGCATGTTGTTGAGCCTGCAGGGATTGGTACCCGTATGCTGGGAGTAAATTCAGTGGTCCCCAAAAAGAAGTAGATGCCCCGTTCAGTATGCCCGCGGGGAATTCTACTGTGATACTATGCTTGTTGATATGCTATATGCTGATGTATCATTTCAATCCTTGATATCGGGTGATCAGTGACTTGTGAGATCTCATTTCGGAAAAAAAAACAACAACTTTCAGAGCTGTGCCTTCATATTGATCAACCAAACTTGTATCGTTGACAAGTTGGCAGAAATGAGGAAGCGATCAACATGTGCACAAGGATAAAAACATGGTACATGGTCTGGTCATCCATCCCATGATGGGAATCCTGAGTCTACAAATCCCTACCAATTCATTGATGACCATCCCCCAATATGGGTAATCCAACTTTGGACGATGGCACATGTGAATGAGCGCTGCAATAAGTGGGAATGAGCCGCAACGTACCTGCTCGTGGAACAAATCAGCAAGCGGGTGGACCTTCCAAGCTCTGATGCTGAGCAGGAACGGAGTCTGAACTAGTAGGCCGACCGACCTTCCTTAAAAAGTATATACTAATATCTGATTCATCGAATATATGCTCCAACCAGCCTTTCAGAACAAAGTGTCAGAAACATTAAAATGGCAAATCCGCACACTTTAGCTTGTCGAAAAGGCAGTCCGTTCATTCAGCCCAGGTCGTCTTCCCCGACCTTCTCGCCGTCTTTGCTGCATAGAAGGGTACCACCAGGTCCAGCCTGAAAGGATGCTGGTCCTCTACCCTTGTCACGTGAAACATGGTTACCTAAGGTTGTTGAAACCCATCCAAGATCATGTAAGCAAAAGTATGCCGAACTTCCCATTTCAGTCACCCCGGGGAACAGGGGTTGCTGTACACACGTAGACACACCAGTTGTAAATGCGCTTCAGCCACGAGTTTGTGACCAGTGGGACCAATACCCTAAGCTCAGCACCTGCAAATGGACACGATGTTTGCCGATCATGTAGTTCCCGGGACCTGAGTCGGTAAGAAGAACATCACTTTTGGACCATCACCTGATGCGGCGAGTCATACTTGAGGATTTTGTGGGTACCTGAGTCTTTACCCTACTCACATTAGAATGATGGCACATCCAAATCAGTGAATTGGGCTGCATTCATCTGTTTGTGCTGACCAAACCAATCTGCACTGGTTTTTTTCTCATTAGCAAACGACGCAACTCAAATCCATGCCCCTTTTTCAACCACATGGTAGTCATGGCAGGTTTGTGGCCATCTTTCGCTGATGATATTCTCATCTCAGTTCTCCATCCACACCCGGAAGTTCTGACGATTTCTGACGTCTCTCAGTCTCAGTGCCGCTGCCTCTTGTGTAAAAGCCATCACTTCCCAGATCTGCTGGAGCTGGGCATTCACCAAATTCTCGGACTTGTTGAACTCTTCGCATGGTACTTTTTCCGTCAGGTGCAACCCTGGTCGTGCCGCTGGTGTCACTCATCCAAGGAAGTCATCCTGGAAGGCCAGGTCAATAGCCTGAGTGGATTCCCATGGCAGCATATGGCAGCATCATGGCAGGCAGCAACAAAAATAACATGGTGATTATAAATGGGTACCCGGTGATGAGTGGAAGTAAACATCCAATGTACAAACATCATTCAACTGCTTCTCTAGTGATCATATGTGATCATGATGATTAATATGCTTTAAAGATCCATATTAATTAGTGATGGTACTTTACCTTCATGCCATTGTCTGAGCATCCACCGGAGCAAGCACATTGCTGTGGCATTGTTGTACAGTCACCTTAGGCATCGACCCACGGCGCTGGACAAAACTTCTTCTCGAAGAGCTTCATCCACAAATTGCAATGCTGAACCAGATTGATGGACTGCCTCAGCGATGCACAAAGCCAATTCGGGCATGCTGCGGATGCATGCTGTTCTTGCTTGCCGTTTCTGCAGAGCTGGGCAACTTGTGGGGAACCATCGAACCAGACACAAAATCCAACAACACGATCCTACGATCGTCAAGTTTCACGTCAGGGAAGGAGTGAAACTGCATTTCAAGAAAAGAATCCCAACTGAGTAGCAAGTGAGAACCTCCAAAAAAAATTAATCTATGTAATTATGGTCTGTAGCTAGAATGCTAAAAATGAACACCCCAGACATCTCCACATTGAGTGTAGTAATCGTCCCCAACGGGGCAAACAGGAACTAGCCGGCCTTGTCCAAAAACAAACAGCCAGCTGTGTTGGGAACACTGCAATTTCCATCTTCAGAAATTATGTTTGGGATTCTTGGGGTTAACTTTGATTTCTTATAGAGATTACCCTCTGGTAATTTAACATAGCTATTGAAAATGACCATTGAAATAGTGGATTTTCCCATTAATAGCATGGTGATTTTCCATTGTTATGTGGCTGTTTACCAGAGGGTATACAGTCACAGAGTCACACACAAACACAGTAACTTTGCCCGTCTCCAACGAAGCCACTGCTGAAATCACTTCTCGATCAGCTCGCAGATCATCTGAAGCAAACTGGAGCGCCATGCAGTCCTGTCGTGCCAAATGGTCGGATGTCGTGAATTTGGCACGGGGAAATGATGTCCGACCTATTCAAAAAGCTATCATAATTGATATCAATTGGTTGAAAGGGTCTGGATCTCACAGGATTTTGGTGCCCAAAATCTTCAACGTAGGCATGCTCGGAGATCCCATCATGCCATACATGGAACCGGGTGGAAACTGTTCATTGCTGTGCGAGTAAGGTGGTGCCGGGCAAAGGGTCGACCCTTAAACAGCATTATACACCAACTGGAGAAGCCCAAATCAGTGGATGCTTGGGGTTACCAAGGCTGACACATATCTTGTTATTATATATGTTATTATAATATTGATGTATCATGTTTTATCTTGTGTTGTCTTGTTGGATGCAACTCTTCATGCTATTTCGACACAAAGAAACCTGCATCGAAAACCAACCCCTGCCAAATCCACAGCAAAATCCAGCAACAAAGATCGTTCGCTTGGCAGGGTCCCTGCGGACATGAATAGATATGTTCCTGTTTTAGCTCAATCTCGAAGACCCACCTGCGCAACTGCTGCCATCACAATCTCTCGATCTTGCCTGCAGAACGTTTGGAGCCCATTCCCAAAGCCTCAAAGTTCAATCAGAACTTATCCAGCGAAGATGTCTACAAAATGTAGTCTTTCACAGCAAAGAGGCGCAGTCCAAAGAGAAGAAGAGTTGTCAATCTTGTATGTATGTCTGAATTGGGAATACTCCTCACATACTGGAATCTCTCTAGGGAAAGGATATCAATCATCAGTGGATTCAGATTTGTTTAATGGGTTTTACCTAAATTTTCACTCAAACCCCATCTCTGCTGTCAGTAAAGCGGCCCCACCTGTAGATCTCTTGCATTTCCCCAAGGTGGCGCCAATCGTGTCGCACCGCTTTCAATGCTTCGTGGCGCTCCATGACCGCTCCTGGTGTTTAAGCCGAGGCATGAAATTCACCGAGGCTCCTACACTGAACTTGAATATAAAACAAGAAACTATGTCACATTCTTTTAGAGGTTGAGAAACCCTTCTGAACATGTTTATATTTGGGAAACTAGTCAGTTTTCTGGAGGTTTTCTGTGCAGGGCAAAAATTCAAGGGATCAAATCACCCAGGTTGGCACCAGGAGGCAGCACCCTGCCATTCATCTGCGTAAGTAAGTTTTCATGACATAAAAAAGGGGGTTTCCTAAAGTAGGGGTACCCCCCAAATCATCCATTTTAGTAGGATTTTCCATTATAAATTATAAATCATCCATTTGGGGTACCCATATTTATGGAAATCCCCATATGCATCCATATGCCAATTGCAAGATGTGCAGTGAAACAAACGCACGAGATCACTCGGAACAGCCACAACTATCGGGTCCTCCAGATATCTGTACTGCTGGAGGACAGCGTACCATAGCGATGTCGTGAAGCCTTCCTGCCTGGGGGCTTGATGAGCCATGGAATGAGAAAGAAATCGGTCCGAAAGACAAAGCGTTGACGTTTCAGCTTGAGATTCCAAATTCAAGGTAGGATGCAAAAATGGTCTTCAACTTTATGATGTAGAATGTCAGACATAGTTGTGTTCCATTTTGCAAATCTGCCATTCAACGTCCGTTTCCCACGCGTTTCCACCAGATTTCACTCATTACCCCCATGGCATCCCATGGCACCACTGGGCGCCTCAAGGGGAAGAACTTCTGTCAGAAGCACAGGATCTTCCAAGAGGTCCATCTCGTAAATCAAGCGTTGCTCTGATGGAAGGACTCCACAGATTGATTTGATCACTGCCTGAGGAGTGCACCACAGCAACAGCAGGTTTCATCAACTCCCGCCACGGTCACTGCCCTCGGCAAAACAGCCACTGCCAAACAAGAAGATCCAACTTCAAACTGGAATTTACATAAGCTTTGAAACATCTCTGCAAGAAGGACGGGCCAAGGTGTGGACTTCTTCCACAACTCTTCAAACATGTCCTATAGACTTAGAGAGGTCTGTCGATTTTGGGTCCAGTACACCCAATCGGGAAAGTCAATGCACCGTCCCTCTGAAACACAAATCACCATGGGACGGTGCGCATTTGGGAAGTCAGAGAAGTCAGTGCAAAATCATGCAAATCAGCATGGGACGCTGTGCGCCAGTAATCATCTATTTCGTTTAATGTTCGGTGTTTTTTATGGCTGTAAAATTCGGAAGCATATTGTGGACGCTGCATCTATGCAGTCATTGTTTTAGGTTATTTTGAATGATTTTGTTAAAAAACACAATGGGACGCAAGTTTCACCACAACTACAGTCAAAGCGAAGCTACCAACCAAAGGGTGCAAGGACGGATGCAATATGATGCAATCCAAACAACCAGACAGTCATGACTGGCACGCGCCGAGCAAGCGTATTAGCGCATCGCCCTGCTCTCATGCCTGACAAGGCGAGTGTTGGCCGTTGGCCTCAAGCACGCAGGGCTGTTGCCACCCCGATCGCCCGGCCAGTGACGACTGTTGCGTGTGCCCCTTGTGGCGCACGCAGCTCGGTAGTGGGAAGGTAAGCAGCAGCAACAGCAACAGCAGGAACAGCAGAACCAGCAGCAGTAGCAGCAGCAGAGACAAGACAAAACAAGGCAAGACAAGGCAATACAACTCACGTATTTCCGGCGATACTCTTGCGATACCCCGGCGATACCCTAAAATGGAAAAAAAGAACCCCTCGTCACCAATCCCCCTCATCATTTCAACACAACCACATCTCCAAATTTCAAAGTGACAAAACCCAATGCGATCAAATTCCCCATGGTACTGACACAATAGGTAAATTCCAAACTTGCAAAAACGCAGGTAAAAGTATCAATAATCAAAATTATGGTTTCCAAACACAAGCTGGACGCAGCACGCATCGACTTCCACAATTCTTTCCCCCCAACTAGACGCAGCAAAACATGTGAACGCATTGACTTTCCAAGTGGGGAGTATCCCCCAGGTAGCCCCACATGGCACTGCTATCTTCAACCACCCTGCGTCGTGCCTTCACATCGCGCACACGCCAGGATGTCTCGGCCAACACATGACACAGCTGCTCCCGGAAACCGAAAACTCGTAGCTGGAGCCTGGGCACTCACTCTTGAAAGCATCAAAAACAGCATTCCGATGATTTCCAATAATTACAACATTAAATGTTGGAAATTCGCTCTCAAAAAAAAGGTTGTCATAGACTTGAAGTGACAAAGGTCCTTTCTGCTATGTGTGTGACGAGAGCTACAATTGAGATAACTGCTGCTTTCTCTGATCCACCTAGATATTCATATCTGTGTTGTTTGTTTCTTCGCTGGGGCGTAGTGGCTACAAGTACATTACTCTCATTTTGTGAAGCACCTGGAGATCAATCCCGCTTTCTTGGAAGAAACACTGTAATTACACCAAAAGTACAAGCGCAAACGAGCATGACGCCATTGCAATGGGTCAGAAAGTAGTCAAAGAGTGCAAGCTTAAAGAAAGTGGATAGGTTGTTTAACTGTTAGCAAATGAAACTCCTCGTTGAACCCCCACAAAAACCTGACGAACCTAAGTTAAGTGCTGAGACGCGATGCAGTTTGCGATAAGCTCAGCGCATGCTGTAAAGCCTTCCTCCATTCAGCAATGGTGTCATCCTGGGGTGCCAGAGGTGGATCTGAATAGTGGAGACAGCGGGTACAATTTTTTGGGCCATGATTCCATGATGCTGGTTGGTTTATTTGGGTATCCCCATGGATTATTCAGTAATCCCCATTCATAAAGCGTTTAGAACAGCCCATTGATCCCATTGGGCACTGCCGCTGAGGTGCTGACGGCTCCTCGCAGGGTAAGTACTCGCGCTCCATGCCGGAGTTTCAGGCCTGGAAGATCCCAGCTATTTGACACCTGAAACCCTGCAGCATTACCTTAACTTAATATTAAATCATCTTAAAATATCTTTAAACATTCTTAACATATTTCAAATCTATGAAAATCACCGGTCTTTTGTGCAGGTGGAGAGGTCTTTGCCCATGAATACTGCGGATGTTTTTGGACTGTCATGACTTCCCAAAGCGTGAGCCATGTGAGCCCTGTGACCCTTTCCCCGCAACTCCCGGGCCAACCTGAAGGAATCCACTCCATGCAACTGCTGGAGATCATGGGAAATCGTGCCAGAGGCTTTCCCAATGGGCCATCGATGGAATCGATGGCGTAGTACTCAAAGGCATCTTTGCTCAAGATGCAATGCCTTTTTTATCCAGGCAATGCAAGAAACTGATAGAAACTGACCAGCAAAGTTCGCAAAACCACAAGCCAGTGAAAGTCAGTGAAGCCCTCGACCAAAGCTGACGTTTGGGCCCACAAATTCGCCAAGATTCATATGCTAAGACATGCCAAGATACCTTACCTCTGAACCTGCTTGGCGCACAACGGTCAGCTGTCCTTCGTATAGTACGACCCTGGCGAGACATCAGAAGTCGCTCCACTATGAGAGAATCTGTTCAACCCTTATTTGGGACGCGAGCTCCAAAACTTCTAAGGTGACAGTAATACCAATAATATCAATATCCAATAATAGTCATCATCATCATTCTTCCGATATATCTATATAATTAATAAAACTATAATTGTAAATATGCATGTTGTACACCTGGTCAAACTGTTATTGGGCATCGTCGCTGTGCCATTTTGACACCACGTCGCACATTGAATGTGCCCATTGCTACGGTCTGGTCTCGGACAAGTATGAAATTACAGTGAGTAAAGGGTCCAAGTCGCAGCTGGAACCCCTAACTTGTTAGAAAAGGCAACAAAGCAGGCTACTATACACGGCTATAAATAACTAGAGGATCCTCCCAGTACCCAATCATCCCAATCGTGATTCCTCCCACACGGCCTCTTTTTGGGATGTAGGTTACTTCTCATTCCATCATGGAATATCCTTCCAATGTTTTCGGCTTGATCGGAATGGATTGGGGAAAGCCGACTCCATTGCTTTTGTCACAATGTTGGGCACCCAAAGACCCAAGGATCCTATACACTTTTCGAACTGTCCACTGGCTGCGGAAACAAGATGCAAGGCCAGAGTTTCTTCTGGGATAGATGCCGCCATCAACATCTTAATGTATCTACTATATGCGATGTAATTATGAACAAATGAATCCCATGTATGATTACCTGCGTCCAATCGCACTAAAGCTGTAAGCAACAAGCGCTACTTGGGCTGACCCTGGCCATGACATGTCGTGACCCAGACCCACCCATGGGTGTCACCATGGGTCACCATGGGTCACCATGGGTCACCAAGCGGCAGCTTGGGTCCCAGCCAAGGCGACACACCAAACCGGGTGGAGTCACAGTCCCAGCGCGAAGCACTGCATGCAGGGCCCTCAGTTGATGGTTGCGGCTTTCAGGCCAGGCAGTTCACTGCTTCAATTAAGAGGAACTAAGGGGATACAGATAGAAAATGATAGAATTACTCGGAATTACTGATGTGTCATCAAAGAACCTAAACCTACAATACTGCGTGACGTTGATTGCGTACATTGTTATGACAGGTGTCGGTGTGTTTGTCTTGTGAGATATCTAGGCCATGGCTACTCCTTGGGATTCGACACATCCACGGAGTCGCTAGACACCTCCGGCAACACGACTGACCATCAAAGACAGCCTTCTCAGAAACTTCTCAATAACTATCTATCGATCTATCTATCTATCTATCAATCTAATCTCATCTAATCTAATCTAATCTAATAATCTTATCTATCTAATCTATCTAACTATCTAACTACCTAGATGGATAGACGGATAGACGGATAGACGGATGGATGGATGGACGGACGGATGGATGGATGGATGGATGGATGGATAGACAGACTTCTCAATCATACCTGCACTTTCTTGACAACGTAGTCAGTGTGGAGCACTAAAAAAGGTGTCCTGAAACCATCGGCCGCCTCCGCGCTGTAGACATGCTGTTTTCGAGCTCGGAGGGCCTCGAGAAAAGATGACTGGTCACTCCACTTCGCTCTACGCGAAATGTGGAGCAAAAGATTGTCAGATTTCCCACAAGAGACCATCCCGATGGGATAAACAATGATCAAAGATGATCAAAGGATACAGTATTTGGAAGAGAAACTTAAGGATAACTCAACTCGTCGTGGTATGGTGGTAGTCTTTGTGGTGGTGACCTGGTGGTGGTTGTCATCGGCTTCATAGTAAAAACATAGAGAAAGAAAAGACGCTGCAAGAACAGACACCGACGCGCGCTCTGGGAATCGAAAGTCATGTCGCACTTCTATAAAGGAAGCCCCTCTGCTTGGAAACTTACCCCCAGCCTGTCCAGGCTGTACTGCAACTGGCAACTCTGACAACTGATAACTGATGAATGTACACAAATGTCAAAAATGACTACTGTAAAATTTGTTTTTGCCATTGCACCATACAGTATCTTTTGAAAGTATCTACCAGTATCTACCAGTCAGTCAACAACTAATATCTTATGCACATTCCAGTCTCTTGTGATTTAGGCATCTTTAGGCCTTTGCGGAGGGCACCCTGTGCGGTATTTGTCTGTCGTGGCTTGAGCGATTTGAGAGCGAGGCTGCGTCCAATTCAGGGATCATCTTCAGAATCGACTGGACTTCTTGCTTTGCCGCACGCGTCTGCAAAGTGCCAGATGTGACAGGCAGTTACAACTTCGGCCGTGCATTTTCAGTTTGCCTATCAACCACTTAAGCTTGCTGCTGTTGGCAAGTGCAGTACATTCGACCAGTGGACGTGAAAATCGACCCCTTCAGTTTGGGAACATACCCGCATTCCGCTTGACGATTTCACTAGGCCTCTTCTGACACATGTGTCTTCAAGGCCTCATCTATGAGGCAAATTGGAACAGTTGGAACTGAAACAAAGTCCCTGCAAAAAAAACAAATGGCGCTATATAAGTTGAAAAGCCTGCTGACTTCCTCGCTTGACCAGAACATGAGCTAAACCTCCATCTAAATCAGTGATCGCTTCTTGCTTCCCTCTCCGCTCATGTCTGAGGCATCTGCGGCGCAATGATCCGCGGCCATGAAACCTGCGAGGCCAGTGATGGGAATACCGGAAAATGAAAAGTTAGTTGTGGGGCACTGGGCCATGTGTCTTTGACTTAAACATCTTTAAAGTAGCCCCATGTATCCCTGAGGCATCGATGGCATGGTTGATGAATCAAAGTGCTCTCTGCATACTTGCAAGAAGTGGACAGCCAAGAACATGCGCCAACATCGAAACTGCAAAATTGGATGCCCCAATATTTGATGGTTGATCCTCAAGTTCCCCATTCAAATTGCTATTTTGGGTATCCCCAAACACGGAAATGATTGCTTCCCTTTGACATCCCTGGACCATGGTGTCGTGATGAAAAGCCAAAAAGTTGCTGGAAATGGGAAATGTGGGGCCTTTTTGCTCTTTGGCGACCGCATGTCGTAGCTCTTCAATGTGCTCACGCAAAAGGCCCTGAGCCGCTTCCAGGCGTCACAGCAGGAAACAGATCTGCGACTGCCAATCATGGCTGTTTTTTAAAGATGAAAGACTTGGGTCCCCGGGCCCCGTCGTGCACAGCTTGCTTGTCGTGCTGCTCCATCTGCCCCTGAGGCATTCTGGAGAAGGTGAATCCTTAAAGACATCTGTGCACATTGTCCAAACAAATGCTGTCAATACTAATGATTAATGATGTATTATGATGTATTCAATTGCAGCCATTTGTAGCCATTGACACCCTTTCACACGTGCCCAGCTTGCACACAAAACAAAAGCCCAAGTAGTGGGTCTATGTGGGTCTGATGGCAAAGGAACTCACAAAATCCTTCATGATCCTTCATGTGACCGTGGCCTGTTTCTGCCTCAGCTCCTTCTCAAAAAGATGGACCCGGTGCTGGAGCGATGCTTCTTCCTGAAACTGGCATGGTTAACTGGCATGTTTAAGGCAAACCAGATTCTACTCCACTGGGGGTCCCCTTTTAAATGGGGGTTTTAACCATGGGGGATCCCCAACACCATGGGTTTCAGTACTAAGTCATGGTCCAATGACTTGGATGATTTGGGATACCATTGAGGCAGGCACTGCTTCGAGGCGCCGAGCTTCTGCGGCCACCTGGTTCAACAAAAAATGGAAACAGATGCCCAATTGCTGGTCACGGATCATTGGATCATGATGATTCATGATGATTCATGATGATTCATGATGATTCATGATGATTCATGATGATTCATGATGATTCATGATAATTCATGATGATTCATGATGATTTGCTGATTGGAAGTGGAAGGCATAAGAACTATAGATATATAATTAGTAATTATACAAGTACATTTTTATAGCTGCAACCCAACTGATTGGGGTTGATATGCCAGTTGTAAACTGGTAGCTGGGATTATAAATTATAACTTATAGGTAATTGAACCATAAAAATCCATAAAGCAGGGACTGGTCACACAGTGGGATAGGGATTCCAGCTGGCGCCTTCAAAATTTCTGAGACTTTGATCGCCACCGGAGCAGCTTCAAGACCCTCCAACCATCGCCCGGGAGTCCTGGTCTGCTCGACGTTGGAAGTTTGCATGCTCCTGCAGTCCAGTTGATCACCAGTTGTACATCCTGGATCCTGGATCGGTCTTTGAGTCACTAACTTTAACGTGGATGGTCACAATGGCCATATCCAAGAGGAAATGATCGAAACTTGAAACCAGGTCCTACTAGTATCTTTGGGGTTTCATGGAAAATTTAGGGGGTTAATCCTTGGGCACGTTCCCACCCCATGCAGCTGTAGCCCTCGCATGTCCTGCCGCTTCGTTTCCAGCAACTTGGTGGTCTCTTGCAATCTCTTGGCCTCCTACCAAACAGACCCACTCCACTGTGCAGCAATGCACTAAGAAATCTAAGAACGACTAAGAAGTTGGGAAAAGCTTTTAATTAGTTGCAGTGTCCACAAGTGGATACTTGCGTTGAAATGTGAATACTGAACAGTGACAAACAGGGCCCCACCATGCCTCACCCAACTACGACTGCCCAGTCCCGCTGCGACAAGGTACTTACCAAGCCGAGTGAATCAGCAACCTGGCACAGAGATGATGACTACACCTGGATAGCATTGGATAGCTGTGTGTTCAGCAAGAATTGCCTGGCCTGGCTGACGCCACTCTCAGTGACAGCTTCATGGCCTTTTTCCACCTCCCAGGGAGACGAAGGGTTCATCAAAGCTGGTGGAATCCATTGGAAGTTTGAAGAAAACAAGTCAAAATCATCGAGCCCAAATACGGCCCTTCCTCCAAGCCCATCATCGCAGAAGACTCTCAAAAGAATGGACTTGATCATGTTCACAAGTTGTGATTTTCATTAAAAGTTGAGGCGAGCCTTTTGGATTCATATCGAGGTCCTCAAGTTCCGCTCATTCTAGTTGAGACTGGGCAGTATCTCTGTTATGTCTGTCTGTTGCTTGACATTTTCTATGACGGGCTGTGCGGGAAACAGACAAGTGGCTTCCAGGTTCTTCCATCTGAAATCTAAATGACACATCACCATGATCAGCATGGGTCAGAAACTTGGTACCTGGATGAAAATCGCCACAGCATCCCACAGCCACTGCCTTCTGCAGTTTCTTGTGCAAAAGTTCGGCAATGTCACCACTCAGCTGATGTGCCTTGGAGATGTGTTGAAGACCTGAAGATGGAACCCTGGAACCCCCCAAAAAAAACACCAAAGAACGCCAACGGATTGCGCCGCTTCTTCCCACCATTTCTGAGATGCAAACCTCCGAGGTGGAGTTCTCTTTGGCGGCATGCAGCCCACGCATCTCCACATCCAGGTGCAACCTCAGAATCGATTGGAAAAAGGCTCGAACCATGTCGGACGTCACCTAATCATGCTATCTTTACTGTAGTCTCAATATGTCCATGTCGTCATTGTTTGGGGATATTTGAAGATGTTTGGAGTGCATGATTTACATTTGTTTCCATTTCCAACTCATTGGTCGCTTTTCTGCGTGACCATCATCTTGAGAGTTGGAAGCCCCACAATCCACACCACATTGGGATGCCACGCTGGTGAGACTCCAGCTCTTGAGCTCGATGTCTCAACGTTCGAATGTCCTGGCAGAGCCAAGGAATGCCAAGGACCAAAGAAAGCATCAGTCATGTTACCCTCTGGTAATCAAACAGGGCAATGGGAAATCCCCTATAAATCGGCAATAGTGGGTGTTAAAATGGGAAAATAATCTGTCAATGGAGGGTTGTGATTGCCATGTTTGACTACCAGAGGTTAACATGTTAATTGTGTCTACACCATGTCTGGAGATCGCTTGAGAAACGTTCCTGGTCACGTTCCCACAGCATACGCTCCATGTGCCTCAAAAATCAGGTCAGAATGGTCAGGGACATCATGATAGAATGAGACCACAGTAACCAGATGTAACCAGCCTGTTTTTTCAAATGACTGAAAGTGATTGACGGCTCAGCCATTGGAACGACTGTCCATCGCAGAGCTTTTAACTGGGCGACCTGAGACATCCACTGAAGCTCTTCTTCAAGCTTCACTCGCTCAACACCACCTCGCTCAACACCTGGCAAGGCTTCCGAGAATTGCCAGAAGGGACATCTGCAGCTGCAACTTGTAGTTCTTACCCGCCAAATGGCAAATATCAACTGGTGGTATCCATCATTATGATTCATTATGCACACTATAGCCGACTATAGCTGTTTAAGTCCACATTCTTTGTTGGTTAGATCATGTTAGATCCAAAACTTCGTAGGGTCTCTTCCACCATTGCCGCTCCCGCCTGCAGAGAGTAAGAGTTCTTGCCGCTCCGCATGCGCGCTGAGGCGTTGTGTCGCGGAAGTCGTGGCCTGGACAATGGAAAGTCACCATCTCCAACAAGTAAATCATGGAAAATCAACGTAAAAACAATAGAAATGGGCCATGTTCATGCCGTTTTCCATATAATTAGCCATGATTATATAGTTAAATATGTTTTTTAAGTTTAAATGACCAGAGGGTCAACGACCGTCTGGTGCCAACTGCACCGGCCAACTCTGGAGGCTCCAACAGCATGGAAACTCTATGGTTTCTATAGTTTCTACCATTAGAAATCCATTAGATATAGGATGATAATATGGATGATAATATGGATGATAATATGGATGATAATATGGATGATAATATATATAATATGGATGATAATATGGATTTAATATGGATGATAATATGGATGATAATATATATAATATGGATGATAATATGGATTTAATATGGATGATAATATGGATGATAATATATATAATATGGATGATAATATGGATTTAATATGGATGATAATATGGATGATAATATATATAATATGGATGATAATATGGATTTAATATGGATGATAATATGGATGATAATATATATAATATGGATGATAATATGGATTTAATATGGATGATAATATGGATGATAATATATATAATATGGATGATAATATGGATTTAATATGGATGATAATATGGATGATAATATATATAATATGGATGATAATATGGATTTAATATGGATGATAATATGGATGGTAATATATATAATATGGATGATAATATGGATTTAATATGGATGATAATATGGATGATAATATATATAATATGGATGATAATATGGATTTAATATGGATGATAATATGGATGATAATATGATAATATATATAATATGGATGATAATATGGATTTAATATGGATGATAATATGGATGATAATATATATAATATGGATGATAATATGGATTTAATATGGATGATAATATGGATGATAATATATATAATATGGATGATAATATGGATTTAATATGGATGATAATATGGATGATAATATATATAATATGGATGATAATATGGATGATAATATGGATGATAATATGGATGATAATATGGATGATTTAGGCTTTTCTTGCAAATTTTCTTTGTCACAATACCGAAACATCAAGTAATCGTGTTTCAGCTGTTATCCTCTACGTTAAAAATCGCCTCGCTGGCCACATGCAGTTCACTCTCCACGTCTCGGAGTTTGTGCCGCAGGCGATTACCTTGGACGAGTCGCTCTGCAGTGTCGAGAAAGGGTGAAAATGCCTATTTTTCGAGAAATATTCACTGCCAACCCATATTTTCCAAGTGTTTAAAGCACCTACAGCTTGCAGGTTTTTGGTGATCAACAATGTTTGACACCCACGTTATGGATTGTTGTTGACTTCTGACCAAATCAACTTGGGGTTGTCTGAAAATTCAATACTGCCGACATGAGTTTACATCTCCCCAAATTACGCTATTGTTGTGTCGTTTTACTACTGTTCAGGTTTTTGGGCTAGACTGATGATCAATATATTCATGATGTATTCATTTGTGTATTCATTGTTAATTATTCATTGTGTATTCATCTACCTGGAATACCGGGAATCCAGAATCCAATATTGCAAAAATGAACCCTTGCATGCCTATGCCTTTGCTCCAGATCGAGAGATTCAAGGCAGCAATGCAGTGGGGTACTGTCTTATCTTTGCCAGAGAGTGTACACTGATGGGCATGCATACTGGGCAGCCAATCACATGGCCATGTTTGTGCACAATTGATTATCGTATTCGCTATCGTTTTCTTATCGTTCAACCACCTCCACGCGTTGCCTGTTTTGGGATGTCATCGGATCACTTTCGCACGGGATATCGTACTTGCGTTGTAGTTTGTGTTCCCTTTGTCATTTTCTCGGGTCGTAACAGCATTGCAGACGGAAGGGACCGGCACCAAAGATCACATGCAGGGCACCGTCATGGAAACTCTTCTCGTCAGACGGTGTGTGGCAGGAGGATGAACTGTGGGCCACCATCGTTTCAACTTTGCATGAACAGAAAGATCTTCATCACCAACTAGCAATGAACTTTCATCGTGGGTGCGTCTGAAAATGGGCTATACGGTATTGCCCCTATAATGGCAATGTCAATAGGGAAAATGATAAACCATGATTGATAAACCATCAAATTTGGGACCTTGGGAATACCCTTAAATTTCCGTCAAAGCCATATGCCAAAACATCTAAAAACCTGCATGAGGCCATGGAGCAGCATGCTACATTTGCCCCAAAAATTGCACTTCTCATTCATCATCCCCAAATTTGTGTCCTCTTTATCGCTCAGGCACAAGACCTATAGGCGTGAAACGCAAGATAAAACGAAAAAGCCCCTAGGATTCTGGTGACCTGGTGGGAAAAAAAACCAAATGTCAAGAGGGTGGGGTCTACTTTTGGAGTTGACCAGTTTACCCTTTTCATAAAGACATGTACAAGTTCTACATGTCATGTCACCACCATCCAACGTCAAGTTCTGAAGGCTGTTTGACAAGTTCACTCTCTTATTTATTTTCTTGGAAACTGGCAGTTACCATTTACATCCATTTACCTACTTGTGTGGTTTGCGCGTGGGCCCTACCCGCGTAAGGACTAAAAAGGTATGGCAATGGATTTTTTTGGGGGGGGACCCTGGTAGAACTGTAAAATACAATGGTTTTGCAACTACCCCCACTCAAAAATTTCGCTGTTGTAATTATTTATTTACCGCAGGGGTAGGAAATTTTTTGCCTTACCCCCCCCCAAATATTCCAGGGTTAAAGGGGATAGAATGGCTAGTCTTTGGAAGAGGAGTTTTCAATTAGGATCTACTCTTTTCCTACAAATTCCTATGACGATCTGCACTTGTCTATTCTTCTGGAAGAGAAGTTTTCAAGTGGAATCTCCTTTAACCCTGGAATATTTGGCCTCTCCCGCTGCGCATCCAAGCCACTCTCCCGCTGCGCATCTGCCAGCTGAGCCTTGAAAACCAGACTCGTGCTGATAAATTGGCCCGTCTCAGAGAAAAATAAAATATGTGGACATACTAAGTCTATCATATCATGAATTATATAGTGAATTATCATGAATTATCCATCCAATGCACTGTGCCAATTGGGGTCAAACTCGAATGAGCCAACCTATCTTTGCACCCCCATCCTGGCCTTGCACCATACCCAATCTATGTCCGTTCGAATCTTTAAAAAATCAGGAAGCAACGGCAAAGAACAGTTGGGAAGTGTCCCATGAGCCCAAGACAAAAGCCGAGCCCCACGCCTTCAGAGCTTTCGCCTCCACATCTTGAGCTGCGAGCACTGCCTGAACAGTTCTACCCAGTTCCGCCCAGGTATATGGTGACGGGTCAACCTTCCCGGAAAATCAAGTAAAATCTATAGAACATGATAATATATATATATATAATATGTTAGTACATTAGTTGTTATAATAACATATAATAACATTCTAATGTATTACAGCTTGAGTATTGTATAAGAGTGCACTGTAATTATAAGAATTTGAGGGGCTCGGATCCAATGCGGGTTACATTTTTTTCCGGTATACCAAGCACATAGTACTTTAAGAATCTGAGGGACCCTGGAATAGGATTGCCAAATTCTTAAATTACTGTTTATATGTGAAGTTTTATGGGTTTTGTGGGATGGGAACTGAAAGGTTGCAATTCCCCTTTGCGGTTCCCTTTTTGTGGAATGACCCCTTGATGAAATGGGGCTTTGCAGATAAACAATTTTTCAGGCTCCGATTTTTTTTTTTCGCATGCCCCTTGTTAAATCTGCTAACTCCACCTCGTTACCTCGTTTGACCTCGCCCTAAATTGCGCAGATTATATATAATACACAACTAAGAATGCTCTAAGAATTTGAGGGACCCTCGACCTATTGTGGTGAACAATTTGCCTGCATTTAAAAATAAGAATTTGAGGGCCCAGTCAAGTTTTTGGATTCTTAACCAACTCTCGGGCTGTATCTTAGATTGTATTTTTTTATACATAAACCATAATCCAACATCCTGAGTGCCTTCGGACTGACACAATTGGGCGAGATATTGGGCAACTTTGGGCAAGATATTGTAAGTGTCATCTCATATATCAAGCAAATCACGTTCGACTGCCCCACTTGCGACAATGCCTTGCACACTTGTGACTGACAAACCAACAGCCGTGAGAGATCACTCTGAGAAAAGTAATTAAGCCATTTGTCATTAGCGATCAAATTTGATCAATATGCAGAATTAAAGCCCCATCTTCCACATGCAGAAAGTTGCAGAAAAACATGTTTTTTCAGCTATGAGTGGCGGACAAAATTACGTACTGCCCGCAATGGACATGGCCAAAGTAGGTGGTCCCCTATCGATTGTGAAGGTTTGTACTTCCATGCTATGTGCAAAAATTGGGTATCGGTAAGTGGGTGGTCCCCTATCGGTTGTGACTGTTTTAGCACATATTTGAAAATCCCATGTCCACTCCCCACTACTTTAGTCTTCCGCTAATTTTGTCGGTAACTCATATGTTATCCATGTGAACCAAAACCAGATGCAGAATCCCTACAGCATCTCGCTCCTTCAACTCGTGTGAGTCACGAGGAAGGGGTGGCGGCAAAGAACGAGGAACAACCCCTGAAGGTACGACCTGGGGATGCCACAGGCGATTTAAGTAGGGCTAGACTGACTCCGACCCAACATTCAAGCTTTTGCTTAGCTTTCCAGGAACCTTGCAGCTCCCAAAATTCCGCAGATACATCAGTCAAAACGCATTCATGTGACACATGCAGGCACCGTTGAGTCTGACACGGTTAAAGCCATCGAATTCAGATGATCGCCATCCGGAGCATTCGGAGCATTGGAATTGGAAAACCTCAAGGATGGCGATATCCAAAACAAACAGACTTGGGACTCTGCGGAAAAAATTGTCCTTGGCGAATCGGTCTTGATGATTGAGATGTGGTTCATATCTTAGCTCTATAAGGATGAAAACTATTGAAAACTCATCATGATCAGACCTATATCAGACCTGTAAACATGCAACTTCCTGTCGATTGTGTGAGATGTCAATTTATCGCGCTTGAGCATCTTGAGCCTTGAGCAGTCAATTGTTTGGATATGTTTGAATACCAAAATTTAAGGACTTGTGCTCGACCATTGTAAATCTGTGGATCTAAACCCCTGGCAATAGCATCCCATTGGTCTCCCTTTGCTAGCAGGTCAGGACAACCACTGTACTGATTCACCCATCCATGCCTGCTTATCCTGCTTCTCTCATCTGATACGGATTTCTCCGAAAAGGTGTTTTTCCGCAAAGTCTCATGGATGATCATCATCTTTCATATTCCCATCATTTCCCACTCAGATGGCTATAACTTGGGGGTGTTTCCCCGGCTGTTTCCCCCTTTCCAAAAGGGGGCCCTGGTGATCCCTGCCCCATCTCCTGAGCACTGAGGTGCCAAAGGGTTCCCTCTCGGATGGGAACCCCCAACAAGGGTTGATCCGGAGAAGATGAGTACCTGGAGCATCCCTGGAGCATCAATCCTAGCCGCTAAGCCTCCACGAAACAGTGAAAACTGCAATATGTCTTGTGTGACTCTTCTGAGAATTGAGAAGTGAATAAGTTCCAGTATGAGACTATATGATGAATATTGATGAATTATATGAATGTCTGCTGCATGCAGCCTGTTTATAATTGAGGGGGAACTGCATCCTTGGTGGGGCATGGTGCCCAGCAAAGTCTACTTTGTCAAGGATAAATTATATCAATCTCACCAACATTTTTTTCCGAACACTCAGCCACACTTAAACCCACCAAGAAACCGGATAAGTTCTTCCAACCGAAAGCTCAAATTGACTTGCATTTTCCTGAAAATAGGGTACCCCCAAATCCACTGGTTACTCATCATTTTCATTCATTTTCCCCATATGTTCCTTCTTCAAATGGTCCTTTGGGGGTATTCAACTTTGCCATTTTCCCCTGGGTCGCAGGGCACGTCTGGACATTTTGCACCTTGGAAGGTGGCGGACCTTTCGGCACGCGAAGCTCCATGGCATCTTCGAAGTCCGAGGCCGCCAGTGGATGAGGCTCCACCGGCCTTGGCATCGAGGAGCGGTTGATGTTGTTGGGATAGCTGGAGATATCTGGGGATATCTGGGGCAATCTGGGTATATCTATAGAGATATCCTGGGGATCCGACTTGTGGATTCTTTGCGATGGATCCTCCTCACCATCACAGACCTTGGCCGCGCAGCTGCAAGGGATGCGGCTGCATGACCCAATGGGTGGCTCCAGTGCCAGATGTGACTGTGGCGCCAACGCATCCTGCGAGCAAGCCTCGGCAAACAGCGAGTAGACAAGGCGGCTGATGCCACAAAGAATGCAAATCATGACATGGAGATTTAATAAATAAATTTGGACATTACTTATGATACTTAATGTCACAGTAACCGAATGGAGACTTCAGACGTCTGCGAGGAATTGTCATGGCAAGTCAATGACTTGAAGATACACATTTTATCGAAATTCTAAAGACTGGTGTTGGAATGTATATAGTTCGGAATTACTGTATCTACCCAACATCAGATCGTTCTGAAGCTGCGAAGCACATGCATGATGCTGCTGAATGGCTGAGCATGGCAGCATCCCCAAATGCACCGCTGCGGGTCTGTGGTGGCTGATCTGTGTTACAGTAGGGCTTTACTCGAGTTGCCAACGTTCAAAATTCTGTTTCTGGAATCAAACACAGAGCATGTGGCACAAATCTCAAATTTCAAATGTTCTGCTTGTCCATTCTTCTTTTGCGCAAGTGGAACCATTTGCCTTTGAAGCCAAAGGCTGCCCCGGATATATCTGCACTGCAGCATCGGGTTTGCCCTGGGTCTCACTGATTTAGGCCCCGATAGTTGACGACGAGAAGCGGAGAGTAACGCGCAACCACTTGGCATTGGGTTAAAGTGGGTATAGGGATTATATGGTATGGGTCAAATCCCTGGTGCGCCGGTGAACAACCAAAGATTACACATGCGAAGCGGGGTCCATATGACGGTGGACTATCCAGGACACAGAGAAGAGACTTCTGGATCTGAGACAAGCCAAACAAGCTCCAAGCAGGATAGTACCAGATAGATTCATTAGATCATATCAGATCCATATAGTCAAAACTGACCACTGATTCATGGTTGATCTTTCTATGATTCCATGTAACCATACGTAACCTCCATTTCGTCTATGAAGCCTCTGAAACCCCGGCAGGGTTGCCACTTATAGCCACAAGGTGAAGTTTTGCTGCCGCAGGTCGCATCCACTTTGGCCTCCGCAGTTTGCGGCTGCCTGGGTGACCCACATTGACCTACAGCGGTCAACAGCCGCGACAAATTAAACGCTGAATTCGGGGCGCCTGAACTGGACATCCTGCTCTGGTGACAACACGGCCAGCTCAGCTAAACAGGTTGCACATGTATGCACATGTCGAAATGCTCAATGCTCATGTTGGTCATGTTGCTGCCACACCCTTGATGGTGATACCATTCCCTTTCCAGGATCATGATGACTATGAGATTGTGATGATTGAAATGTGTTCAGCAAAATGCAGTAGATAGCATCATGAATCTGAGATTCTGATGATGAGTCTTGTGCTTAATTGTCATAAATTACTCTGTATCAACATGGTTGCGATTGTTTCGCTGCAGCCGATGAAACTTGCCCTGCTTGCTGGCTGTCTAGATTTCTTTCAATATCCAAATGTTTGTTCTTGTGGCAATCACAATGAGCTCAGCGTCGTCCAATTGGACAAAACTTCAGCATCTCCTGTAATGGGCGATTCGAAAAGGTTGGAGTTGTCAAACACTTAATCAATCAAAAGATATTCAAAGCGTGTCAAAATCGTTGACTTACATCTCGAGAACATTCAGCAAGTGCCTGTCGCGTCGCCAGTTCCGGATGCGGAACACGCAACCTGCGATGGCATTGTGCTGCACAAGAGGGGGAATCTGCTGCCCAAAGCTGGAGGCTTTGTCCGCATTGGGATGTACTGACTAATTGTTCCACAGAGTTACAAGGAGTTGCAGTACATGACTATAATATGTGCCCATCATCTTCTATTGTAAGCTGGCGTTTGAAGTTTGGTGAAGTTTAGTGTCTGTATCCTGTCTTGAGCAACTCTTGAAACCGAGGTCACCCTGCCTTCCCAGGCGGGCTGATGCAGGTCGCTCAGTCTCGGCAAAGCACAGTGATTTCAGACTGCACAGTTTCCCCACTTGGAACCACCATCCATTGGGTTGCCGACATCACTGCTTCGAAGCCGAGGTCCCTGAATAGCACCGGGCCATAAAAAGGGAGCGCGATGTGGCTCAGGGAAAGGATGGGATGGGTTTACTGTCATTTGCCAGCTGTCTTGATGTTTATCTGTACCATTGGTACAATGGTATTAGGGTGTTGGCGTGGCAAAAGCCTGGACAATACCCGGGGTCCACCGGGAGGCTTTCCCTGCTCGACAAATGCAATCAAGAGTCAAAAGGTGTCGTGACTTCCCTTTGACTCGCTCTGAATTTTAACCATTGGGCCATTGGATGTCAAAACTTCAGTCCTCCAGACCAATGGGATCCATAATGGGCAGGTCATATTTCACCACCCATGGTGTTTTTCACCGAGTCCCGGGCTTCATCCCGTGGCGCATAGCCAAAGGTGGCCGTGGGAGCTCGCCGTTGCTTCAGACCCGCTTCGCAACTGCGACCAGACGGGGGGACCAGGTGACCATCTCTCAACTAGGGATGCTCTGATCTCTGGGGCACTTGGGGCCGTGTAAAACCTAGAAGTGCGGTGTTTTGCGGGTTGGTTGCACAACAAACTGGTACGATGCGATTGGATGCTGGGAATGAAATTTTGGATTCCCATCCCAAGATCCTTGTTTCTTCCATTATGAAATATTGTGCAAATGCGCAAAGACTGCGCGACATGCAGTATGACCTCCCTCAAAAACGCACTTTTTCTCCGAGACCTTTCACTTCAAACGCGGCACAGGGAGGTAAAAATAACTACAGGGATGACTTGGCACTTTTGTGTGTGACGTCTCACCAAATGAGAGACAAGATTCACCCACTGTAGCGATATGTTATCTTTCGGCAAAACTAACAAGCCTGACCAACGGATGGAAGACTGTGGAGGCACGACTTCATGCACTCATGAATAGAAACGACAGCTTACTCCAAAAGTGCAGTGTCAAACCTGACCATTCAGCACGGCTTTGTGGATCATCCGAATGTTAAGAAGAAGTCCAAAAGCCACGTAGATCAAGCAAACCTGAAGGACTCCACACAGGGGACTTAAGTAAGCTGCCCCATTGTTCATCATGATCTTCTAGCCCAATCAAGCGAGGACATCCTAGCAACTGTGTAAACTAAAGAAGTGTAAACATGTGTAAAGTGTCCAGAGCCTCTGAGGCGCCAACTCCAAACATTCCGAAGACGCCCAAATGTTGCGCTGCAGAACTGGTGGAATGTTTCAAGTACTCATCTCCAGTGGCCTCTTGCGGAGCAAATCACATCAACTCACTAACCACTGGACCATTTTCAACATCGACTAGTGAGAGATTAAAGACAGTGCTTTCCACATCTTTCCACTCTGGTGTATAGTGTATACAGATGTGTACAGTACACAAACATCACAAACTACATGACAACATGATAAGTGGCACCCAGAACGTGACCATCGGGTGGAATCTGCCAGTGGCATCGGTGCAGCCGATGGAATCTTCTGAGGGCCACGCCCAGCAGTGACGTTGGGAGAAAGGGATGCTCGCATCGCAGTCTTCGAAGACTGCTCCCTGAGGGCCAGGGAGACAGCCACATGATCTGCCAGTGGAAATGTTAAAACATGTTGGAAAACAAGCCTGATTTATTATATCAACATTATGATTAATAACAAGCCTGGATATATTAACCATGTTAAATCATCTAATGTGACCTATGATGAATGCTAAAATATTGATTCATCATGTTTGATGCCAGAATTCTGATTCGTAGGGCCACGAACTGCGCCTTGTACAAGCTAGTCTCGAGAATACTCATAGCCCACATGATGGGTGAGCCATAGTAGAATGGCCTGCAGGTTCAGGGTTGATTTTCGTCAACATGATTGGTTCATGCCAAAACTATCGATTGATGGTAAAGTACTGCACAGCTACCGATAGAAACACAACTTCATCATTATTCATTGTATATTATATGCAATATTATATATATATACGTACAATGTAGATCTCCCATTCATGTCCCTGGATGATATTAAATTCCAGACTACGTCAACAGGTGGAATGTAGCTCTGCAACTCTGAGGCTCCGACTTCCAAACCAACGGGATCTGGTTGTAGGGAATGACATATCCTACCAGGAAGTCAGCTGAAACGGGGCCATGGCAGCCATGGCAGCCATGGCATTGGCGCCTGAAAAGAGGGTCGATGGGATGATCAGTGGCATCAACACCTGCGTGGCATCAACTTGTCGAAATCAACACGAAAGTACTGGGCCCCTTTCAACAATACCACGCTACACATCGCTACACCACTGAATAAATGAGTCTTGGAACCCAATGAATAATGAATGCTACAAGACTTTTCTGAATAGGATCTGCGCATGCAAGTGTCGGCTTTCTCTAAAAAACATAGCTGCAGGAAATGAATTTCCGACGTTTGTTTAGTCGGAGAAGTGATGCTCCGAAGTGTCTGGCCAATCTATTCAGCCAGTTTTAAACTTACACACCACTTCTACATAATGGTTAATGATGGTTAATAATGATTGATAGTGATTACAAATGATTACAATGTGATTACTATAGTAATTTACCCAGATTAATGGTGATTAATCGTGGTTAATACAACTTTCCCTGCCAAAGGACAGATCTGTTGCCGTCGGCATCACGTGTCTTGGCACCAACCTCACTCGATATCCAAGCACGCAATGTCATGCGATGTCCAAGCTCTCCCGACATGTTTTTAACTATGCAGCAAGTCGGGGTTTACCCTCTGGTAAACTAACATAACTATGGAAAATCACCATTTTTAATGGGAAAATCCACTATAAATGGTCATTTTCAATAGCTATGTTAAATTACCAGAGGGATCCAGAGGGTACTTTATGATACTTTATTGCTGCACACATCACTGACATCACATTTTGAGCCATCTGGCAAGAGTTGTTGGCCAAACAGTCAAAACTGAGGTACCCCAATTCAAACAATTCAAAACAAAATGGTCTAAATTTCCAAAATGACCCATGCGTCTGCAGGTCACTGCCAAGTCTTCTGGGAGCGTGCATCTGCTGAGTTTCCAACAGCCGAACCAGCCGCACAGGCTAGGAGCAGGACCTACCCACAAACTGTCTCAGCAGTACGAGGGCAGTGGGAAGTGCACTGAGCTCATGGCCATGAAAGAGGTCATGACAAACACCTGGGAGGTCATCAATTTCCAAATTGGTGTTTTGGATAGGATGAGAAGTATGAACAACTGATGAAACCAAACAGAAACGGAGGAAAATGAGAAAACTGATTCACCAAAGTTGATTCAGCTCCCCAGGGTTTACATGTTTTGCGACTTCAGCAACACAAGTGCGACTTCAGAAAGCCATCAGAAACCGAGGCACACCAAAGCGATAGAATTCCATAGGCATACCGACCAGCCTCAGCCGGTCGAAAAGACACCTGGCCTTGAACATGCAAGTGGTCCCGTCATCGCAATCAAAACACTTACGTTCTCTATCTGAGTGATATATATATAGTATTGTTGGTGTATTGCTATTCCCCATCGATCAAAATGATCTCCATCAAACCAGGCCCAAAAAACACCAATGATTTTGCGGCTCCCCAGACGCTCAGGTCCCTGCAAGTAGAGTGGAGTTGCCCATGCCTTGGTGTCGAGTCTGCTGAAGAAGGGATCTATGTCCACTATAATTGCTACATTTGCTACAGTCCTTAGTGGACATTATCTGAATGATTTGGACCCCAAGATTAAGATCTGAAAACATCATCCGACAAATCCATAGAAATCCCGGAAAGTCATTGGTTTGGTTTCCTTAGTTTCCTTTCAAATATCCTTTCAAATATGTTCAAATCATTTCAAATCACAGTCTCAGATTGCAAATCTCTTTCATACGGCCCATCCACATTGAAATATATTGAAATTGGGTCAAAAACCATCCACAGTATGCCAATTTGAGGTTGCTGCCAATGTCCATGGGACTTGCATGGCCAAAAAGCCAATGTAGTATGCCCTCAGCCAAGTGCTTGAGAGTTGCATGAGTTACAGGAGGAATCCATGGTATGGTTTCGAAAAATATGACCCAGCATCTGAACAGATATCTAATATCTCCAATGTGCGGAAGAGCAAATTCAAAGCACACCATGGAACCACGAAGCGAAAAACTGGAGCTCTGCCAGGGTTTCACATTGGTTTCACTTCAGTCCTGGGGCAATGACAAATAGTAGGGCGTAACCTTCACAAATCATCCAGCCGTCAAAAACACTGGGCTGATTGGGTCAACCGCAAGGCCTGGTAGACACCATCGTAGTATTCGCCTGGGCAGAAGTCACTTGAGTTGGCGGACAGAGAACAGAAGATGTAATTCGAAATGCAGAGCAGATATAGATGATATAATGATATAGTATGATATAGTAAAACCAGGTGAAACCATCAAAAAAGATCAAACAAGTACCTCCTGAAGGCTTTCGTGCCCTCCTTCACCATCTCTGTGAAAACTCTGCGAAATGGTCACTGCCAAGCCATATATGGATACACTGATGACAACCAATGCGCAAGTTTCATGAAACGCAACAGTAGATCCGGCCACGGGCAAGTAGGAGTACTCCATTTGCAATGCTTCGAAAAAGTTGGATGAATAGGTGAGGATACAACAAAATACAAAAACATTCAAACACTGTATCCAGCTATGATTTACAAACACTTGCACCTTTTAAAATCCCAAATGTTATGCTGCAGAGCTGCGCTTCAGGAGGCCCTTGGTCTGCTGAAAAGTTGCAGCTCCTGTACCCAGAAAACACCAGGGCTTTTGGATCTCAAAACTGATACACTTCCAGTGTCCAAACCATCCAAACCATCCAAACCCATCCACAACCAGCACAGTCACAAAATGATGAAAACATATGAAAACCAAACAGAACAGCTCCTGCGTAGAAGGATTCAATCAAAGGGTTCTGCCTCGGATCCACAGCGGCACTGGAACAAGAGGTGCATGAGATTTCATGACATGAGGATAAAGCCGCTAGCATTGTGAGCAGCAGAGCAGCAACACCTGTTTTGCTCGTCGAACGGGGCATCAAGAGACTTTGTCTTGTTGCAAGCCTGACCTTGGAAGCAATTTTTTGGCAGGGTCTGATTGCAAGACAATCGATAAAGACCCTGTGAGGAAGCAAACAATCCTCTCATGCATGCACAATGTGTCAAAGAATAATCGTTTGCAAGGATTGAGCTACTAGAACTGTAATGATATTTGGTGACAATAGTAGTCAAAAGTGGTTGCCCAATGATAATGGCACAAGTCCCAAGGAACAGAAATAATGGCAGTCGATAAGTAGATTAAGAGGTAGAAGTCATACAATGCGTAAGGATCTTCAAACCACCCACAACTCTCACTAATCCACGATCGATCCTGCTAAGCAGCTTTTTACAGCCTCATAGGCCCACAGACGAAAGCTCCGATCGTGCAGACCTTCCTCATCCTGGGCCATGCCAGCCATGTCATGGGCCCAAAGACCTTTTTTTCTGTTCAAGGAAATCAGTCTTCGCAAATTTGGAGACATAAGCCATCAGAAGCCATCAGAATGCATGTCCTAAAAATTGCATGTGCTGCTCATGAATACTTTGGCAGCATCGCCTTGTTTCGCTGTTTCTATGGCCCACAAATTAAACAAAAAATGCTTGGACAAACAGGCACGGCTTCTTTGATCCTCCCTGATTTCATTTTTGGTGATGACCAGAAAGGGTCCCACATGACCAAAAGAACAACCACTGGGGTGCCAAACATATAAGGCCAACAGCTCCTCAATGATCTGCAGCTTTTCACTCACCTCTTGGGACTCCTCCACCTCATACGCTAAGGTGGCCATTCTGCTACGCCTGCAGAGGATTGAGGGCTGTCCCAAGGATGGGGATGCTTGGGGGGTCTCTCTAACAATGGGATATGTACGCAATACTCAATACAAGTATAAACAAGGATTCACCATTGAATTGAACTTTTGATGGTTTGGAAGTTGGAAGTACCTCTTTTCTTTGGGCTGTTTCATCGCAATTCCGCCATTGCTGTTTCAACCACGGACAGCCCCAGACCTCCTGTCACTGGACTCATCCATTCCAAGCCGGCAAACGTCACAGCGGCATTGGAAGCCAAACTTCTCCTGCGGAGCTAGGCACAAGGGAGCTATCGGATGCGCTTTCGGAAGCTAGGAACATACACCAAGGCACTTAGAATTGAAAGCCTGTGTTGCGCATCAGGTGAAGAACTGTTCAAATGTGCCTCAAATAGCTTAAAATAGCCTAAGTCATAGACGCACTTGGCTGACCATAGCCAAGGGCTGTGATCGAATCCACCAAGTTGGCTGCCTGTCCTGAAGCATGTACTGCCGGTAGCTGAAGGTTCCTCGGGTGTCGATGTATCGTACGCAAAGCTCCTTCCCAGCAGAGATCTCGGTACAGGTGTAGACCATCATTTGCTGGATCTCCTGAAAGTTGCAACCTCCAAACTCTTCGTCCATAAATGTTCATTCTATTGCAAAATAAAACCATTGTCCCAATCAGAGGAGACATGCTCCCAAGTCAAATTGACTGCAGTACAGTACCGAGGCCTTGTTCCAACACAATCAAAGAAGCTAAAAATTGTCTTGATCATGTGTTTTGTGAGTGGAGAATTGAGTGCAGATGTCTCTTCTTAAGGAAAGTAATAATGTTCTTGTATATTCTTGTAACATCTTGTAACTACCTAATCTCCTTCACGAATAGGGCATACTATGTCCGTCCACTTTGAAGAAAAATTATGCAATTGACATCGCCATCGAAGCAGTCACCATGGAGTGATACAGCGTAGCAGGGCCTTGTCCCAGTGCTGCTCGCAGTTTGAATTGCAGGAGTGGTTGAAGCGGCTGACCATCTCGCACAACACCACATCATCAGAATCATCACTGGAGAAAGCGTTCGTCCTGCGATAGCGGCAGTGGGTGTGCAAAATCTCAGACTCATTGGGAGCCGCAGATGTTGTTTCCGTTTTTTTTTCAATAAGCAAAACCTCTTTTTGAGGTCTTCAATGATTGAACGGTGCCCGATTTTGTAGCAGGGACCTGTAGGCTGATGGTCCTGGTCTTACACAAGGCAATGAAGCTATGCAAATACCATGTTTTGTCTTCATGCCAAAATCGGAACATTATGTTACAACAATGACAATGGGAAACTGGCCAACAATCAAAAATTCATGTAATATCTGTATACATATATAATAAACATATATTTTTATATATAGTAATCAAGATATTATGATTGTGGGTCTGCGCTGCTACCTCTCGAGGATCCTGAGGATGCCTTCCAAAGACTTCTGGTCGAAGGCGTCGTCCAATTTATAGACCTTGTTCTTGATCTCATCAGAAGCCCTGTGGAGCGTCATGGATCATGGGTACAAGTCTGACATAATCTGGCTACAATTAGGTCTCAATCCAAGAGATTCAAGAGTTGAGTCTGAATGCACGGTTTCCATGTCCGTAGTTCAACTTTAAATGCTTTCCTGCAGGTTCAAAACATCTCTATATCAGCCTTGCAAATTGCTCTTCCACTTCTGTTTTCCAAGAGGTTGATGCCGCGGAAAACTGCAGTAACGGCTCCTCAAACCTTGGTGACTAGATCCTCCATCAACTTTGAAGAGCTGTGTGATTTTGAAAAAATCCCACTGGCACACGATGCGCAAAAAAGGTTGCATGTCAGCACATGTCGGCACATTTGTGTTCAGATTCTTCAGTTGTGCAAGTCCAAACTGAAACTGAGCTGCAAGACCCTCTGGCCAGCAGCAATGGTCTCTACAGCCACCACACCCAAGCCTTTTCCATCAATCTCCACCAGTTCGCAAGACTTGGACAAACCTCTTCTTTGAAACTGGTGTCGGAAAGTCCTGTGCACAACAGTTGGTGTTTGGATGGAAGTGTTGGAGAAGGGATCAGAAAAACCGAAACAGGCAGCGCATGGCAGCGCTGTGTTTGGGTGTACAAACACATGTCCAGGTTGTTGCAGGTAAGAAGTGTATATCTATAATTATTACAGTAGTATTGGTATTATAATATATATATATATATATAATACATATATATATATATAATTATATGTACATATATATTTGTACAGTATATATATATGATATATGGTTCATTGATGTTCATTGAATTTCCTGTGATTTTCATTGGTTTTCTGAAGTCCCACTCCTTGTTCCAGCTCTGCCTTTGTGAACCATCGCTGTCACCGTGAGGCACGGCCAGCCAGGCCCACCCCGTCGGATCCCTCGGATCCGAATCGGCAGCGCTTGCCATGGTTGCCATGGTTGCGGATTTTGAGCTGGGTTGCAACATGACACGTGATTGGAGAAGAATCCTTAATCATCTTAATATAATGTTGTGATGATTTTCTTCTGGGCCTTTAGGATCACATGAATCAGGAGCAAGTGTTCAATATCCAGATGAGAATTGCTGCAAAGGTAGCTGGCTATCCAAGGTGTGATTCTTGGGATGCTCTGAGAAAGTCAAATTTGCTGCAAGTTCGCGTTCAGAGGCAGTCAAAAAGAGTCTATAGAGCAAAGACATAACGAAAAACATGCAAAACTGTTGTTTTTTGTTCCTGTTGTTGTAGAGCTCGGGGACCATTTTCACAATTGTTCACTGACTGCATATTTCAATGTCTCTAAGCAGCATCAGCACAAGCAAACATTTCATCGTAGCTCTTGCTTGGGTGATGGCGCACAAAGAAACATCACTCCCTTGACCGGGAAAATGCTCTTCTGTGTATACGCCTCAGTTGCACGAGACTTATCTGCACAACGAAGACTTTGACAGGCTCTGCACAGTTTGGCACAGCTGTGGCGCACCGCAGCCATGTTGAAGAAGATGCAGCCAATCATAATGGACGGCGGCAAACGGGTCATGATCTGAGTGGATCGGATCGCCCATTGGGGCCCACGGGAAGTGGATCGACCGGGTCACTTTTGATCACCAGATGCTGGAGTCTGATGGCAGAAATGTGAAGAACACACCAGAAATCACTGGCTATTTTTTTTGAGATCCAGTTGAAGCACTAATAAGGTTGACTGTTTAGATATGTCGGGGGCCATGTGGGAGCCCTTGGGAGCCCTTGGGTTCCCGCCGGCTTGACCGTCCACACATCTGAGCCAAAAGTTGAGTTCCTGGCGCCACGGTAGAACCTATGGCAGGCCAAGGGCATGAGAAACTTACGCGGATGATCCATGATAATCCAGCAAATTTCCCATGCACACGAAGATTTTATCATCATCAACAAACATCTGTCCACCAATCAGCAAAGTTTCAGGATTCGGCTTTTTCTTGTTCTTGAAGTTCTCCAGCAATGTTCGTCGTGTCCTTGGCAGCAGGTCACAAACTGCAGCTTCGATCTTCCAGGTGCCCAAAGGCCCAAAGGCTTTGCAGCTGGTGTATGCTGGTGTGGCTGAGGCTGACGCAGAATGTTGGTTTGTTCCCAAAGTGTTGGCATGTGTTTCACCTGCTGAAATATCTGCAGGTTGGTCAACCACAGCCAACTGGAGGTTAGTGGGTACAGGTACAGCACTTCCAATGATCACACGCACAAAGTCTGGATGTAGCCAACGGTCATGATAGTGCATGTCATTAAATAATGGCTGCCCTGTCACAACAAGTCAAAGAGTTTAAGCATGTTTAAGCATGTTTATAAGCATGTTTAAGCTATGTTCTATTAAAATCATGGCGAAGGCAGTTGATTTCATTCATTTTCACCATGATCCAATAGAGAAACTCTCTCCGCAGCCTTGGGCGCAACTGCTCCATCCATCTTGGGACTCTTCCCAGCAGAGTTGCCGGAGAACGCCTGCAACTCCAAGCCGTTCCAACCCATGGAGCGCCAGAAGCTGTCCCCGACTGACCATCACTGACCGCACACGATATCATAGGAGAACATGATCAGTCATGATCAATGGAGCTGCATCTTCCTGATGTCACTGCCTCCCAGTTCTCGATCCACTTGCTGCTTTCATCCTGCGCATTGATCATCGGTAGATGTCATCTGTAGATGCCACGGTGGGATTTTGTTTCATGTCCGGTTTGGGTCAAATTTGGGCGCCTCTGAATCTTATCACTGCATGTCCAATGCTAAAAATCGCTAAACTGCCAAACTCTGAAGAGATTTGCCTGCACCACCTGCACATAGTGATGGGCTGGATTCGTCTTGTCTGGCCTCACGTGATGAAGGTGGGGATGTCGAAGGGTTGTTCAACCAGTGCAACACAGATTGCAACAGATTTCTTCAACGCCATTGGTTCATCCTATCATCCTTTTGCGGGATCGTGTTGCTATCTTTGCTCGCAAGATACACGCACCAAAGGCGAGCTTGGGCTCGTGTCGCAACGGGTCACATGTTGAGGGGGTCTATCGGCAGACAGTCCGCCATGATGATCATCACGCTTCTATAGCAGAAATGATGGCAGAAATGCCAAAAACTGATCCAAATGGAGTCCAATTGCTCCTAATACCATCATTACCATCCAAACTTGCATTAGTGGTGTTCAAGTCACCCGCATCCTAGGATTTCAACACATCACTGCACATCTGACACCCAAGTGGGTCCGCTTGACATGGGGCCATGCAGGGGTCATTTTTCCTGGCTCAAAAAAAGGTCATATAGAGATACAATGGAGTGGAACCAACATCTGATACAGTTATCATCACTTACAGTATATTATACAGTTTACATCACTTTACAATTTTATATACATCATTTTACATCAGTATACCCTAATATACCCTAAGGACTCGACGTTGCAGATCCGTGCTTGTAGAAGTAGCCTTCTGCCTCCAAGACCTCCGGGTTTCCAGAGACGTCAAAAAATATCTAGTTCACTCACAAAGCTGGGAAAACAGACCTGGTTAAACCATGTTAAACCTAAAGTGCCTACCCATACTATTACTATACCAGTTACCATACTATAGCCATACTGTACAGCCTGCAGGCCACTGGAATCATTGGAATCAGCTAAAAAGGCAGTCAAATGCTGACAACTTTCAACAACCTTCAGGGCAAGCAGCCTCCGATGTTTTCCTGTATTCCACTCTGTTGGTGGAAGCTCAGCCCCTGCAACTAACTACTGGTATGGTTGGGTCAAGCACGTCGTGCCGACCAGGAAGACAACCTGGCAAAACGTTCCAAAGCCCAATTAATTGAGCTCTCTAAAATTCTCTAAATAACATTTTGTCAAAGCATCTTTGGCGTTTGACATCAATGGACCGATGGACCAATGGACGCATCATGGGAATGGGCGGTAATGGCGACATGATTCTGCATGCACATGGTTGCCCACAGCAAAAATGCCGCTTGGACCGAGATAATCTGCGCCACAAATGTAGCAAAATTGCGCACCACATTTGCAGGTCATATGGTCACATCCCCTCCTTTTTTCGATACCTTGTCTGCAGCTGGGACACTGCTTGATGTTCTTCTCATTCATCAGTTTCTTCAGACCTGCCTGAAGTTCCAGAATGGGAGCGCCCCTGATGCGCAAAGGCAAGTAGCCCCCTTCAGCCTTGAGCCATTTCTTGCTGAGGATTCTTCCCTCAACGAATGAACCAAATCTGGCCACGGGCGATCCAGCTCGGATCGCTCCAAGCTCCGGAGAGGAGCGATAGATCACGCCACTGGAACTTGATCGAAGCACACTGTTGTCCACCTGCTCAAGCCACGCTACTGCTTTAACGCATTGATAGTTCGATTGCGACAACTGTGAGGGAACGTATGTATGATATTGTATGATTATGTATGCGTATGTTATGTTATAAACGTTGTAAGAATATTAAGAATTGATAAGACATAAAATGAAACCACAGCCTCGTGTTGCTTCACACCCTGACAGTATCAAAGCATCCAAACTTGTTGTGCTTTGCCATTTTGCCTTCACCCTGCCTGATAGGTTTCGACCAATGGCTGAATGACACGAACATTGCGCAAATGAGTGGGTAGGAAGAACTCGCCCACAGCTATCCATCTGTCGTTGAATGGCCACCCACGCACCGTTGTTCCCCATAGCACACAGGCGTTGATTGTGTCCTGCATTGAAGCGGACTTCCTGTAGAGGATTCCACGAGAAGAGGATCTCAGGGTGCAGTTGTCCAGTTTGAACGAAGGCTGCCATTCCTGTTTCGACTGCAAGTTCCGGTCATGTTCAGCACAGGACAACTCGTCATGCCAGATGGTCCTGTGATGGTTGCAAGTCCTCCGCCCACAGCTCTGGCATGTCATGAAGGAATTGCAGCTAAGGTCATCCACAAGTTGACCTATTCCACAACCATGGGCACACCAAACAAAGTTTGGTTCCTGGGAAAGGGCTTTTTGCAACAGGAAGGTATCAAGCTGTTCAGCATCGGCCGTGGAGCTTTCTCTTGCAACATCTGCCAGGGAGAGTTCTGCTGCACAATTTGGGCATCGGATGGCAGCTGATTGGCCCTTGCTTTGGATCTCCGTCTTGATGGTCTGCTTCATACAACTTCTGCAAATGTCCCGGACATGTTGGCAAGCTTCAGTGATACGACCTGGAAAATGATGCACTCCCTGGTGACCTTTCGCCGCTTCACATCCCTATCATCCATGGCGAAATATACTAGCAGGTGGAAGACACGCTGTGCACATTGACTCTCCGGCAATCAATATCGTCAAGATGGCAATGAAAAATCCCATTTCCAATATTTCCAGTCGGAAATCATCTATGAAATTCTATGAAGTATCTGTAAAATATCTGTAAATCAGAGGTAAGGTGTGTGTTATCATTCTGCTCCCTGTTCCAAGGAACCCAACATTCTGCCATGGACAGGTACGCCTTGGCGGCCAAATGCTGCGGCAGCCAAGATTAGCCAAGGCAAACTGACAAAGATAACAAAGGAATTGTCTTGCGGTGATATTCTGGTGATCTAAAAAAAACACTAAAATACCCTCTGGTAAACCAACATAGCTATGGAAAATCACCATTTTTAATGGGAAAATCCACTATATATGGTCATTTTCAATAGCTATGTTAAATTACCAGAGGGTAATCAATGTTTATCCAAGAGTTGAGAAAATCCGTCAAGACTGTCCAGGTGCCTGTCCTTTTGCAGATGCTGTGTGCTGTTTCAGCCATGGGCAAAAGAAATGACAAGTCTCCCTTCCAGCCATGTGCATGGAAGCTACAGTCTTGTCATGGCGACAGAGCCCCAAACACTGAGCTCAGCTGGTTGCACTGTGGGATCGTTCCAGAGAACTCTCCATCAAAACGGAAATCTATGGCAAAACACCTTCAAAAAGCACCAGGATCCAGTCTCAGACCTGGTGCAAAATTTCTACTACCATGGGTAGGTAGCAGCTATTGACAGTCAACTGCTTCAGCAGCATGGTGGAAGAGCCTCTCGCGCTTCACCCTCAACAAATATTGCAAAACATCTGTTTGATGTGCAAGATCGGCAGATCTCATGGCGGTGATTCCATAGTCATTGGCCTTACCAATATCTGCCCCTGCCTCCACTAAGAAACGGACCACCTCAAGGTGGCCGTTCTGAGCTGCCACTACCAATGGGGTTGAGAAGCCCCCGTAGTTCACATCGGCACCTGCTTCTACTAGGAGCTTCATCAAATCGACTCTGCCTCCCAGCGTGAGATGCCAGCCACATCGCATCTTCAACAAACACAAAACCGAAACGCGTGACCTGCATTCTTGGGGTAATAACCAGATTACTTCCAAAATCTTCCATATACATCCACGCAGAATATCCAGCTCAGTTTAGGAACACTCATCCCATATCCCATCCCCCTCCTTGCAAGGCAGCGCAGTACAAAGGAGTGAAGCTCTGGAAGTCGTGCTCCGACATCAAGGACGCAGCATTTGGATCGATCAGCTTCTCTAAGGCGTCCACCACCTAACCCAGGGACCAACTCATCCACTCCTTTTCGGTGTGCAAATGGGCAACATACGTAGATCTATCACGGGTAATCCCATCTTGCTGATTCAAACGGGTTGACTGAACTGAACTTTTGACTTTACCATCATCCCCCGCCTGAAGTTCATCTCCATTTTTCACCGCAGAGATCAGGTCCCTGGGGAAGTCGTTGTTGCAGGGCAGCACCAGGACCTGCAGCTCTGCTGGGCAGCCCATCTCGGCCCAACCGCCCTCCATGACCTCGCCGTGCTCACCGTAGAGGCGTTGCCGAAATCTGGGCGCACCCAGGACAGGCTGCAAATACACCTGGAAATTGCCAGGAAAACTCAAAGCCCATTGAAAACCCATTGAAAACCCATTGAAACCCCATTTTGATCCATGTTGGTGATCCAATGGGTGTTACCAGGAGCAGTTCATAGCAATTCATGGCTAGTAAAGAAATCGACAATAATGGATGCATATCATTGCACATCCATGAGTGAGTCATGCTGCTACATACTTTTGCGCGCAGTACTCTCAGCCGATTCAATGCAAACTTAGGATGAGTGTCACCATACAGTACTGCACCATCACACAAAGCAACGCACTGTTTGAACACCCCTCCCAAAGGGCGCATGTTTTTCGCATCATGTTCCCATCATTTTCTTCCCTGGTTTTCAGCCTTCAGGGATGCCACAAAGTCATGGGTTGAGTCCAGCTGATGCACTTGGGCTGCATCCAGCAGAGCCACGGTATCTCCGGAATGGCCACAGCGGATGTGGAGCATGGACACCGTGGGACGGGCGCCCCGACACGTGGCCAATGGCGTCTCCAAACAGCGGTTGAGATCTGTGAAGAGGATTGAAGAGGATGGTTATCATTGGTTATCCAATCCTGTACAAGTGGTTGCATTGCCACTATTGACTATATTTTGGTACTGTGGTGCCATGTGATAGCGGATACTGTACAGGAGCTGTGAATGATGTTGACTCCATTGATCTCAACGCTTCGATGTTTGAGCCCAGAGACAGCAAGGGCTGCCTCTCCATTGAGTCTGACGAAATCCAGGCATTACGTGTGCATGATTGTATCATCTGTAATGCCAACCCCAGATTAATAAACCCCTTGGCTGACTAATTGGGTGGGTAAAAGGGTGGGTACCATTTAAGTAGCAAATTATCAGTGTTGCGCCGGATGTGGAATCAATATGAATCAATAGACCAACTCAGCTTCCATCATCGCGCAGAATCCCGTGTGAAATTGCTGCGTGAAACTCCGCACCTTGCCGCTGTAGACGATGCGCCCGGCCTGCAAAGCACACCGGTGAAACCCCCAGAATCAGCCAACTTAGCGGTCAACCCGACGAACCCAGCACCACCTCCAACAGCAGTAGAAAGTCAAACTCGCTGAAAACGGAGTATGAGGGCCTCGACTTGCAAACAACACTGACACGGTGAAGCAAGTCAACTTTAGCATATTATGCAATCGTGGACCAAGCCACTGGCCAAACCGACTTGCCACTCATACATCGAACATATCTGAACATATATCATACCCGTACCCGAATTGTGTCGTTTACAAACTCTGGAGATACACCCATGACATCCAATCACATGAGAGCTTCTGGTAAGAGATGGTAAGAGATAGAGTCTGAGTGTCTGGCTGGTGGATTGCGGCAATCACAGTCACTCCTCGACCTGAACAAAGCCACAATGCGGCCCCTTGGCCATGCATTTCACAGACTTTGACATGCGGGAATTGTCTGAACAGTTGGCCAGCGACATCTGAACCAGGACCAAAATGCCGAAACACACAGAAGTGCAACAAAGATGTTCTGCCTGCTAGGGACTTGAGGACAGCCTCAGATATTGCTGGCGGCTTGCATGACAAACGGAAGTTCCAAAGCTTCCAAACCTTCCAAACCTTCCAAACCACCAGAACCAGTGGATATACAATCATAGTTATAGGGATTCTATCCCAACATATCCCAACTTATGGGGGCATTGCCATGGTTATTTCATGTTATTTATTCTATCCATTAACAACCCCAACCGCACCCCCCAGTGGACTCTTCGGAAGTTCGCTGAGGCACCGGGCCACCATGTTTGATGCTGCAGCCGAATCCAGACCACTGGTTGGTTCATCACAGAGCAGCACCTCCAACTGAGATGGTCTGATAGCCAGCTGTGGTGATACTGGATATATTATATCTACTGGATGGTCCAACAGCGCACCTGTGGCAGACCACCAATAATTGCCATGCCAACGCTCAAGCGTCTTCGCTCACCGCCTGCGGAGAAAATAGTTGGCATTGTTAATGTGGCATTGTAATGAGTCAAAAGCAAAAGATTAGCTCAGAAAAATAATGAACAATAGTAAGGTTTAAGCTTCAACAGAAACCTGAAGTAAAACGAGAACTGCCCTTTGTGTGTTCAACATTGGACAAACCCAAATCAATCCGAAATCATGCAGTCCAGCTGGAAATCTGATGAAATCGGAGCCTGAGATGCCACGCATCCCGATTTTCTCATCTCCAATGGCCTCAGGATCGCGACTTCATCAGTCCAGGATATATACCAAGCGATATCAAGCGCTGGGATATATCAAGCAAGACATTGTCAATATGTGGTTTCCATCATGTTTCCATCATGTTTCATCTTCAGGAAAAATGAAGACCTGATAAAAAAAATGCAATAGGTCCAATAGGTCCATGAGCTTTATAGTCCAGGCGAAGGCTGCATGTGACAGTCCCTGTGGATCCAAGCGGTATCGGCGCACTTCTCGATGTGCAACAAGTGGAGAACTTCTTCCACGCGGTTGTTCCTGTCCTTAGCATTTCAATGCATTTCGTATCATCGTTTCATTGCTCTTCTGGCCGGTTGCTGATTTCGGCTCCACAGCCAACTAGGACTAGGATCATCGTCTAAGTTGAAAGGATAGAATGTGAAGGGATTGATTGAAACCGCCAGCTAATACTCGTCGAGAATGATCAGAATGTATCAGAATGTAGTGTCCTGTCCTTCCACCGTGTTACATGCAGATCACGAGGCAGCACCTCACCACACTGAGCGCTGCTCACGCTCCGACCAAGACTGAGGCAATCTCAGCTCTGCTGCGAAGGACAACCTGCACAGTCCCAGCTTGGGATGAATTGAGCAATCCAAATCCACTTGCAGAAAAGATCTTGTGAGGCTTGGGTTGCTGCCCCATCAACCTCAACCCGGCAGTTTTCAGTTGGAATGCATCCCCACACGTTTCTTTGCCTGCCTTTCCAATCTGAGCCAAGTTGCATCTCTCTGGGAGTCAGAGCTGCCAAGAAGACATCTTCTTGTGGCACTGCCTAAACATTTACTGCATTCACTGCCTGTCTCTGAGACCACGTGCGACGACATGCGCCGCTGCCCGCGCTGAGGTTGGCTCGCTCACCAAGTGTCTCATCAGCTCCATGTTCACCGGCATGCCATTGCAAACCACCTCCACCATGGGCACATTTTTAGGCCGGAACTCCGGGCCGGAACCCACGGAAACCAGAGGTTCCTTCAAAGGAAAAGCCAACAATGAGACAAAAATTATCAACAACTATACACAATAATCACACAATCTTTCTGCAAAAACCCTTTTTCTTTAAAACATACTGGCCAATAATCATTTTAACACTTGTAAACGAATGAACTGTTTTCAATGCTTTCCAGCACTCCCTACCCACGGCCTCACCACAGGTTTCGGAGCCTGCGGCCTGCAGGCCACGAATGGCTGTGAGCACAGACCTTGGATCAGCGGCGAGGTCGTTTTGCCCCCTGGGAAAATGCATAAAAAATGGGCATGCTTCCGTGGCACTCCATATATCATCCTATATCATCCTGTATCATCCTATATCATCCTATATCATCATTAATCATGGTATTCATATACCATATGAGCAGATTTCAAGAAATTCATATCATATCATCACTGTAGAGAGGGAACGACAATGACCCAGGCTGTGCCAACCATGGCCTGGCGACTGGAACTCGCCTGAAACTCATGTGTTTAAGGAGACTTTCTTGGAGATGAGTCAGAAAAAATGGGACGGAAAAACAATATCTTAGGGTCTATCTGAAAATAAGGGGTACCCCCAATTGGTTATTTTAAGAAGTAACTATCAATTTTCTATTTTTGGACAAACCCATGGAGTTTAGAGTGTTGATCTTCGATTTGTCCGGATGAGGACTGGACGTCTTGCCTGAGCCACTGGCCCCCATGACTGCAGACAGCCTGGGCACTGGATCAGCCAGGCCATCTCTTGATGGTCTACTACCCATACAGAACATGGAGTATGAAACAGGGGTGCACAGTAAACACGTCATATTCATATACTCTATGTTGATCATGTATATACATACACACATACACACATACACACACATACACACAAACACACGTACACACATACACACACACATACACACACACATACACACACATACACACATGCACACATACATACACACATACATACATACACACATACCTACACACATACACACACATACACAAATACACACATACACACATACACACATACACACATACACACATACACACATACACACATACACACATACATACATACATACATACATACATACATTACATTACATTACATTACATTACATTACATTACATTACATTACATTACATTACATACATACACACACACATACATACATACATACCATACATACCATACATACCATACATACCATACATACCATACATACCATACATACCATACATACCATACATACCATACATACCATACATACCATACATACCCTACATACCATACATACCATACATACCATACATACCATACATACCATACATACCATACATACCATACATACCATACATACCATACATACCATAACATACCATAACATACCATACATACCATAACATACCATACATACCATACATACCATACATACCATACATACCATACATACCATACATACCATACATACCATACATTACATACATTACATACATTACATACATTACATACATTACATACATTACATACATTCCATACATTCCATACATTCCATACATTCCATACATTCCATACATTCCATACATTCCATACATTCCATACATTCCATACATTCCATACATTCCATACATTCCATACATTCCATACATTCCATACATTACATTGCATACATTGCATACATTGCATACATTGCATACATTGCATACATTGCATACATTGCATACATTGCATACATTACCATACATTGCATACATTGCATACATTGCATACATTGCATACATTGCATACATTGCATACATTGCATACTACCTACCTACCTACCTACATACATACATACATACATTACATACATTACATACATACATACATACATACATACATAGATACATACATAACATTACATTACATTACATTACATTACATTACATTACATTACATTACATTACATTACATTACATTACATACATACATACATACATTACATACATCATACATACATACATACATACATAACATAACATAACATAACATAACATTACATTACATTATATTACATTACATTACATTACATTACATACATACATACATTACATACATACATACGTACGTACGTACGTACGTACCTACATACATGCATACATACATACATACATACATACATACATACATACACACATACACACATACACACATACACACATACACACATACTTGCCTTACATTATTACATTACGTTACGTTACATTACATTACATTACATACATTACATTACATACATTACATTACATACATTACATACATTACATACATTCCATACATTACATACATTGCATACATTACATACATTACATATATTTATAGATATACATACTGTATGTGCATTGTAAATGTATATATAGATATACATTTAATCAAAATATATTAGTATATTCAATAAAGTTGACGTTGATCTTTACCTGGTTTCATCGCCGAAATCACCCATGGCACTGCAGTGGACTGTCCGGCGTGCCTCCCTGGTGGGAAGCTGCAGCTCACGTTCGACAAGATCTGCGCAGCATTTTCAGGTTTTTGATCCCATTAAGGCAGTGGATCGTTGGTACGGACTCACCCCTGGTGAAGATATAGGATATGTAGGTGAACAAAGGTTGGTCCAAGTTTGGGATGAATTTTGAATAGTTAATTTTGATCTTCACCCATTGGTGCCATCTCCCATACTCCTCTGGCCGCTGGCCTTGCGTGGCGGATCACCTTTCTTCGCTCCTTTGACCTGCAGCTCGACATCTGTGAACAGCTGTGAAAAAAAAACGGTGGAAATGAACCCAAGATAACCCAAGGATGGTACAGCACCAGGCGTTGCCAATTTCTGGTGAAAAAAAACTCATAGTTCATCATAGTTCTGTAGATCTATCAACGTTCTATCTATTTTTGCCATCTCTTGTCTTAACGTTTTCTATCCAAACTTCTTTCATCCATGGATGAAAGATGGATCACCGAGGCTGCGTCCACAAGGCTCAGATCGAAGATGCTGACATCGCCGGGTTGTCTCGCCTGCCATCTGAACACTGGACTCCTACCAAAGGATACCAGAGGTTTCATTGATTTTGATTTCATCATATAACCCCTAATCATTGAATCTGATCGTTTGGATAGTTTCATTTCGGGGTTTCAATTTTCATATTTGCAGTTTCCAGAGAAGACATGGAAAAAATGTGTCAAAAAACGGTAACCAAAACTTAGACGATCAAGTCTTGGAAAAAATGACAACATATACCAAAGTTTGAACAACCAAGCCTTAGGGGAAAAAACTGATAGAAATCACGACCCCGAATGCATTTTTTTAAAAGTGTACATCAACAGAAACCATCGAAGAAAAGTCTCCCCAAGAAAAAAACAACACCTAACCTGTGACCTGTGAAGATCACTTTTGGTGTAAACAAGTCTTTTAGCGAGACCAGATTCTGTGTCCAAGTATTTGGTATAAAAATGCAATTAAATGTGTTGAATCCGAGGTCGCACCAAGCCATGTCTTCTCTGAAAACTGCAATCTATAAACATTTAAAGCCGCAAAACAACAAAAAAACAAACATATTCTAAAACCAAACTATCAGATTCAATGAATAGAGGTTATATTGAAATATCTTGATTCATATTGAAAGATAGATCGATAGATAGATCGATCGATCGATGGATCGATAGATCGATAGATCGATAGATCGATGGATCGATAGATACATTGATAGATACATCGATAGATCGATAGATCGATAGATAGATCGATAGATCGATCGATCGATAGATAGATAGATAGATAGATATAGCATCATATAGCATCATATAGCATCATATAGCATCATATAGCATCATATAGCATCATATAGCATCATATGGCATCATATAGCATCATATAGCATCATATAGCATCATATAGCATCATATAGCATCATAATATAGCGTCATAATATAGCGTCATATAGCATCATGTAGCATCATATAGCATGATAGTTCATCTTGTGCCCCCAGTTTTGTTCTTGCCCACCTCGAGGTCTTCAGTGGCTTGGGCAAATGCAGTTGCAGCTTTCCTATGGCGGGAACTGCATCCAGCGGAACTGGCCGTTGTGAAAAAGCCTATGGATCCACTATGGCGAACTGGCCGTTGTGAAAAAGCCTATGGATCCACTATGGCGTGTCTGCAAAAAAAAACGGATGGCTTACCAACAATATGGTAATTGGATTCACTAATGATTCCATAGAACAATAGTGTCATTACCAAAATCTCTAGTTCTCACTGGATTTTTTTCACATCACCCAACCATATTAGCCTCCGCCGACTTTTGTGGCATGGAGTTGAGAGCCAGACTCCAATGGAGAAGCCATCACTCAAAAACTGCTTGGGGATCTTCAGAAATGCGCAAAATGTGGTCTGCCAAGATAGATCTAATATGATTTCAGTGAGGTTCCTTGCTATTTGAGTCAACGGTTTTCCTCGTTTATCTATGTGATAATCACATTTTCGGCACTGGTGTCCAAAGTCTGGGGCCAACTGTATTGTCAGTGGCTGTGAGTTTGTTATTCTTGCTTTGTGCTCATGCCAAAGTCCAACAAGAATCCTACCATGGATACTGTGTGAAAAGTAGCCAGTTGCCCTGGTGTCTGGACATATTCTTGAAGATCCTGTGCCAACGTTCCTCATCCAAAATCTCTGTGGATTGATCCAGCTGAAGCGAGCTGGAGCACGGCAAGCTGAGCAGTGCCTCAAACCCTCTGTCATTCCCTTCTACTGGATGGTTGAGCGCCGGCTTCCCAGATAGAATTGTCATAATCCTCATGAAACAGCCTAAAACCATGTCTGATACGCAACTAATCATGATTCACCAGCCTGAATAAGGCTAGGTTGGGAGAATCCCCCGAATTGCTAACCCATATAGTATAATTACAATCAACTCCCACCATTTGCTCCGCACCTGCTATGGAAAATTACCATGTTTCATAGCTAGATCATCGAACTGAATGGGTCATGGCTTCCATAGCAAACTGGAACAACTTACCAGAGGGTAACCCCAAAGTGGTAAACCCAATGCCATAAACCGACTATCTCAGATGGTTTCAATCTCACCCATTTTTTTTTACTCGGGATAGTTTATTATTGGCTTCTCTATTCATAGCACCTAATTGTTAATGATGGTTTCAAACCCGTTGGGTTTTAATAACTTAATTCATTAGCTCATCAATAATTTTGAAAACCAATATTGGGCATATGGGGAATATTAATAAACCATACTAAGCCCAATAACCCCAACAACTCCAATGAAAATGTGTTACTTGGGGATATGATTAATGATTAATGATATATATTTCTTAGAGATCTTCCCCTTTTTATTGGGCCCCAAAAAAAATCCTCCAGCGATTGAAGGTGCGCCTGCCCAAACTGGAGCCACCGTTGACACACTCAGCGGTACGTGCACCTTCGGCACGTTTGGTCGCCTGCGGCTCGCGCACTTTTTTGATTTTTTTGACGCAGAGGAAATTGATGGAAATGGAGGGTGCTAATGAAAAAATATGAAAAAATCATCTGGAGGGATTTAATATGATTTAATAAGCCATCTAAATTTGGGAGATTCTTTGAGATGATTGGGGTGATATGGGGTGAAAACTCATTGCATCTACAAATCATATTGTCATATTCAGGCCATCTGTTTTTTGGGATTGATATGGGGTGATGATTCTGACTCCATAGCCAGAAATTGCTGGGGGGATGATTTCCTGCTGGATGCCTATATAGGTTGCAACATCTGGGTGCCAGCCGCACATGTGTTTGAACTTGAGAGCTAATCATGACCAATGGTTCTGCCCGCTAGATGCAGAGCAGACAGAAGGCAGGCGTGCTTTTTCGGACGACGAACTCAGCTGAAGCTTCTTGCGCTTTGCAACTGGCTTTGTGAACCGTTGGACTCCAGCAGAAAGGCAGCTTGGCGGTTTGTAAGGAGTGCGACGCACGTGATGAGGTGGCAAAAGTACCACACCTCTCACTACCATGTGGATACACATCAAAGACTGGCTTTCCACAAGACTCACACCATCTCCACCATCTCACGCCAAGCTGCAAATTGCCAGCTTGTATCACAATGACGCTCTCGGCCTCAGTGTCAGGTTAGGATGCAAAGAAGCTTCTCCATGTCAGCTATTGAAGATCCCCTGATGGTTGATGTTGTATGATCTTGGCCGATCTGAATATGGATCAACACATATCAAAAATAGATAAAAATAGTACCGTTGGTGAACACCCAAATAGACATAAATAGACTAAAACTCGCAAAACATTCCCAAATGGTAACTGACTTAGCTGGTAATTGGCAGTTCATGGGCACACAGCTATTGACCCGTTCCCATCTCCGGATCTGGGACTTCCTGGCCCACCCGGTGCCAATGAGGCGGCCAGGACCTGCCTCACAGGTGGATTTTCTGCTTTTACAGAGGGCCATTGTTTCCCTCTCTCTTCCGTGCAGCTTGAAATCATTCGGCTAGCCTCCGGAAAGCGTCCCATGCCTCCAAAATCAAAGAAATGTGCAATGCATCGCTCAGGGAAGGCAAATTCATTGGACTTCACTGGCAAATACTTGGCTGCTACATGCTGCTACAGTATCTCTCCTGTAGCCGACCGCCAGTTGTATGACTTGACCAGTTGCATTTTTTACACTGTAGATGTTTGAGGTCGTGGCAAGCTGCTTTCGCCTTCTCACGGCTCTGTGCACCTCATGCTGGCATGGTCTTAACTTTTCTTGTCAGCGCATCTTGCACAACCGCTTCTCAGTACACCCTACTAAAACACCCGAATCAATGCCCTCCCATCAGCCATCCATCAGCCATCCAATTCTTCCAGGTGACCAAAGCAGCTGCCAGGACAGAGCCAAAGGTCATCAGAAACGCAAAGGCGCGCCGCAACACGGCGGGCGGGACTTTGCCTTCGGCCGCGGCCACGCGGAGCTTCGCCAGACCATTCAGCAGCCGACGGCCAAACCTGGAAGCCATGGATTGTTCCTGGTTTTAACCTGGAGGATTTTCACATGGATTGGATAATGGCTGGATGATATACATCCGATTGGTACTGGTACAGTGGTGGTTGCATCATGTTGCATCCATGAATGACTTCTTCTGCCATCATGTCATCTTTTAAGAAAGACATGTGTTGTTGGTTATCCTGTTACGTAATGATATACCATCATATCTCCATCACATCATCTTTCAAAAAGACAATGATATTCTGATATACATGATATACTGGCAATCGAATATGGCAATGGAAAATCGCCCACGTACAGGATTTATCACTTGAAAAGTGCTTTGAAATTGCAATTACTATAATCATAGAGGATTTTCAATTGCCACGTTTGACTACCAGAGGGTAAAAGAGTTTTCTTATCAAAGATAAGATATGATAAGATGAGTCGCATCCATCGAAGCACGACACTCGCCGCTCCCCCGTGGGACCCTTGAGCATCCCAACTGGTACACGCGGTCACCGTAGAAATACACGCCATCCTGTGTCAAACTTGACATGCCACGTGCGATAATAAGGCAGCTGGAACCAGAAATCAGTGGGTAATGGGCACCCAATAGTGCTCCGGTGATACAACCGGGAAGAGTTTGTGGGTGCAACTGGCAGCAGGTAGTACTGTATCACATCAGGTTGAATATCATTTGCGGTCTGGGACCAAACAGATCTATCTGTGAGCCTCAAACCAAGTTCAGTGATGAGAATCCGGTCAGCACAGGAAGTTGCACCATCATCATACAAATGCAACACTGCCAGAACAGAAAACACGGGCAAGTCAAGAACGTATCTATTCATGATTAATGTGCTTCAACTGTTTCAAGTTTAATACCCCTCTGTCCCCCATCCAAGCAGTCCAGAAACCATGTATTGGTCTCACCAATCTCTTCCATTCGATTGTTCTTGGGATCCTTCAGTGTCAAAATGACGCAAAGGCTTGGCATGAAAATCAAGAAAGTTTGCAGCTGTGGGGTCCACTTTTAGAGGCTTTGCGAATCTCTGCACTCGATGTTCTGCAGTACCATCTCCTAACTACCCTCTGGTAAATTAACATAGCTATGGAAAATCACCATTTTTAATGGGAAAACTCACTATAAATGGGCCATGTTCAATAGCTATGTTAGTTTACCAGAGGGAAATTACGATTACAAACGGCATATAATGGCAGTGCTTCCTTGGAACCCTGAAGAGCTTCATGAAGGCAAATCAAGAGTGTAACAAGACTTGCTCCTGAGGCTGTTCGGGCACCTTTGGCACGAAGAATTCTGATTCTTGTTGTCGATTACCGTACCTGAACACTGCAAGAAGTCCCTGATCGTTGCATCCATCGAATTGCTGGTGCTTCTCTTTATATTCATGCTATTTCATGCTGTGCCATTTAATTTCCGATCATTTCCGCCCTGTGAGATCACTCTGCTTTCTGAATGGCACAACTCCAGAAAGGCTCACATGCCCGGTTGGCCGCCATAACCGGATCCGTACATTCCACGCCTGAGACTGGCGGCAACATGCGGCAACTGAAGAAAGGATGTAGATGCTGTACGACATTCGCTAAGTCAATAAGATGTGTCAAAATGTTTAAACTTTAAACCATGTTAATTCAAGTGAATTCATACATATTTAACCTACTAGGTGCATGACAATGAATGACCCATGCAACATGGATGTGATGTTCATATTTGCAAATACCATGAACTCCACCACCAAGGGCTGGACCCATACATGGAGCCCCCATAGCCGCCATACATCGAGCCCATCCCGCCGTAGCCACCACCGTAGCCGCCGTAGCCACTGCCATAGCCACTGCCATAGCCGCCATATCCCCCGTACCTCACCACTTGAGATGTCCGCACTGAACCCATCTTGAGAGTCTTCCCTAAAGCCGCTACCTTGAGACCATCAAAGATTCACGTGGTGGCTCCGTTTCATCTTGTCAGGGACTCAAATATGTTTACACTTTTTGACACTTTTTGTTGTAGGAAACAAACAAGGTCTGCGAGCCCAAGTCCAGTCAATGCATAGCACCTCCTGTCAGTGTCCCGTTGATGTTGCAAGATTCTTATGATTCTGAGAAGGATAAAACGTGTAAAGCCTATGCAGCACGGCTCCATCAAACTGCTCAGAGCTCTTGTTCAGGAGTGAAAGGTATACAGGACCCCAGATCAGTTTGATTTAAGACAATCTTCCTGGTGAAAGTGTTCCAACATATTCATACATATTCCAACTATATGACCATCTCAATGTGCAACTCCCTCGGATCCTCTCGTGACTCTTGAGGCTCTTCAGCAATTATTCCCTATAGTCCAGATGGTGTGGCAGGGGCACATTGAGCTGCCATACATCGAACCACCTCCGTACCTGCCACAGTTGGCATCAGATCAAAAGGTGCAGCATTTCCATAGCCCTGGAGGGTCTGCCGGCGGTTCACGCGCCAGTGCTGGCATAGGAGGTAGATGATGGTGTCAGCCTGTTGCTCTTCGTTAAGTTTCCAACTTGCCAAATCCATCCAAATCCAGGTTCAATGGGTCCCTGAGTGCACGACGAAGTTGTTGCAGCAGGCTCAACCGCGCTGCTGGTTACGTCTGCAGCAGGAGTGCCTACAGGCATGCTGAATTAAGACTGGCGCTGGCCGCTGTCCCTGATATTTTTCCAGTGTCACAGTTTCCGCTATGAAAAAAATGGTCTCATACGGCAAGGTCAACTTTGAGGTTAATTTGACTCATAGAGGTAAGCAAGTGGGTTTCCAGCACTTTCTTCTCTTGATTTCCCTTGCATCTTAGGTGTACGGAGCAACTGTACCTCAACTGCAGGCGAGCCACTTGCAGCCACGGGGTTCACCGGAGTTGATGCAGTAGCTCTCCTGATCAATGGACATGGAGGAAGTCTTCCCCTGTGAGTCTGACCTGTGATGGCAGCCTCCAAACAAACATAACAAATACACTTTAAACATACACAAAAATACACAACATTATATACCGTATATACCACAAGAAGATCTCAATGTCAGTCTCCTCCGCAGTTTCATTCATCTAGTCTTATTGCTTATTTTTTTTGAGCCACAGGAAAGATTATGAGCGCCTCTCTTCATTGGACAATCAAAGAAAATCAAAGAAATATAGATAAGATAAGATAAGCAAGTTCATTATCAAATCTCGGTATACTTCATCAGATTTCATCAGATTCCATCAGTTGATTCCCGGAATTTTCAACTGATACCTGGGGCCCTTGGCCTGCCGTTACGCTCCCAGGGCTTCGGTGGGGCGGCCTGGAAGTTGCGGTCAGGACCGTTGGAATTCTGGTCATGTGATATTGATTGGCTCTCAGAGTTTCCATGCGGGATTCACTGCGATCAAGAGGGAAATCGTCGTTTGAGAGTAGAATTCTGCGTGAACACTGATCGCAACTCCAAACCCCGATATCCCTTGTTGTAACATGTTGTAAGAATACTTACAACGAGAATGTCGGACCAGGAACATTAAGTGTTGATACGCATTCCAAAAATCATCTTCTTCACATTGACCATGGGATACAGAACATGATCCCCATGGGCCCGGCGCCTGCATGAAGCCCAGAGGTTAAGAGGCTTGACATACCAAAATGGAGCTGTTCTCACTTGGATCTCTTAGGTTGGATGGCCTGCAGCTTCATGGAAGCCTTGACAGGAAAGTGCTGAAGAAAGGGCTGAAAAAAAGGTGCTCAAAGAAATCCCAAGATGCAGTGTGTGTTATTGTGTGTTATTGGGAGATAGGAGGCATTCGGTGATACTGCAACCACGAAAAACAACTGAGTGCTTCTTATTCATTGCTACAATCTCTTAGAAGACACTTGTCTTTTCATGTAGGTTTCAAAGTGCTAGAGCAAAAGCTGCCGGGAAGCAACGCGACCTATGCAAAGTCTAGCTGCATATGACATGTGTGTGTGTGTGTTAGAAAGTTCAATTTCCTCAATATGTGTTCGCCCAATTTCCCTTCTGAATTTGACCCTCTTCGCATGCTGGATCCATCCAGTCCCATGGTCAGTTCTTGGAGAAATGACTTCAACCTCAAGTGACTCAAGTGGTCCAAATGGTCAGTGGTGGGTGGCACCGGAAAGCGTGAAGCTCTGCCAAAGGAGAAAGCTTGAGCAGTCCTGTCCCATGGATACTGAGGGCCCATGGCTCCGGTGCGCCAATCGATAGCAAAACGATGTTTGACGGATATACACGGTAATATAATACATTATAATACCATAATCTGAAAGAACAATACATTGTCAATACATCAACCTAAATATCCAAAAACATCGATAGCAGTATATCCAACAACACTAATAACACTAATCGCATTGAAAAGAGAGGAGAAACACATGCAGAAAAACAATACGCTTACGCGCCTTCTTTTGGAACTCGCCTGCTTGGTGGCAATCGAGTCCTGTTGCAGATAGGGGAGGTACCCAAAAGCTACGAGTTGGTTCACCATTTCCAAACTAGTTCCTTGTAAATCAGTAGTTGGCATATGTTGGGATTATTCAACACTATCAATGTTTTGGATTGTTTTGGGATGTTTGGGAGTTTGGGATTATTGGGGGGTCCTTATGTGGTGTGGATTCTCACTCCACTGATCACTATCCAACTGCTGCTTGAAAAAGGTGCTTGCTACTACTCACGAGCTACTACTCATGCCTTTCTCTAGAGGTGTCCTTATCATGCTGGTAGCTGGAAGGAGCCACCCCTTCGAATCCGCTGCCAACTGATTGAACCTGCCAGGGGACATGTTGCCATCCCAACTGCTATCATAGTTCACAAACATCCAACAGGCATCTACTCAGAACTGCACCGTCACAACCAAATGACATGGAGAACCCTCCAAATCATGCTTGTTCACTTCAGAGGGCCTTCCCAAGATTGGGGCTATCCTCTGCTTGTGCAGGAAAAAACACATGTCAGAAAAAGGTAACGCAATGCTAAGCAGCGTTTCCCAAGGCAAACACTAGGCGATTCCGACTGGAGCAAAAGCACCACAACAACGCTTTCTTTCTCATGAGTTGATGCCCATGTCAATCGGTTGGTTCAAGGGAAAATCTACAGGAGCCCTTATTTATTTAGATGGTTGAAACAGCTTCAGATATGGTTTTCCATGTTTTCCCCCATGTTTTCCCATTTTTTTGCACATGATCCCTTCAACAAATCCATCATCTGTGCAAAAAGGTGGACCCTTCGCAGCCCACAGAAAACCGCAGCATGCCTGACTGTTCCGACCCCGCGGAAAGGAATGCCGTGCCGAGCAAGGTCGGACTTTCCTGCAGGGTTTCTGTGCATCCCCAAATCTGTCGGGGAATTTTACCAGGTTTTGATGAACGAAAACGGAAATTATTGCGGTGATGTCACAAAGTTTGTGGTTCATATGAAGAAGTATCATACCATGTCACCATGTCCAAAAAATAGTGTAAATACATTTAATTTATATAAATACGATATATCATTTTTGCTCGTCGGTGGTTAGTGGTTTCAACCCCGTGAAAAATATGCTTGTCATTGGGGGCCATCATCCCTGGTTGAGAATAAACAATATCTTAAACTACCAACCAGACTGCTGAATTCGAAATAATATGGTGAGTTGTTCAAACACCCATAAGTAGACTTGGCTAAACACACTTCAGTGGGAAAACTCTCAACACTGCCCCACTGTTCTCAGCTCTTCATACACTACAGGTCTACAGGTGGTGAACGGTTTCTTAATTTCTTACCACAGCGGCATGATGCATACAGTTGGCTAAGAGGTAACGAATTTCTTAAATTTAACAATAATATACAATAATTTAACAATATTTAAAGTCAAGCGATCCTCAGAGCGGGTTCTTCCAAAATATCACGAAATCCACAGCCAACAGCTGACCCGGCAATGCAGCTGCTTCACAAGGTCACTGGAAACTCTGCACAACACACTTCCCGATGGAATCGAGTTCCCAAAAGAAACCCAGTTGAGTACCCAACATCGATCAACTCAGAAGCAACTTTTGACTCAAATCAACTCAAGTCAACCTTCTCAGCTTTAGACATATTTAAACATTTAAGCAATCAACCTTCACTGCAGCCAAGCTCAGCCAAGTCCTGTCATCTGGGTTGTACACCAGCCCAGGCCCAATGAGCCCATACCTGTGGACATGGATGACTTGAAACTGCCACAGAATCCGGTCGAATCCGGCGCCTTGTATGAGCACATTCCTTCAGAAGGTCCATATCGAAGACCTGAAGCTTGAAGCGTTCTCCGCTGAACGTTATGACTTTGATCCAGAACCAAAGAGGCAGCACTTTCAAGTAAAATACATCAAACTCATGCAAACCTGGATGTTTATAACTTGATAATCCATTTGAATGATAATCGTTCATTACCTCAATGATCTAATTTGAGACCCAGTCCTGCGCATCTCGCGATTCCGTGCCAAAGACCATGAATTTCCTTGGCGTGGCCGCTGTCCTCAGCAGATACAGAGGCCCCCAGACCGGGGTCAAGTGCCAAGCCAAACAACGATAAATACATATATATATATATATTATATTATATATGACATACATAGTTGTGATAAAATATGCATGAATTACCCTCTGGTAATTTAACATAGCTATGGAAAATCACCATTTTTAATGGGTAAATCCACTATAAATGGCAATTTTCAATAGCTATGTTAGTTTACCAGAGGGTATACATAGAAATGTTGATAATGAATACCCTCTGGTAAACTAACATAGCTATTGACAATGGCCATTTATAATTAGTGAGTTTTCCCATTAAAAATGCTGCTTTTCCATAGTTATGTTAGTTTACCAGAGGGTAATGAGTGAAAGCCCATTAACTGGCCGTTTCATTGCACGGGAGCACCAAACATCCCAAGCTTGTCTGAGCACATGGCGTACATTCCCAGGCTTCAAGCGGATATGTGAACTCCTCAGCACCCCATGGATGGGCAAAATCCTCCACCGGTAGTTTGATGGGGGTTGACCATGGTGAACCATCCACACTGGGCTTTTATCACCAAAATTCTCAGACAAAATTGGGATACAATTACTATCAATTATATAATATATATATATAATATATACTTTATCCAAGAAATAATGGATGGTTCATGATTTGCGGGCTTCCATTGGCTGGTTTCATGGGGATCACGGATTACCCCCGCTGGTGCCTGCGGGATCTCCTCCCTGGGAGCCTCTGGCATCCGCCTGACGGCTCATCAAACTTTAATGAGACATGGAAGAAACCTCAACCACTGATCCCTTACTTCTCTCGACTTTTCTAATTGATCATAGTATATCGATGTATATCATAGTAATCCCTGGCCTTAGAAGCATTATGAAGCATTCAAGTGTCAGCTATTTGAGATGTGACAATATCAGCTGCCTTGCGTGTTGCCCCTTGCGTCGAAGAGACAGTCAATGTGAAGTGATAGCATTCCGCAAGATATCCCAACGTTCACGCCCCACGCTATATGTGGGTGTCTGAATGTATGAATGACATCAAATGCATGGATATCCCATCTTAGATCATCCAAATCATCTCAGTCTCAGGGTCAAGATGCCTGGCAGAGTCAGGTCGACCACTTCTTGCAGAGTCCGGTCGACCACTTCTGGCGGACTCAGGTCGACCACTGCTGACGCCACAGAATCTGGAGGCACCTCAGTAAGTGCTCAGCAAGTGCAGCAACAGCTGGACACATCACTGGACAGCATTTTGGCTAAGAGATGCCAAGAGAATGAAACCAAGGTGAAACTGTTAGACTGATTTTAGATGATTTTAGACTGTACATCCTCACAGCCAAATTTCAGCCCTGTGGCCCCAACTGATTGCAGCATTCGGGTCTTTGACATCATAGGCACCAGGACCAGGCGTGTTCTCCTGTCAGCTGGGTGAGATAAGGCACTGACTGGGACCTGCTGAAACCCTGCCTGTGTGGAGTGCCAACCAGCACGATGTCTGGCTCGCGCAAAGGAATACCTACGTCCAGTGTCCCGGGTCGTGCGTGATGGTGCATCGAGCAGGATGAAAGTGAAACAGATATAGATGATATAGTTTGATAGACCTAGGCTCTCTTCCATCAGTTGTGAGAACAAGCCAATGGAACCTCTATACAATCTGCCCAGATTATCAAGAAGTCCTCATTTTTCGACCGGTCAGCACTTTCCGAACCACACCCAGCGCTACTCATCCAAAAACAAACAACATTTCTGTAAAGTTTGATGGCAACGATCTTCGTGATTTCTCTCAGCTGGCCAAGTCTTTGTAAATGGTGGGTTGAGACTTAACTATCAAGCTTGGGGATATGAATCGGGGAATATGATATTGGCTATATCAACCACTATTAGCCATTATCGACCATAATTCACCATTCATATCATTATCAATCATTACAAATGAAACTATGGCTAACCGTTCTCAACCATTATGACCATGATAACCATAACAATCCATAACATGTACTGATTTTACTGTATCATTCCGGACTGGCCAGAGTTTCGGTCCACCTGGCCGAGCTCGGCCGCAAAGAATTGATCTGGGGACCAAGGGCTTCCTCCTGGGGTTTCACCTGGTTGCTCACCTGGCGCCCAGCGCACAGCTCACAGCCCAACATGGGTATATCATGGTATATCATGGTGTGTCAAAACCATGTACCCCTGGTGAACATCAAAATAGCTGGTAAATGGATGTTCATCCCCCTAAAAATGATATTAATAGGTATTGATCCATACCCATATGAAGAAAATTCGGGAAAACCATCTACTCGACCTACCAGGACCTATCAGGACCTCCGAGGGCGCCTTGTCCCGTAAGCTCCGGAAGTTCTGATTCTCTTCCTCACCCTCCAAGGACTCTTTGCTTCCGTTCCTGGCCGATTCCAGCTGCGTTTTTTTGACTCGTTCTTGTCTGAAATCACCGATCTTAACTGTCCACAACTATCCCTACAGAGCGGAAGTGTAGACAAGAGGGGTGGGGAAGTGGGATCATCTGCAACATTGAATATCTCAGTTCCAGATTCTAGATCTACATCAAGCATCACAAATCAAGGCAAATGATGGCAAATGTTAGATAATGTTAGATATGTTCATGGGGCATTTTCCAATCTCAATCACTGGACCCACCTGAACATCAGCGGCAGGAATGCCACAGCTCAATGGATCATGTTGCGATGGAGACAGAGTCCACTATCCCCGGAGTGATGTTTGGGCTTTGAACAGCTCAGGTTGGAAGGTGCCGACAGCAACCGGAGAGGCAGCATCTATGTCAAATTATGTCAAGCTGCCTCATGAAACCTGATTTCGACAAAAGGTACAAGTCTTTCAGTGCTCAAAGTTCACTTTAGTTTTCCTCGTACCAAATCGCAAGTTCTTCATGCAGCTTCATGCATCATCTCCTGTGTTCGTGCATCATCTCTTACTAATTAATCCAACTAATCCTGCTGTTTCTATCTACTGCAGTTCATTCCTCGCGCTTCGGGAATTTGTGGGCCAACTAGTAACTGTTTCCCGCGCCCATTACAAGACCTGCCTTTTTTTTGAACCAATGGGTAAAGACAAAGACCACAACAAATGATTGGCACAGTATTTTTCTCCAAGCAATTTCCCTCACATTTATCATCAAAAAGTATGGATACACTGTACAAAGCTGTGAGACGTTGGTGTGATGCCGAGGCAAGCTGTACACAGCAAGCTGTACCACAGTGCAGGGTATTCCTGCATCACCATGGGGCCAAGGCCTGCAAGCATGAGAATGATTTAGACATGTTTTAAGTACAGTAAATACATGTAAAATCATGTAGTATAAGGAGGTACCTTATCTTTTAAGAGACTGGACATGATATCACATCCCATTTCACCGTGATGACGAGCAAGCGTGAGTGTGCCGCGCCAGTGCCTCGAGTGGCTCAACACCTGACAAGTCGTTTACAAACCATCGTCAGCACGGTGTTTCGTGGTGTGTGGTACATTTCCAACATAATGTGCTGTTTCCTGCAACAGCAAGACGCAGCATTTGATCACGATGATAACGAGTGCCTTAGGCTTCTTGATGCGCTACTGGAACCGCTTCAAATTGTCACAGCAGCGTCCTACAAAAACTCGTGCGAGATGAAATACGTCCGGATGTCATGGACTGCCTCCAAATGGCGCAAAAGCTTGGTTGCTCATGGTCGAATTTCGCATCGAATTTGCGAATTTATTTTAGGCCTCAAAGAAGCCTCAAGCAACCGTGGCGGCTGCGAGTCTCCCAAGGCTCGAGCGGACCGACAAACTGGCCAAATTCAGGGAATGAATTTGTAGCAACCAGATGCAACCAGCACATTTCAAATGGATAGACACTACCGAACACAATTCTTGAGATGGACTGGCAGATTGCGTGCAGATCGTGCAGGGGACCAAGGGGACAGAACCTCTTGGAAACTTGCCAGACCACCATGAATTACCAGCTGGCCATCGCCAATGGCCAATGTCTTTAATCTTGCAATCGGAGGTGGTAAATCCATGGTAAATCCGGAACTTACCATTTGAGCTTGCCATCCATGTTGTATTTCTTCAGCAGCTCCACCATCCAGTCGGCTTGGCCAAAACCCGCAGGTTGGTCGTCTCCAGTTCGGTCGGATCTGCACATCTGGTTGAGTTCCTTGACCCACTTCAGAGTCTCTGCATCTTCAGTTGCTTCAAACTGGCTGTAAGCTCCCTTCTCATGCCACAGGGAAAAGGATTGCAATCGGATGGTGTTCAAGGCTTCAGCTGGAAGTGTGCACTTATTGAACTTCAGCATGTGGTAGATGTACCTGAAACCCCAGATCCATGGCTGAAAGCAAAAGGTGAAACATGGTGAAACCCTGAAGGTATGAAGCCTTGCATGTCACCGACGCAAACGATATTGCAGCACCCCAAGTACCAAATCCAAGCCAATCCTCCTCAAAATGACATCCAACCTGACATTGTATTATATGTGTAGGTGTTGTATCATGGTTTGAATCCCAAGTGTAGAACGAGGCATGCCAGGGTGTTAACTCCCCGAAAAGACATGGAACAGTTGTGTCTAGTTGTGTCTAGTTGTGTCTAGTTGTGTCTAGTTGTGTCTAGTTGTGTCTAGTTGTGTCTCACAGTCGAGTCGAGCTGCTCATCCTTTCCCCACGACATCATCAGGTTTGAGATGCCACAGCCAGATTGATAGATGCCGTTCTTAGTGCCGTAGAGCGGGTGGCTGTGGTCGAGATTCTTCTTGCTGTCAGGCAATCCCACCATGTCTGGAGCACAGCCCACCGGAAAGCTATCTCCGAGCACTGCCCACTCATCCAAGAGGTCCTGAAACTTGGTGCAGCATCAGATTCTATATATCATCTTTTGCCGTTTCCTACATCAACATTAATGTCATCGATATATCATCCATACCAGCCCAAACCATCATGCAGCCTACATCCCCATCCCCTTCATCCCATTACCCTCTGGTAATGACTAACATAGCTATTGAAAATGGCCCATTTATAGATGGTTTACCCATGCAAAATGGTGATTTTCCATAGTTATGTTAGTTTACCAGAGGGTATATCCTATATCCCATTGGTCCTTGCCGGCCAGTTGCGGCAGCGCCATGACCTTCCCCAGGTCATGGATCAAGGCCACCAGCTGCAGCCAGTCTGGTGCCCCTTGGCCACGACATCGCTCGGCCGCTTGGAGGCCACGGCGATCCCCCAGATCCGAGAGGATCTGCAGCGCCTCAAAGACGCTCAGCTCACCTGGGAAGATCCGGATCGAGTTAAGACCCAAATGGATCGATTTGTGGAATGGAAACACCTACAGGAAACTAAAAAATATCTATATGTTATCACAACCATGTCTTTTCTCACTAAAATTATAGGATAAGTTTGATATATAAGTTCCTGCACATGTTCCCTTCAACCCATTCCGGGATTCTTTGGATGAACTGATGAGATCTGAGCTGGACAGGAACTGGTTTTGAAAATGGGGACAGATGGGATGCCACCTGGATGGTTCCAAGAACTTCCCCCCGGTGCCTTTGTCAAACTTCAGCCATCTCTCGTGCTGCTCCTTCACAAAAGCCACTGTCTGCATACAGTGCTTCTCGTACTTGGACAGCATCTCCTCCCAACATCACCAGTGATATGCCTATGACAAAAATATGCAAAAATGAGATGCCAATCGTTGGTCGACATTGGTGGTTCTATCCCAACATATCCAAAAATCTTATATGATCCTATATTAATATTAATATAATCCTATATGCATTTATCTATCGAATGCGTTACATACGACATGCAAGATCATGCAAGTATGATAATCTTCTGACTATGTCGTTGCATAGATCACACGCAAAAATCTGTAACAATGTGTCACATACGAATCATTGCAACATATTGCAACATATTGCAACTATGTAGACATTGTATGCCTTTTTTTTGCCTTTTTTTGCCAATATCGTTGCTGGATGTTGGTCTCATCTCCTCAACGATGTCAAGGCGCCGGAGCTTCTCGGGGCGCTGCATGTCATCCACTTTGGTGGCCACCGCGCCATCCGGCGTCCTGGTCAACAAGGAATCGACCTGCGCCAGCACGAGACAAAAGGCAGGGTCGAAAGGAGGGAACAAAAGGCACACTTGGAAAGTGGAAAATACATGAAAATCATGGGGAAAAAACATGAAAAAACTACTGGATAGTTGCGAATTAACACACTTACCAGTATCTTTTGCAACTGCATTGAGTTGAGATCTTGTTTGCCCAAGGTTCCACTCTGGTTTTCTCCAGGCCCAACACGAACGACATCTGTCACTCATGGGACCCACACCCAATCCTTGGCAATTTCCATAGTGTTCCCTTGCTTCCATGACATCTCCGCCGCGATGGTGGTGCGTACGACATTGGGATGTCTCAACATGGCCTTCTGCTCCAAGCGATGCAGCTCGCTATCTCGACCGGCCTGCACGAGTTCGATGAACTCAGTGAGCTCAGACTTGTAGGCCTGGCAGTTGACATGGCGTAAGCCTCAAAGTCTATGGTGATACAACATAGATGGCGTGGATTATGACATGATATATATATAATTCATATAATGGAGTATGATTTCTGATGTGACATTCTGCGACCCGCTGACCAAGGTGAATCAGTACCAAAACATTGAGCAAATCCATGTTCGAGGCCGGCCTGGTGGTAGCGCTGTGGGAAGCTGTACATAGCAGGTGGCATAAGATGGCCATCGGCGGTCGCGAGCTCAATGGTGCTGGTCAACTCGTTCTTGGCCGTCAGCATGCCACTCTCACCGAATGCCTCGATGCGCTGATCATAGCCATAGGAGGCATCGCGGCTGGTGTCCACCATTGCAATCAAACCACTGGCATATTTGAACATCACTGCACAAATGTTGACATCACCCATCGCTTCGATTTCGGGGTGGTAGCTGTGCCCAGTGGCTGTGACAGATTCTGGTACCTGACCACCACTGAGGAAGTCAAGCATGTCAAAGTCATGGATCAGCATGTCATGAAAGATTCCGCCGCTGGTGCGGAGGTATTCCATGGGAGGAATGGGATTGTCTCGGCTGCAAGTTTTGAGCAGCTTCAGGTTCCCAATAGCTCCTGCATCTAATTGACGTTTCAACTCACGGAAGTGGCGATCTGCACGTCGCTGGTAGCCACAAACAAAAGCCAGGTTCTTGGTCTTTGCCAACTCAACTGCTTCCTCGACCTCGTGCAACTCGTGTGAGATGGGCTTCTCCGCCAAGACAGCCTTGTCAGCCCGAAGGGCCTGCATGATATACGGGAAGTGGGTGTCCGTTGCCGAGGCGATCACAACAGCATCCACCGCATCGGGGCCCTCGAGTGCATCATCAAGACGTCTTGACCAGTTGCAACCTGGGTAGCACCAATTGTCGCAAATGAAACATAGACCGACCCCTAATAAAACCAGATATATAAACCAGATATATAAACCAGATGAAGACTGATGAATAATCAAAACAGGTCAAAACAGTGTCTTGTCCCAAGAGTATCCCAAAGTCTGCTGTCTAAAACAAGAATCAAACAATCCAAAATCCATCAAAATCCCATTGGTTTCTCTGGTGGTTTCTCTGGTGGTTTGATGACATCTCACCATATCTCACCCAAATCTTGGGCCAGACACCTTTTTCGGCTGCAATGCGCTGAGCCTTCTCGGTATCAACATCGATGACCCATGCGAGTCGAACTGATCCTGGAAGCTGGAGAACAGACTCCATGTGAAAATGACCAGCACGTCCAAGGCCGACAAGGGCAACCTTCACAACATCCTTGCCAGCCATTTCCAAACGGGATAGATATACAGTGAATTAAGATGTATTAAGTATTGGTATTGGAATCCACCCGGAAGGAGGAAACCACCTGGAGCCAAACGTCTACAGTGATGGCATGACACAGACTTCGATGCTCAAAGGAGAAGCTTTAGAGATGCCGACGAACATCCAAAGACACATCTATCGAATTTGATTGACATTATTTAGGTTTTGAAAACATGTCTGAAAGTATTCAATGACATCGACGATGGGTCAAGCACAGAAAAAAAAAAACAACTGAGTTCAAGCATGCTCAGGATCATGTCTGATAATCCTGCCTGCCCAGGCTTCAAGCTCCCTGAAGCAACCTCCAGTGCTAGCGATGGTACAAACTTCCAGCATCTCCAGCAAAGAAGCAGCACTTTTTCTGCTCCGAGATTTGGTGCTTTGCATATGTCTTTGGTGAGAGCTGGGCTCTCTGCAAAACCTCCTGCACTTTAAATGCAACAACAGGACAAAGGCACACACCAACATGGTGACTTTCAAGCCAAAACAAAGATGTTGGGAGGCAGCTCACTATGTAAGAGTCTGTAGAGACAGCGTCTGAAACCCGTTTTCGCTCAATGAATAAGTTAGGCACTCTTTTTTTGCGAGCATGACTTTCTTTGATGAGACACTGTCGCTTTACTGACACTGTCCCTACGGATAGGTGCTCTACTTGTGTGCACTGAACTCAGGATGCATAACCGTTGGTTTTACTGGACTTCACATCCGCAATGTTCACAGTTTTGCCTTCTTTCCATGACATCTCCGCCGCCATGGTGGTGCGGACCACGTTGGGATGTCTCAACATGGCTTTCTGCTCCAAGCGATGCAGCTCGCTATCTCTACCGGCCTGCACGAGTTCGATGAACTCAGTGAGCTCAGACTTGTAGGCCTGGCAGCCATGGTTTCCAAGCTACCCTGGGCCCTGTATATACTAGCCGTTACTAGCCCTGTTCAATTCGGAACCAAGAGGAATTTACACCTTGGGCCATGGGAGCTGGATGGGATCTGTGAACCCCAAAGTAACGGAGGAAAGGCACCCGGCACCACAAGCACAGAAAGAAATAGAAAGAACTCCCCCCTCAGGACAAGCAAAATTTGCCTACAGCAAAAGTATATGAACATATATTAATACTACTACCACTAAGAAATAAAGTGAATATAGTATGTAATAGTTTAAAATATCAAAAAAAAAAACAATACGAGTATCAATAACAGTGATAATCATATAATGATAATGAATGACAAACCATGATAGCAATGTTTAAATAAAACACGTATTCAAGAGAGCTGCATGACAACCAGCATTTGCGGCCTGAACATATCGTTGAGGAAAGCTGTACAATGCAGATGGCATTCTGTGACCGTCAGCTTTTGCCAGTTCGACAGTGCTGGTCAACTCGTTCTTGGCTGTCAACATGCCACGCTCACCGAACGCCTCGATGCGTTGGTCATAGCCATAGGAAGCGTTTCGACAAGTGTCCACCATTGCAATCAGACCACTGGCATATTTGAACATCACTGCACAAATGTCGACATCACCCATCGCTTCGATTTCGGGGTGGTAGCTGTGCCCAGTGGCTGTGACAGATTCTGGTACCTGACCACCACTGAGGAAGTCAAGCATGTCAAAGTCATGGATCAGCATGTCATGAAAGATTCCGCCGCTGGTGCGGAGGTATTCCATGGGAGGAATGGGATTGTCTCGGCTGCAAGTTTTGAGCAGCTTCAGGTTCCCAATAGCTCCTGCATCTAATTGACGTTTCAACTCACGGAAGTGGCGATCTGCACGTCGCTGGTAGCCACAAACAAAAGCCAGGTTCTTGGTCTTTGCCAACTCAACTGCTTCCTCGACCTCGTGCAACTCGTGTGAGATGGGCTTCTCCGCCAAGACAGCCTTGTCAGCCCGAAGGGCCTGCATGATATACGGGAAGTGGGTGTCCGTTGCCGAGGCGATCACAACAGCATCCACCGCATCTGGACCTTTTAGAGCTTCATCCAACTGGTCCGACCAGTTGCAACCCCTCTCGGCTGCGATCCGCTGAGCCTTCTCCTTGTCAACATCAATGACCCAGGTTAGCTTCACCGCTTGTGGCAGGTCCGTGATGGACTGCAGGTGGAAATGTCCTGCTCGGCCTAGGCCGATTACTGCCACCTTGACCACTGGTTTCTGGGCTTCTTTGGTCATCAAGCCACAAAAAACGAGGCTGATGCAGCTACTAAAATTACTAAAGCAGTTCTACGCCTCTGGAGCCAGACGGCCAACTCGAAGCTTGACTCAACAAGCGAATGTTGGGCTCATTCCACTCAACAACTGGACCAGAGGCTTTGTGTATTCAGAATACTTGCTACTTACGTCATTGAAATTATGTCACTGACCTCAAGCAGCGAAATAAAATGCTGTGAAAGCACGAGGAACAGGCCGGTTGGATCCGGTTGGGTCTCCCTGCTGTAACCCCAGATTTGGTGGCCGAAGATGGATTTATGTACGGCCCAGGAGCTGTGATAAATGCTGGCAGCGGCGAAAACTGTGCTGGCACCATCCATGGGAATCATTTTGTTTGACGTCCTAATGTCCTAATGCTACGAATGCTGATTGCCACAAGATCTTGTGACAGTCGCCCAAGACACGATCTTGACGAAAGCAGGAAACACTGAAATAAACAGACCTTTAACTGTCTTGCAATTGGCACCACACTCTGAGGACACGATCCTCACAGCAAAGTGGATCTGTGATCTGAAAGTATGCTGTGGGTCAGTTCAAGAAATTCCATGTATAAAGGGGTCATCATCTCAGCTCATACCCTGATAATTTCCTTTTCAGCCTGCCATAAGCTCCACTCTTTCCCAACAGAGTGGAGGAACCTAAGGACCCTCTGGCCAATGGTGGCCAACGGTCCAGTGGACCGTGGACTGCTATGGACAACATGCCATGGGCTTCCCAAAGAGACAGTCAGCCTCGGATATCCCATAAAGGTTGCGAAGCAAAATGAAGCAAGTTCTAGCATGATTTTCGGGCTTGGACCGAGTTTAGGAATGCATGGCAAAAGAGTGAGACCGCTTCACCCAGAGCTTCTCAAAACCTTGAGTGACATTCGACAAGCCGGAATCCAGAATGAATGTGCTTGGTTTGGACGCAGCGTATTACTGTAGGTGGCCTGAATTTCACCAGAATGGTACATTGGAAAATTGGCACCAAGTATCTACTGACAGCATGTCATGCGAATTCTTCACGGATTCCAAACTGCCAGGTCCGACTTCACACCCAGTCCAAAATGATGATGATGATGATGATGATGATGATGATGATGATGATGATGATGATTGAAGATAGTGTTGGGAAAACGACAACTTGAACAGCGTGGAAATAGCGGATTGACATGGATTGAACGTAAACAAAGATCAATTCGTGCTCATAACATTCAGAAACTGGTGATCAGCCGCCCTTCCCCAGCCTGATCAGCAAAGGCAATGGGGAGCTCCCCCATTGGCTCCAAGGGCTGCAGGCCCTGCCATCGGCCCAAGATGCAGAAGCTACCGGCCAATCTGTGGGTGAAAGGATCCACAAAAGGCTTCGAAGCTTTTCACGGATCACTGTCCTTCACTAGTTTGATCTATTTTGTAGGGCGGCCTTTGACGTGCCACATTCATGCCACATTCTGATGGACGTTTCTGATGCTTCTGATTTGAATGAACTGGTGGATGAACCTCAAGCGTTGAGGCTGGCGATGCGCCGATGTTGGACATCGGAGGATCAATACCTCGGTTTGGGCAGAGATGATCCTGTTGTGCGTTGTTATACTTTTCCATGGGTTCCCCCAGCACCACCGCGTTTCTCCGAAAATAGTGTTGTAGTGACATAGTGAAGCCCCAAAACAGAAAACATGCGAACATACCGACTATATAAGCAAATCAGCAAGAGGTAACTCATACGCACCTCCTCCACCACCACCGAGACGACCATGACCACCACCACTTTGGGATTCATGTTTGGAAACAGGAGACTGAGTGCACCAACCTCTGCGTTGGGTTGTTTTGTACCGTCCCAGCATTTCATAGCCTAGGCAGCCTAGTAGCGAATTTCCATCCCCTGCACCCTGCACTCTCTTCAGCCAAAGGACGCAAAGTGGCATCCACCAAACGGGACAAAGCATTGACCTGCCATGAGATACCAAATCCAATATCAGGCAAATATAGGCAAATAGGGTTGACACTTTCACCATCTTTCACCTATCAGGACCCATCATGCAGCTATCGAAAGTTTCCTGCTTCAAACTGTCCAAACTCTCACCACTAACCACGGAGATGGCAATGATGGAATCTCGCGTGCCTCCTGACGGATCAACTCCTGGTAGGACCTCTGCAGTGAGTTTGATCTCGAATGTCTTGACTCACTGGCACTTGAAGAAGTATGGAATAGTATTATAATATGTCTATGGGGCATGTGTATATATATATGTAATAATATGTAGAGAGAGATACTCAAACAAACATGGCCAACGCTTGCAACAGCTATACTGTCCTAAGAGATGTGTTCCTGAATCAGTGACAACAATCAACCGGGCAGAAGAATGGAAGGGAATCAACGCGTCAGTACCACAACGGGCATGCTACTTGATCGCGCTTGGAGTGATCTAGTGTTCATATGTCTTATACGTGCTTCGGACCCCTTGTGGTCAAAAAAAAAACCTTAAAAAAAAAAACAAAAATGCAGAAGTGTCTATTTCCACGACTCTAAATTTCCATAATATTGAAACTATGAAACTATATCCTGTCGATGACTTATGGATACTTATGGTGATTTTCATACCCAGCCCACATATTCATGTCACTTTCATGTCGTGGGAATTCCAGCCCGGGCCTTTGCTCGGTATCGATGAAGCCGCAAAAGACGCGCTGCTCGTCGATGAAGGCGCTCAGCTCGGAGCGGACCTCGCAGCTTGCAGCTGATCCTGAGAACATTGGTCTATGGATACAATGATATGTATATATATATATTATATATATATATATGTGTGTGGAATCTATTTATATATATAGTTATTTGTAGTATGTATGTTATATAATTAATGTTATAAATATTTATAAATATATATATTTTGAATAAATTTGATATAAATGATATTAAATTTGGATCATTTCAGGTAGGATTAAAAAGAACAAAAATGAAACCACCAACCAGAAAAATGTTGGACCATGTTGGACAGCAAAAGCTGCAGCCAAGAATATACCACCAGATTTTGGATTTAATCACTAGACACCTTCTGAGTCTTAGCTGAAGATAGCTGAAGGTGGATATGTTTGCGAGATTTCAGGTGCAATTCACCTGCTATACTTTGATCAAAGTCTTTGGCAAGAAGATGATTAGAAATCCTTGAAACAACCGGGATGATACTGTAAGGGATGTGCAATCCGCTACACTAAAAAGGATGGTTCTGGCTGACGTCCACATACAACTACGTTGACGTTGGCGAAAGATTTCAGAAGCGCATGGGAAGTTGTATTCACCACATTCACCAGCCAACCGATCAACCCCTCATGAAACATCATGAAACTGTCGCCAGGATCCCATTCAGCCTCCATCAATGCCTTCTCTGAAGCAACTCGCGACTCTTCCACGTACCTTTTGGTCGTCGCCGACTCCTCCTGCATTGCCGAGTTCTCTGAGGGTCCGAAAGCTTTAAGGTAACCGGAGCTTGGTAGAAAATAGGTCCTCCTTATCCTTTCGACTAAGGCGTTTCATGAAATCCAAACCAGAAGCCGCCAGGGCTTCCCTATTTCAACAAGAAATTGTCGCTAGCTCTTCGACCCGCGCAGGGTCCAGATCCAGATCCTTAGGATGTTTGGGATCTTTGCTTGTGGCACTACCTGCAATATCCTGACCTGTTGTATACTTGTTCAGGTCCCAGAAACTACCATCAACAAAGGCTAATGCCACACAGCATGTGAAACTGGTTGATGCTACATGCAAGAACGGGAGCCCCACAAAGAAACCGGAAAAACAAAGTGAAATGCAACATAGCGATCACATAATGTACTGTAGCAAAACAAGCTTGTGCTTCTTGCCAGGGCCTCCGAATTGGTTGCTAACTCAGCTCGAAAGCTTCGGGCAAAGCTGAGGAATATCCCCTCATTCTATGGCTTCTTCGTCTTCGCTGTCCTTAGAGCACAAGGAGTGAAAAACCCATTGCCACACAAGGTTATATTACACGAATTGTAGTGGAACAGAAAGACTGCTCCAGCCGAAGAAATCAGATATCCCCAGCTGCGATTTCATGAAACCTACCGAATGATAAAGTCTATATATTGTTTGTTCACCATTCCTTATGTGAAATCATAATATATAAAGTGGTGTCTTATATACGTGTATGCTGTTAATATACTCTATATCCATCCTCTATAATTATCCTATTTGTTTATCAAATTTTACTATATCTTATTAATATTCTAAATATATATTTCATCTTCATTACTATTCATGCAATATTCATGGTTTTATTAATCTTAAAGCCAACAGCAAACTAACTGGAGAGCGGCAGAGTCCAGCAGCGCCATGATATCCTCTGCCTCGTTCTCAGGATCCAGTTCTTCCACCTCCGATTCGATTGTTGTGCCACCACGGGTGCAAAAAAACGCAACAACACGCGCAATTTTAAGCGCAAACCGGCGCAATTTAGCGCGATTTCAAAAAGTATACTTTTTTTTTGCCAGCCATCCCAGCCAACCTAAAAACGCGCACCTTTTTTCGAAACGCGCGCAAATTTAGCCAACGAGCAGAAATTGAGCAAATGCGCACATGTCCAAACGCACAGAAATTTGTGTTCATTTGATGTTCTAGTAGGATGTTTCAACAAGGTACTTAAGAATTCCTAAGAATATTCCAGAATGAATTATCGGAATTGTACCGATTCGACCCAAATTAGTAATAATGCAAAAGGATTTCATCCTAACTGTGTTCGCTTACAGTAAATCCTAGAACATACACCAATGGTGTCAAGTTTCATCATTCAATTCAGGTGTTAACTCAATTGTGGCGAGTTTGGTTGCAAACATCCATCGGTTCTTTTGGAGACACGACAAACTTCGATCCAAAAACTTGATCAAACTTAGCATGTTGGCAATCATTCGTAACTGTTGTGGGGTAGGAAAAAGATGATCCATATCCATATCCATACCATATCCATACCATATCCATACCATATACATTACTACAGCGATAGACAAGTGCAGGATTGCCGCGAAGATCGCGTTCGGCGCCTGTGTCGCCACCGGGATATTGGCAGTGGCCTGTAGCGATTGGGGGTGAGGTAATGCCAAGCCTCGAAAGAATGGGGGAGTCCTGGGTCAACTGTTCGTTGCTACTGCAAAATCATCAGATGGCAGTGTGTCAAAACCTTGTACCCCTGTAGTTCACATCAAAATAGCTGGTAAATGGATGTTCATCCCACTAAAAATGGTATTAATAGGTATTGATCCATACCCAAATCATCAGATCTGTGCCGAAAGCACCAAGTGCTCTGTGTATCGGCGACTTTTTTGGGGTTTCACTATGTTTCACTTGGACAGGCACCGCGGCTCTCCATCGCAGAACTTCTGCCTGGCAACGGATTGGTCCCAAAGACGTGGGGGACCCCGACCCAGTTATCCACGTCTTCATGGTCTACATAAGGGGGTTTCAGAAATGGGGATACCCTAAAAATGGATGGTTTATAAGTTTATAATGGAACATCCTATTAAAATGGATGATTTGGGGGTACACATTTATATGAGGAAACCTATTGGTGAATGAAACCCAAATCAAATATATATATAACTTGTGCGACCCAATATGTCCCAATTCTGGGACAAGACCATACAAAACACCCAGCCTCAAAGACATCAGCGACCCGTCTGCACTGCTCCTGGGTTGGGGGGCGGTTTCGGAACTTAGTTCGCCACAAAATTCATTGTAGATAGCTCCAAAAAAATAGGAGAGAACTGCTGTTGGTGAATGTTGGTAACACAACATGATTTTAGGGGTCAGACCATAAAGTGAGGGAAGACTTCGTGTCCCGAATTCTCAGACATGCCCAAGTCAAGTGATCTAAAGATATCTAAAGCATTTTGCAGTGAAACTCCCATGCAAAAAATCACTCCAGAACTTCCCAATCTAACCCTTTCTTCGGACAGGATCCCTTCGGCAGACCTCTTCTGGAGGTGTGCCATCAAAGACCCAAATCTTTCCACCCACCTCGATGATCCATGGAAAGGGTCCGTTGCTCTGAAAATGTTTGATTCTTCGTATCATGTGTGTCCTTTCGATAGTGTCTATAACATTCTATATAACATCAAATCTATCCAATATATGCATACATCACATGCCACATTCAAATCATACAAAGGATCACACATAAAGGATGATATAAAAAGAAGTCTGCTTTCTAAACGTTCAATTTAAACGTATTTCATTCCATACAAGCATGCGTCCAATTGGACATGTGTGAAGCCGGGGGGCTTACCTTGATCATGCATAGTCCCGTGCATCCCAATGGAAACGGAGTCTGAGCTATGTCAAAATCAGTCCCAGACTTGGATATAACAATGATAATATTAAACATAGTACTATCATAGTGATTATCATTGTTATAGAGTTAGCTATATCAAACATAGTACTCATGTGATTATTTGTTTTTTGTTATTATTGTCATCATTGCTATCGTGATTATCATTCTATTCTATATCATATATTATCATATATCATCGTATATTATCATCATATATCATCATTCTGCTGGACATGCATCTAAGTTTTGGATGCAAACATGTTATCAATTGTTCTCATATTTCATCCATCCCCCACATAATCCATCATGTCAAACCCAATCCCATATGCTCCATCTATGACATATTTACCAACATTAATCAAAACAGTGCCCCCAATATTGGTAAGTATTCTATACATGGACCATATGGGAATTGTCTTCTGATACTTCCCAGACTTGTCCGTTGGGAGTCCCTGCAGCTTTTCGATGCTGCAGCACCAGCTTTCGCCCATCCTGCCTCAAGACCTGTCCCGGTCCAACAGGACGCCATAGAGGCAAACCCTGTGGATAAGGCCAAAATATATCAAAAATGTTTAAATACCACAGCCTTCCCTTTGACCTTCACTAGTCTTCACTTTGCTAAGGACTAGTTTTGATGAAATTTCATGGATCTTTGACGGTTTTTGTTGGAGGTTTGATGGTTTTCCATGGATTTGGGCATCCAACCTTTGGAAAAGCCTCTTATTGAGACTGACCTCAGTGGCACCATCGTGAGCGCGAACGCCACACTCTGAGATCTCACACATGAGCCTTGGGGACCGGAGGGGTTTTTGGCCCAAAAAAAAGTGGGAGATGGATGAACTGGTCTGGCAAGGGTCGGGGAAGAGACAACACAATGTAGGTATCATATACTATATAGGTATCATATATAGACACAACATCAGTTCAACTACCTTGAAATTTGACGTAGAAGAGAAAGAGAGCAAAAGGACTTTGCAACATGACTTCAAAGCATCGCATACTCAGACTGAATTCTGGCTTTCGCCAGGTGACTCCAGAAATGGCAGCAATTCAATTCGGTCCTCTCCAACCACAGCCTGCAGGGGCTGAAAGTTGTTCGGGCTCTAGTTTGATCCTTACCCACTGTAGACTAAGGACTTCATAATGTTTTGTACATATCCATGCACATATTTGGAAAAAACATTCTTAGGATGATCAGTGATTCTGAATCAGAGGCACAAAAAGAAAAATAGGACCAACGCCCATCATGATCCATCTTAGCATCTTAGCATCTATTTTTCCGAACACTGCCACATGGAAGTTTGGGCACATAGTCACTCAAATGTCTTCAAACAGTATCACGCCTTCACTGTTTCAACATCCACGATGTTCTCCTTTCTGCTCTCCTTGGAGCAAGTGCTTAACAGGCCAAACTCCCAACGGGACTGGACTGAATGCGGCTGGAACCTTATACTGAATATGGAGATACCATCCAGAGATACCAACCACATGCTATCCATATGGAGGTTTCCATAAATCGGGGCACTCCCAATCCATTGCTTTTGGGAATTTTCCACTATAAACCATCCATTTTGGGGATTCCCTATATCTATCTATATCTACCATTCCAGTCATATCCATATCCAAGGATATCCAAGGTCCATATCGCTGGATATCATCTGACCAAACTTTGCCAAGGTTCATCCGTCTCTTCTTCTCCTCCAGCGATGTCCTGGAAACGAAGGGTAGCGATATCCTTTGCACTAGCCACTCCCTGGCCCCTGGATAGATGAGATGATGAGATGATGATATAATTGTAAATTCTGTTGTCATGTGTTACAATATATTGTATATACGCAGTGTATATACATACATATATAAGAAGTATATCGTATAGTTGTATGTATGCATATATATATATATGTAATGTATACCAATAATGCTCATATTCAGGGATCTCACCCATACACAGTTCGAGATAGCTCCCCGCCCAGAACATCGGCCTCAGGAGCACAGGATCCCACTCCATTTTCATCTAGGCGGTGAAATAAGGCCTCCAATGGAGCCATTCCCCCAGGTCTGTTTTTTTACAAAAGGGATCGGAACTTCAACCCTGAAGGACAAGGACAAACTGACCACAAGTCTTGCAATGTCTTGTCACATGCATCAAAATATCATCAAAAGGCCTTCCCGACTAACCTGGCCCAAATGGGCATGGATCAAAGTCATCCGAACAAAAACAAATCAAAACCTTTACCTTAAATATGACCAATTGTTGATCAGAATTTTGCAAAAAATCATGCATTCCCAAGCAGCTACAGTAGATTTCATCCATGATTTCATCCATTTCAGCCATATTATCCCGAAAAAGGACCCCCCAATGTTTCAAAAACGCGACTCAACTGTGGCCGCCGTGGCCTCCAAGATCAGCCGGTCGTGGGGATCCATCAGCCTGGGCGTGGGCTGCCGGAACTTGTCCAGCTCCGACTCCAAAATCTCAGCGCCCACGGATGATGCGCCCACGGGAGATCTTCGGAGTTATAGATAGTTAAACAGGAATGTGATGGATGCTTGGATCAAATATGATCAAATAATGGGTGGTGGAAAAAGGAGATCATTATAGATCACCTATGAATTTCTGCGCATCTACTATTATATCCATTGTATTAATTTATATTATATGAATTGATCAGCTAGAATTATCAACATCGGGATGACATCATAATCAGTAACAAAAACAACTCCGCAGGCGCGATGTTTGAATTTCATGGTCAAATTGCTGGCGATAGCTCCGATAGCTCCTGGACTGGTGGCAATATGCAGAATCGTGTTGCCTGTGTCAACCAGTCCACGCAAGACCCGCTGGTTCGTTCTACTCATTGGATTGTACATGGATTAATCGGATAGATGGAGCAATGACTTAATTGACAGGCAAACAAATGGAGAGGCAGGTTGGCACGCGGATCGGATCATGGTTTGAATTGTCTGCATTCAGTGATGGCAGATCCATGCAAATGCCTTGGATATTTCAGGCTTGGTCCCGTAGACACCGGGTAGACACCTCAACTAAGGACAAGACCCACTGCATCATGTCTGCAACGCGATCCTCCCTCACGTCCGGCCTTGGTCAAATGCCCTTGGTGATCAGCCACAATTTGGATTGTAAATGACCAAGATCAAACATGATCAAACCGTCAAACCTTTTGGATCCATCATTGCTGGCCTCATGATCCAATGGATCCAATGGCTTCATTCAATGATGGAGCTTCATCTCCCAGCCATTCGCGTGAGTATCTTGGTATCTTGGCTGCGGGACCATGTCCACTGGATCATCATCGACAAATCAACACCTTCCTGTCGTTGCCGTGGAGTGGCCTTGCCGGAAGAATTCACTGGAAAACGCCCGCGGGGATGCCGGATCTCTCCCGGAAACTCGGACGGGGCACCGAAAAAAGCACGACTTGAATATCTTGAATTCATTTGGGGATGGGTCAAAACCCTATCCCCCTGGTGAACATCAAAATAGCTGGTAAATGGATGTTCATCCCCCAAAAAATGGTATGTATAGGTATTGATCCATAGCCATTTCATCTTTAAAGGAATCAAAATCTCACTCTGCCGGGCTATCTGCCTGTTTCTTTCTCCAGAGCTGGAGTGCACGGTTCAATGCTGCTGTGACAGAGCGGTACCTGTTTCAGCAAGGCTTTGGTATGGTTTCTTTTGGGGAGGCGTTGGAAAGCATTCTCTGGCAAACCGGAACAGTTCCACGTCATGAACTGGCACGTTAAAGACAACACTTTGATGGTACTGGCAAGCTTGAGAAAATCCAGATCCAGTAAGAAATGTAAGAACATGTCATTATCACCTGGCACTGCCTGCTATTCTTGTTGATCTGTTCGGGAAGGTGCCCATCTTGCGTGTGTTGGGACGTCCGGTGCTTATTATTTGTTTGCTTGGTCATCGACAGTCCCTGTCATAAACTTTCCTTTCTGTGCAAGTGGGTGTCCCAGTGATAGTACCTGCAGGTGTATGCCCAGATCACTGTTGGACTTTGGATCATTGTAGAGTTCATATGACACTACTGTTACATAAGTCCTTGGCCCAAGCTTCTTGCTTCTTGAACTACGAAAAAAACAGATGATCAGTCCTGGCCTGAAATCCGCAGAAAGATCTTCCATATGCTGACCCCATCGCAAGATGGTTGGCCAGGAGATGCGTGCCTGCTCCTGCACACGATATGTCACGATATGTGACGTGATAAGAACGAGCCGAGCAGTGCTTCGGATCGGATCCAAAGTCCTGTCCTGCCCAAAGTTGACGCCATGTCTCCTTTGCCGACGCCGAGCCTGCGCGGGAGACGTGGGAGATCGTGGGATGCCGTGGCAGAGATTTCACGGGTCAATGTCAGACATGTGAAGCAGTTCAGGGGATTGACTCGACCCATATGAGTCAGCACCAAAAAAATGATGCAAATGTTTCAATGAAAATTCTTCTCCTAAAAATCCTCGGAAGCAGGTGTTCAGGTACTTCAGAACTCAATGTCATAAATGAATCCTACTCAGGACTTAAAAATGCACCTTCAGCAGCAATCTCTTTAGTCCTTTTCGGACTCATGTTTCATCATTTTTCCAGGTCCGTAGTCCGGTCAACAAATGTCAGTACTGCTTCCAGCATCTGCGATGTGTCGCCTGCTCGTGGGCTTTCCTGCTAGCCGAACTCAGGAAGGCCCGGCTTTCCTGGGGATTCAGCTTGCCCTTCGTCTCCTGTCGCCGCTTTCCGGGCATCCCGGCCATCTGCGGGGTACGAGTAGGTGTCTCATGGTGTCTCCAAATCTGATATCCATCTGTTCATATCTGTTCATATCTGTTCTTGTCACATCTCCTTCTCTGCTGGCATATCTGGTAGCAATTCTCCGGAGGGATCAACACCTGGCCAGTTTTGAAAAGCTAAGCTGGTGCCCAACCCACTGGAAGTTGTGCCAAACTCCAATATCCTTCCCAAGTGTCAAAGTTGAGACTTAGAAATTCTTCAAATTTCAAACCACTAAGACCTAATGCCTGCCGAATTTATGATATAAATCTACAGGACACATGGATTTGTAAACACTGTCTACACTATCTGTCTATTCACCTCTTCCAATTTCTGCGTTGAATGCCACACCTTCGCTGTGCAGCAGGTTGCAATACACACGGTATACCTCCAGCTGTGTGCCAGAAGGAAGTAAACAAATCCTTGGAAATCAACAAAGGAATCTCCGAAATTGGTGCGGCCCGCCAAAAAGTTGCGACTCCCAAAGAAAAATCAGAGCCAACCAGGTTGGATATTGGGACATTTCTGGGGAGAGAAAGAGCAACAAAGAAAATACACACGACAACAATGACAATATATCCATGCAGCTATTCACCATATTCACGACTGCGCAGCTAAAGGCACCTTCATCGTTTGCTCCCGCCCGGGCTGAGGGTAAACCTTCATCGGCTCCTTCAAGCGCATACTTCTTGGGACCTGCCGTCTTCAACCAAGGCTAGGAGTTGGATGGTTGATCATCTTCAAGTGCACCATGACCATAAAACAATTCCACTCAGGTTTTCTCAGAGATACTGGAGAGACCTTGGCCCCACGTGTTTGTTTGGTGATTTCAACCCATCCCAGAATACATTGATCAACTGGGCATGAGTTATACAAAACCCTGCTACCCTGATGAGCACATTACCTGGCAAATTGATGTTCATCCCCTCAAAAAATATTCCAAACGAAAATGCAGCAAAACCACCACTCATCATCGTTGTCGTATTATGTCGTATTCCATTATGATTTACACAGTATACATCTCCCATCCCCACTATATTCCCATAAAATGGTTGCTTTTTAACAAATGTATATACTATATACATAATATATATATTCCAGTTGTATCATTTTCTCCGACACTGTACATCATATTTTTAAAAAAATAGAATATCTCCAAATATATATATATGTATATATATATTATATATATATATTATATCATAGCAGACAAATCTGGTCTTCCATATTCCCATGAAATATCCCCTGGGTCGCGCCTGCGGTGCCGCCTCGCCCAACAGGAGCACCTGGAAGCCTTCGCAGAGATCGCGGACCACCACCTGGTGCCGTGGGAAGACGAAAAACGGCAGGGGGACGGCACGATACCGGCCGGATTTCACCATCATCAATGGATATAAATGGGATATTATAGGATATATATGTAATATATATATAATATGTATATATATAATATGTATATATATATATACATATATATATATATGTAATTATATATGTAATTATATGGGATTTAACTATCATAAATGGGGGGGTTAAGCCGGTTTGAGATGGTTTGTTCGAAAGAATCATCGGATTTATGAAAAAGACTTATGATAAATTTTTCAACTTGGAGGCTACCTACCAAAAGTTTCTTAGACAAGACTGATGAGATCCAATTCTCCTATTCTTGGGCTTGTGTAGTTTCAGGAGTGTATATTTATAGATTTCAAGTGCATACACCCCGTTTTTTTACATGGAAGGTGCAAACCCAACAGCGAACGCTCTCCACACTGTACGGAGAGAAAGCCAACCCAGCAGGAAAGTGGCAGTTCAAACAGGATCCACGATTGGATGACTATTTTAGTATAGAGCCATCCCAATTTTGTTTGTGGACATATATGTATTATATATATATAAGTGACGTTCAATTCCAATCTTTGTTGGCAAAACCTGGCAAATCAAGCTCAATCCAGATGTTTGCTAAGCCAATACACAATGACCAGTTTGCCAGATAGATATAAGTTGATAAAAGATAAACATGTTTAAACAATGTGCACGAGGCTTTGTCGACGACTCAATATACCTTGCTCTCCCGATGCAGGTCCCTCTGACAAAAAATATATAGATGGCATCTGAGATGTAAAAACATGTTGAAATTGTAAATTACCCTCTGGTAATTTAACGTAGCTATGGAAAATCACATAAAATCACCATTTTTGATGGGAAAATCCACTATAAATGGCCATTTTCAATAGCTATGTTAAATTACCAGAGGGTAATCATAATTATGCCATCTATACTGGTTCTATTCTATGCGAACTTGTTGGCTTTGATCCCCTACTAAGTTGAACGTGTAGTGGGATGTCTTCTGGTAAGCCATCAATCCAATCCGGAAAAAAATGAAAAGTCCAGATCTGGCTACAATCCCTTCAATAAAGAAACAACAGCTTCCGCCATCTGCAACGAATAGAAAGGCAGCAAATGCCTGGGTTGGATGTTATGCTATGACATGTCTTGGCCTGGTTTCATTCGGAAACTGCCTGAAGCAACCTGTCGATTTCGACATGGCCCTTCTGGGATCTATATAATATTTATATAATGGACAAAACTACGCACAATCTGCCGTAGCCTGGTTCCTGACAGCACTGGCCTCAAGCAGCAACCCAACAACTTCGATGCGGCCCTGCTGGCTGCAATCCAAACAGATGATGCCCCATTGTCTGTCGCAGCCTGGTTCCTGTTCCTCTGCCGGTTCCTGTTCCCTTTCCTGTTCCTGTTCCTCTTCCTGTTCCTCGTCCTGTTCCTCGTCCTGTTCCTGTCCGCACTAGCCTCAAGCAGCAAGCGAACAACTTCGGCATGGCCTTTTCTGGCTGCAATCCACAAAGGTGTTGTCCCATAATCTGCCGTGGCCTGGTTCCTGTCCGCTCCGGCCTTAAGCAGCATTCTAACAACTCGGACATGGCCCTCCAGAGATGCAATCCACAAAGGTGTTGTCCCATAATCTGCCGTGGCCTGGTCCCTGTCAGCACCGGCCTCAAGCAGCAATCTAACAACTTTGACATGGTCCTTGCTGGCTGCGATCCACAAAGGTGTTGTTCCATCGTCTGCCGTGGCCTGGTCCGTGTCAGCACCGGCCTCAAGCAGTAATCTAACAACTTCGACATGGTCCTTGCTGGCTGCGATCCACAAAGATGTTGTTCCATAATCTGTCGTGGCCTGGTTCTTGTCCACACTGGCCTCAAGCAGCAATCTAACAACTTCAGCATGGTCCTTGCTGGCTGCAATCCACAAAGGTGCTCTCCCATTGCCTGTGGTGGCCTGGTTTCTGTCGGCACCGGCCTCAAGCAGCAATCTAACAACTCGGACATGGCCCTCCAGAGATGCAATCCACAAAGGTGTTGTCCCATAATCTGCCGTGGCCTGGTCCCTATCAGCACCGGCCTCAAGCAGCAATCTAACAACTTCAGCATGGTCCTTGCTGGCTGCAATCCACATAGGTGCTCTCCCATTGTCTGTGGTGGCCTGGTTTCTGTCAACACCGGCCTCAAGCAGCAATCTAACAACTTCAGCATGGTCCTTGCTGGCTGCAATCCACAAAGGTGTTGTCCCATCGTCTGACGTGGCCTGGTTTCTGTCGGCACCGGCCTCAAGCAGTAATCTAACAACTCGGACATTGTCTTTTCTGGCTGCAATCCACAAAGGTGTTGTCCCCTTGTCTGCCGTGGCCTGGTTCCTGTCCACACCGGCCTCAAGCAGTAATTCAACAATTTTTGCATGTTCCTTGCTGGCTGCAATCCACAAAGGTGTTGTCCCATTGTCTGTCGTGGCCTGGTTCCTGTCCACACCGGCCTCAAGCAGTAATTCAACAATTTTGGCATGGTCCTTGCTGGCTGCAATCCACAAAGGTGTTGTCCCTTTGTCTGTCGTGGCCTGGTTCCTGTCCACACCGGCCTCAAGCAGCAATTCAACAATTCTGGCATGGTCCTTGCTGGCTGCAATCCACAAAGGTGTTGTCCCATTGTCTGTCGTGGCCTGGTTCCTGTCCACACCGGCCTCAAGCAGCAATCTAACAACTCGGACATGGCCCTCCAGAGATGCAATCCACAAAGGTGTTGTCCCATTGTCTGTCGTGGCCTGGTTCCTGTCCACACCGGCCTCAAGCAGCAATCTAACAACTTTGGCATGGTCCTTGCTGGCTGCAATCCACAAAGGTGCTCTCCCATTGTCTGTGGTGGCCTGGTTTCTGTCGGCACCGGCCTCAAGCAGCAATCTAACAACTCCTACATGGCCCTCCAGAGATGCAATCGACAAAGGCGTTGTCCCATCGTTTGTCGTGGCCTGGTCTCTGTCGGCACCAGCTTCAAGCAGCAATCTAACAACTTCGACACGGTTCTCGCTGGCTGCAATCCACAAAGGTGCTTTTCCATCGTCTGTGGTGGCCTGGTTTCTGTCGGCACCGGCCTCAAGTAGCAGTGAGATGACTTCCACAGGGCCTTCCCGAGCTGCCAAATACAAGGCGCTTGACCCATCGTCTTTTGCAGCTTTATTGATGTCAACTCTGGCGTCCACAAGCACCCGAATGCAGTCAAAATGTCCGTTCTCAGCTGCAAAAAGCAAGGGGGTCCAACCTTCGGCGGCTTCGGGTTCGGTAGTCAGGGCATCTTTCATTGCGCCTGCCTCTAGCAAAAGTCCAATAGCTTCCAAACATCCATGTTCAGCCGCACGGTGCAGTGGTGTGTTGCCGTCTAAGTTCATCATGTTGGGATTGCGAGGGCACTGAAGCAACTCTTCAAGCATCCTGGAGTCATTGTCCCCCGATGCAGCCATCATCCTTTGGTCTTCCAAAGGGTCGGATGGAAGAAATTCCAACATCACCAGCTGCAGTTTCACGGGCGTTGATGCAAGAACCTCATCATCTGGATTTTCCAACCCATCTTCTGACAACAGCTTTTGCCGAAACCTGGAGATGCCAATCAGAGCAGCCAATGATTTTTTCATGTCTTTGACAGTTTTGCCCTCATAGTCATCCACGACAGCAAGCGGCTCGCCCGACACTGCCGAGTAGATGGAGCACATTGGCGTGATCTAAGGCCTCGAAAATCAGGTGCTTTGTAGCTTCACTTGGGCAGCTGTTTGAGCAAGGATCGGGGATGAAACTTGTCATAGTCAAGGGTGAGTGGGTCATTAGCAACCCTTCTTGCTCTCACATGTGATATCGTACTCGTTTTTCTTCTTGCATAGTCGTTCAAAGCTCGGGGTCATGCAAAATCAAATTGAATGATGTGTGTATATATATATATACAATTGTCAACTCGGGAAAAAAAACTAAACCCATAAACACTCACGCACCCTGTCCATGTATGTCCCTTAAAGAGCTGAAGCACCTCCATGTGCTCGGTCTTCTCAGCGGGTTTCTTCATCAATGAGGACAAACCCTAGGCATCGTTCCACGTGCACCACTGATAAGTATGATGTCCGTAAATCATCATAAATCACTGTGTTGAACGAGAAAAAATATCTCAACCCCAGGACTGAATACTTCAAAAGGACATCCTCAGCTCATTTGCTAATCATGAGTGAAAGTACCAGATCTCATCTGGTCGAATGGGTTAATACCCCAAAAAGTACCATTAAGACTCTAAGTTTCCAACATTCGCATACAATAAATATCAATAAATGTCAAGCATCTTGGGGAATGTTTGCTGGTCCAACTCGAAAATCCACCAAAAAAAAACGCGAAAAAGTATGGAGAATCCTCAGCTGGGCCCATGGCCACTGATTGCCGCTCAGGAGATGGCCTTTGCCCGCAATCATCAATGGTGCTGCCCACGTTTTAAGTCAAAAGAACTGCCTTCGGACTCCGGGATTTTTTTCGTTTTCGTGCGCATTGTACAGTCTTCGCATATAGGCTTTGAATGATGTAGGTCTTATAATATATATATATATATGAATATTTCTGAATTATAATACGTATATAGTTTTTATTTATCTATTCTGTACATCCTTTGCAATATCGCAATATCATCTTTCCTTTGTTGTGTCTTGGTAGTTATATAGATCATAGATAGATAGATAGATAGATAGGATAGATAAGATAGATAGATAGATAGATAAGATAAGATAAGATAAGATAAGATAAGATAAGATAGATAGATAGATAGATAGATCTTTTGTCGGATCAAATGTCTCTTCCTCCACTCTCCCGAGCTGTCCTTCGTTTCAAGCCACTGGTGTCCTCACCGAGATGGAAATTCACCACTGTGACATGTCAAGAGCTACAGGACAAACACAAAATATATCAGTGCAGTAGATTCTCACATGGTGGGGATGTACACATTTGCTAGCCCAAATATCGCATTTCTGGCAGATCTGAGGCATCGGATGGTGGGCCTAACCCCCCAAATATGAGGACGTGTTAAAACACCATCTGTCGGACAATGTTGGACAAGGCAAATTAAATATTTTGAACGACCTCCATATAAAATCTTCCATGATCTTCCAGGACGAAGATTCATTGTGGTTTATTCAACTATTGATCTTGTTTGTTGTTAATTTAGCATAGTACAGCATAGTATAGTATAGTATAGTACAGTAGAGTATAGTATAGTATAGTATAGTACTTACGTATATTTATATGGCTCAACCGTGCTCAACCCTGGTCCTCTCTGAAGGGTTCCGTCTGACCCGGAGGTGGCAAGCTTGGCAGTCGCGAGCACTTCTGACTGGTGGATGTCCTTATCGGTCTTGGCCCAGGTGACCCTGGAGATGTTCAAAGTGGAGATACCCTCCAATAATCAAATATGGCAACGGAATGCAACGGAAATCCTCTGTAAATTGAGCATCTGTAATGAAAATCATCTATTATATGGCTGTGGCTCAGAAAATGATAGAAAAGGATACAGGATCGTTCCACGTTGATCCATACCGTACGGATCAGTCTGGATCACCTCCGTTTTGGTATGGATCGGGGGTATGGATCGCCTGGGGGTCTTAACCGTTGATCCAGACATGAAATTTTGAGCCGCAGCCAAATGGGAAAAAATCATCTGTGAATGGGGAATTTCCAGCACGCCAATGGGTTAGATTGCGAGAGGCTACTGGGGGAGAAAACTAACACCAATTCCCGGGATAGGATGGGGACAAAAAAAACTCTCCATATCCCCAATGCTGATTCCTTGTTCACATTCAAAATTCACCTAAACTTATCAACTCATGATCCATCACCAAAAAGCATGAGAAGCGCTTTACAATGTTTGTGCGATTGCTGCACAAGATGATCCATGTTGGGCGCTCGTGGACGACAACTCACTGCTTTTGATGAGGGCCCAACGCCTGTGGAGTGCTGAGCCAGAAGCTTCTGGCACTGTACCTGCCATGGGTCAAGGCTCCTTGGATGGTCTGCCAATGATAAATGTGCCCCAGTATGCCCAGAATGTCCTTCAATTAGTGATATACAATGTGCTTACCCATACCAAGGCCCGAGATGGCCCTAGCCAACACGTCTATCTTGCCAATATATTGATCTCAGTACCTGCAGCTGGTGGACCAATCTGCCAACGACTCTAGGAGAGACAGGCTTCCACCAATTTCTCATCACCGAAGGAAACATAGGAAACGTGATAAATCGAAGAAATTTCAATATTACATAATATATCATAATATTATTACCCACCCCCACAACCGCTCAACATATCAATCGATTGGTTTGCATGAAAGTGGGAACATCAGTCTCAGTTTCCATTGCCGCACAAGGAGTACGTTCATTCAGCAGCTGTTTCCCAGGAACAATTACTCCAGACTCGCTGTCAATCACCCTGCGCACAAGGAGCAATCGTCGAGATCTTCCTGTACCCTGAGAGCAACAGAAGCCCATGCTGCGCTGAATCAATCAATCACCCACAACACCAAAAACAACAAGAAACTACAAGCTGGGCTGCAACCTGCGTGTGCTATATAGTCACGGCTAGTCTGGAAAAGATGAAAAAAGTAAGGACTCTCTCATCTCAAGTTGCAAACACGCAAAAATGGCATAGTTTAATCATCACTGTGTAGACATGTGCAGACTAGAGCCAGATGTCTTGTGTATCTGACAGTTGCAAATCATCCCAACACACCTGGAAGGCGGAGGTGCAACTGCATCCAGTGGCAACAGCATGGCTCTTCTGCCCATCTCCTTCTTCTCCTGCCATCTCCCAACGGGATTAATGAAAGTATCATGTGTCTTACCAATGCCTTGAAGTTTCAAAAATTCGACATTTGTTGGCTTGGAAGGGTGTCAGCACACTCCTTGACATTTGCAAACAACGTCCAACCAGAAGTCGGGGGGCATGCTTCGCGCATAAAGTACCTTCCAGAAAGATAGAATATATAAAAAGTATTGCCACATTTTAGATATGTTAGATGGTTTCATGATAAATATAGATAGTTTCGTGTATAAAAAATAGTCATATAGTGTCCACTTTTCCATCTTTTGGGATATGGGTTGTGTGGTTCCATCATTCCCATCAGCGGCAGGGCCGTGTGGTGCCTTTAAGGACATCAGCCTCCAGTAGTCCTTTGCCGAGGCGGCCATATCCTGGCGCCAGATGGGACGAGATTCGGAGTTTCCCATGGCTTTTTTTCCAGAGTTCCTGGGAAAACCATGGAAAAACCATGGAAAAACCATGGAAAAACCATGGAAAATGGTTTCCTGTAGACTCTAAGCCTTGAATTGGAGGCATCTCCCCAGGTGGATATCTTGAGTCCCCTGTGGCTATCCACAGGATCCGGCGATCATCGAGGATCCTTCTTGGAGATTCGCTGGGCGAAAAAACCATAGTGTGAAGCTGCGAGCCTGACATGGGCCACAGGCAAATAAAAACATGAAAAGATGTCCTGGGCAAAAAAAAATGACTCGACTGCTAAAATGTGAAATCAATGCAAACATTTTTCCAGGCCATTGGCGATCTTGCCGTTCTGCTACATAATTTCTTTCGAGCACTTCTTTTTCAACGTTTAGAGCCTCGCAGCTGTGCTGAAGCGAAGCCGTTGGGGAAGGGCCTGACCAGCCTAAACGAAGCCTAAAGGGCACTTGTGGCCCTAAGCAATTTTGAGTCTTCAGCATTCGTCGGCACTACTACTGCACTACTAGTGCTGCGAACTGTGCTGCCAGGGCCGTGCTGCCCCAAGGCTGATGTCTTGAAGCAAATTCACAACGCTTAGAAGTATATAGTGTATAACAATGTTAATTCTATATATTATATATACATACAATATATATATATATATTATTACTATTATTATTATTACTACTATTATTATTAATATTATTGTTATTATTATTAATTATCTTAACTATATTTTATGTTATGTAATGATACATGATGGATATCTTGAAGTGGTAGGGGCTGCCGATGAAAACAGCTCTGAAGAAACACGGACCCAGCCAAGTTGTGTGAGACCAATGCAGCTGAAATGCCTAACGGCAAGCACATGTCACTGGCGCTTCCCCGATGCAGTCACTCTATTGCCTCGTCTGCCATCATTCCAAGCACCTTTATGTACCTTTCCCAACCTGCGTTTCAGGTGCCAATCAGCCACCGGAGAGGGTGCCGACTTTGGGCTCTCGGGCTGCCAGGCTTGGTTGAGGAGGGCGTCGAGCCAAGCGCAGCCAGTGCGAGACATCAAGTCTTCACGTCTCAATGTTCTCATCTTTTTCTTCTTCAAGTGGTCCTCCAAGTGATTCAGCTGATCTCTTGAGAACCCCTCTTGCTGTAACCAAAGGGCATCCCAATATTCTTGCTTGGAAAAGTCGCCGGCATATTCTTCCAGTTCAGTCCGCTCACGACACCTCTCAAATGGCCAATCGGACCAGAAAAGATCATGGAATCGAATCCGCCTGTCATGTAATGAATGGAGAATATCATGAATGTAACGGAAATGCGGTGGATTTGCACGAATGGCATAGATTTGTACTTCAGTTTGAGCTTCAAATGAGATGATCCTCGAATCTTCCAGTGGTGAAGCCTCGTACACGAAATCATAGTCGAGAGATATCAACTCCTTGAGAAACAGCCGAAGTTCTTCTCCTGAAATCCTCAGGGGCACTTCTATGCAGGCAATCTGCTTGCCCGAGAGAGTCAAGACGATGATGGAGACTTTGCGCGCGCCAAGAGGAGCCCGGAAGAGTTGGACATGGCGATTGCCTGACCATGCCAGCGAAGCTCGCCAGTAGCGGACCGATGACCTCAGCGTTGTGTGCTTCACAGACATCATGGCCACGGCCGCCACCGCGCCGCCACGGCCACGGATGGGATGGAGGATCCGGCGGGACCGCTTGAGCCCAGCACCAGAATGACTTCAGAATGACACATAAAGTGACATCAGAAGGGCTGCAGTTGCACTTTTCTTCCTGACCGTGTGAACAAATCGGGATCCTCAAAGTAATGATATGTGGTGACCTGTGGCAGCTGTGCCCTTTACACATGTCAAATGCTGCTCCTGCCTCTCAAAGCGGTCATCCTGACACATTCAGGCCGTTTTGTATTTGACTGCTTGATGTCAGCAAGACCTTACCTCTATGCTTCGCTCAAAAACATTTCTTGTACTGTATATACTTGGGCAGAAGGGTCAATCGAATGAAACCCCATGAAACCCCATCTCTCTTGTATGTTCGCATCTTAAAAAGGTGCAGTGGTACAATTTCATTCTCACTTCACACTGTATTCCTTCTACACGCGTATCCAAACACGATCAGTTCATATTCAGAGCCCAGCTACCCCTCTTGGAAACAACGGCAGCCGGGACTAGAGGATCTGTTTCACGAGGCAGAAATCACTTGGAGCAGTCGACATTGTTCTTTTTCAATACAAGGCTTGCTTATTTCTGGGCGCATACTACGGTACATCATGCAAGTTTATAACGAAAGAGACGGGGGTAGCTTTATCACAACATATCCAAAGACCTCCAAAGACTACTTCTCTGTCGGCAGTGCCACTGTGCCGCAGTCAAGTGAACCTGTGAAAAGACCAGAGAAGACCAGAAATGGCCATAAGAACAGAAAAGACCAGAAATGGCCAAAGGGCGGGCATATCATGGCATATCAATCCCCAGCTAACCATCGGAAGATTCGGATCCTCCCCGTCATCCAGCAAAAGCTCATCCACTGAAGATCTGCGCCTTGAGGATCAAGCAGGCCAGCGTTGAAACCATTGGTTGGGCCATACTTTTGGGTTAAATTAGGTGAACACAGCACCTGGTAAAGAAAAGAGCACAAACAAGGTCGATGCAGAATACTAAACAAAACCATCTGCGCTGTTTCGTCACTTCCTATCTGTCTGTCGTGATATTTCATCTATCAGATGTCAACGAAGGTGTCCCCCATCCAGGAATCATCTGTCATCACAGACAGAGTTTGGTTCCGAACCCCAAAAATGGATCCAATAAACATGACCAGCCAGTGGTGACTGTTTTGCCCCACAAATGAAATCCCAAAACGACAAATCCACCAGTGCCGACACGAGCAGCATGCCGAGGTGCTTTTCGAAGCCCTCTAAGGCCTGGCTGACAGATTAGATGAGCACAAAAGATACAAAAGCAATGGAATCCTGCTGGTTCAATGATTCTTTCCGCGTTTCATGAGCCACAACTGATCCACCCGTGCTCAAGTTGGGCGATTCTACATCCGGAAAATCCAGCAAAATTGCAACGCAGCCGCAGACGGGTGGTTTATGACACTGGAACAAGAATGCACAGGCCTGTCTTGATATGTCTGCTGATCAAAAAGCTGAGGCACACAGTTTTGTGCACATGAATGTTTTCCAGATCTGGTGTCTCAACCACCACCTGCTACCAGAACATTGCCTCCATGCTGAGGGCTGGTAGAGAAGAGGACTGCGCCAGAAGGCCTTCAAAAAAGGCATGGAGGTACCGCACGCACACCGTTGTACTGGTCCTCATCATCACCATAACCATCACCACAATCATCACCCCCACCCCCACCACAACTTTTTGAAACTGCTTCACCCTGAATGTAAGCTCTGCCTTCGTTCACAACGGGCTGTTTGGGTGATCTGTGACCCATCTGTGACCCATCTGTGACCCATCTGTGACCCATCTGTGACCCATCTGTGACCCATCTGTGACCCATCTGTGACCCATCGCACCTTTATCGGACTTTTGAGCAGTGGAAGCCCGTCTTGACATCATTCCCGTCGAAGAGCCCTGCCTTGGTACGGTCCGGAGCCAGCTGTAGAATCGGAAAGAGGCGACTGTCATGGGCGTACTGGCATACAGCAATAGAGTATATTTATATTATACTATACTATACTATATTATATTATATCATATTATATTATATAATGTTATATTATGTTATATTATATTATATTATGTTGTATTATGTTATATTATGTTATATTATATTATATTATGTTATATTATGTTATATTATGTTATATTATATTATATTATATCATATTATGTTATTTTATGTCATGTTATTTTATATTATATTTTGTTACATTGTATTATATTATGTTATATTATATTATATTATGTTATATTATGTTATATTATGTTATATTACATTATATTATGTTATATTGCGTTATATTATGTTATATTATGTTATTTTATGTCATGTTATTTTATATTATGTTATATTGTATTATATTATGTTATATTATATTATATTATGTTATATTATGTTATATTACATTATATTATGTTATATTATGTTATCTTATGTTATATTATGTTATATTATGTTATATTATGTTATATTATGTTATATTATATTATATTATGTTATATTATGTTATTTTATGTTATATTATATTATGTTATATTATATTATATTATGTAATATTATATTATATTATGTTATATTATGTTATATTATATTATGTTATATTATATTGTATTATATTATATGTATGATATGATATATACATATATATATATATGATATGATATGATATGATATGATATAGATTATTATTATTATTGTTATTAATATTATATATTGCATTACATATATATATATATTATTACTATTATTATTATTAATATATGTATAATATATTATTATATGTATGATATATTATTATTATATGTATAATATGTTATTATATGTATGATATATTACGTATGATTATATGTACAATATATTATTATATGTATAATACATTATATATCATATGTATAATATATTATATGTATAATATATCATATGTATAATATATTATGTTAGATATATATATATTATAATAAATCATATGTTTATACAAAATAAACTTACGTCAGTTTGTGTTGGTAAACATCTCATTTCGGGATCCGCAGGCCTTGGACTACCGCTCACACCATTTACAAAGGAACCATGCAAAAAAATGTGAGATCTAAATCCCACAGTTGCGTGAGGACATTTTTGTGCAGGTCTTTGGGACCTCTCAGTCACTTTCCGCTTTGTACTGATGGCTTTGTTTCAGAGAATTAATTTTCATACAGAATCCGTCCAGTTGGTTAGCCGCTTCAATTACATTTCATCCATTGCAACCACCTTGGCCATCGGATGAGGTCGGTGACGTCAGCTGCCGTGAAGGCTTCTTCCGCAAGGACTTTTTGGAATGGTCATCTTGGCTGCTGAGACAGCAGGGTGGCAGGTTGGCAAAACGCCCCCTCAATCCCAGTGATGCCAAGGAGTTTATGAAACAAGAAACCATATCCAACAGTCTGACAGTGTACATCTGTATACAAAAACAGTATTTCTTGTGGCACGCTTGGAGTGTGGAAACATCTTTCAACAAGCCAATTGGTCATGGAATACCAACCTTGGAACAACTTGCATCATCTCTGCCCAAGATAGTTTGATACCCCGCTTCGGGAAACAGTTTCGCCGTTGCAGAAGCTATTGCGCCCTGTCATGGAAGCAGTACGGTGAACAAATACAAAGGAAACCATCTAGCGGTCGCAAGGCCTCGAAAGAGGAGCCAATCAATTCGTGATTCCCAAATGTTATCCATCGGAATTCCACTCACTGTGTAACAAACATGGGCTTCCCTCTTCAGTACGTAGTGCATATTATATGAGTGGATCATATTGTATGATGTAAGGCTGTATCCTGATAATCAATGATAGTCATCCATTTGAATGGGATATTCCATTAATTTCCGTGGGATATTCTATTAAAAACCATCGATTTTGGGTATCCCATGACTTAGGAAACCCCCCAGCTGAGGTTCCCCACCATCACGTGGGGAGCTTGCCCGGCTCGCGGAAAACACTGGCGAAGAAACGAGGTGCACAACATCTGTCAAATCGATGGGAGATGATGGGCGAATGTTGTACATTCCAAAATCAATATGAAAAAATAAGGTTGTTTTTCTGCTGTTTTTTGTTCAAGAGATTCTTCCATTCAAATCAGCGTACTCGCATCATGGGATGTAATGATCAAGATCTGTAGACCAAAATCCTCTAAGCTGTACCAGTCCTGCAAACCACCAGCGAAGTAGATGAGACATCAGTGGAAAATATTGGAAAATAGGATTGCAGGGAAAGCACCAGCTAGGTCATGCTTAATATCCGCGGTTGAGCACTTGCAACACTACATCAGATATGAAAAATCATGGACATTGCAACCCTATTGCGACATCAACAATGATGGGAGCCACAACATGACAACATACTCGGTAGATCTCGGTAGTATGGATGATGTTGTGGTTGATGCTCCATTCTTTCCATCCATCATCCATCCATCATTATATTTCCAAGCAGCAGGCTGAGTGCCTTCTGACTTGGCCCTTTCCGCACGCCGCTGCAGCCTGGAACGGCTCAGATTCAGTGCGGCATAGCGAAGCCAAAGCGTCTCTACTTGGGAAGCTGTCTGAGTCAAACTTTGGACTATCTGCAGCAAAAGATAATTTGGCAATGTGTCAAAACCTTGTACCCCTGGTGAACATCAAAATAGCTGGTAAATGGATGTTCATCCCACTAAAAATGGTATTAATAGGTATTGATCCATACCCATTTCTTTCTAATTATGCGTAGCGAATTCACATGGGAGTTTCACGGGGAAAGTGCATTTTTCGAGTGAAATGGTGCCTTATGATTCACACACCTGCGATTGATGAATACCCGGCTCCCGTGAATTGACTCAGCCGGGTCTATCGCAACCTGGCACCCTCTGGGATTGCGTTTCAAGATGTCTTGTCTGGGCTTCCCTGACTCCTTCTTGCCTTCTGCAATGTAGTGGGACGGCTCCAAGCAAAAGGGTCCTCTGGGTGTTTTCAAGGGGCAGTGTTTGAAGTGTCTAAGAAACAAAAGGGAAAAGTAGGTTAAATGAAAATAAACGACATACAGTGCACACATGTTGCAATTTCTCATTTCTGGTGCCATATTCAGTGCAAACAAAGGAGAACGTTCGGAAGACCATCGTTTTTGCCATGTGTACCCTCTGGTAATTTAACATAGCTATTGAAAATCACCATTTATAGTGGATTTTCCCATTGAAAATGGTGATTTTCCATAGTTATGTTAAATTACCAGAGGGTATTTATTGGGGGGGTGCGGCATCATCTTTCACTCCAGAGTCTTGCGACAATTCCTCGGCCACAGAAGGTCTCACCAGCAGGGGGCCTGCTGGAGGCCGCAAAAGATTGCAACCACAGCCATCTTCATCCAGGGGACACAAGTGGTTGAGCGATGTTTAGAGCTTAGGATAGCTTCGGAAGTTTAGGGGCTGTTGACTACAAGTATCTCTCAAAATGGTTGCCCTGCACCAGACCTCTTCTTGCAACTGACTCCGCTTGTCACGAAGTTCCGCAAAGCGGTGCATTCCTGTCCATGGTCATGTCAGGGGGAGGATGGGCACAGCACAGCTTGCAGTTCTGAAATGAAGACAGGCGCATTTTGTGATCAAAGAGGCAACAAAGTGATGCTTCACTGCGTGAGAGTGGTAGGTCCAAGTGTGTGCCATTGGACCATGTAAAGAACACAAGCACCAAGGCTATTTAAGGGACGACTGAATTGAAGATGTTCCCTGATCATCATAAGGTGCCCTTGCTCTCCCCTCCAGCCTGGATAAGCTCGGGAGGGACCTCGGCTAGGACCTGCGCTCGATGGAAATCTGCTGAAATCTGAAAGGCAACCCCTCCTTTTCTGGCAGAGTAAATGGAAGCAGAATCTGATGATCAAGCTTTAAATTGCAAAGATGTCTTTCATGCCCGGAAGCTGTACCTCAAGCAGGATCGCTGTTCAGAAGCCGGTGGAAGCTGGAAGATAAAACATGATGAAACACGAGCAACTTCCCACATGGCAGCCTTATTAATCTCCTGAAAGTAAGGCCGTAGGCCTCAGCAAGCGAAAACAGTTTGATCTAGAATCTAAAGCTTTAGAGTCTGGCTTGAGGCAAAGTGGAGCTGTGCCGATGGCCCCCAAGGTCCCATTACCTACATCTGCCCAACTCTCTCCACTAGAATCTTCTCTATTGTCTTAGCTTGGAAACCTCTCGAACCGTGCGCTGACCTCTCAGCTTGTCAGAAGCAAATGTCCATTCTGATTGTGCCAAATCTCCCTTGCGCTGAGCCGTGGCACAAGGATTTGGTGTCCCGGAAGCGATTGGATGGCAAGGATGCTGTGGCCGGGACGATCTATGTAGACCGTATTCAGCAAGTCCAATTCTTCCAGAGCATCTGGCAAGCTGAGCAAGCTGAGCTGTGGGTATCCAGAATGTCCAGAACCCATGAACACGCTGTGGCATTTCCTGTACCAGAACACTCAGGAAATCTCTAGGACTCTAGGACTCTGGAAAAGTACAGGATGTGTTCATGAAGAGTTTCTACCTGGGCATACTTGAGGAATCTGCTCCTGAAGAAACAGACCCCACAGCAATGAGAGCCTTTGGGAAGTTCCTCTGTGACTCAAGAACACCTTCATTCACTTTGCAGCTCTGTCATTGTCATTGCACTTTGAAGCACCGCTAGAGACCGGCCTTCCAAGTCGGACGATATCTCGGACCGCCGGCCTGAGAGCAAAAAGATGCAAAAAGAAGCTACCTTCACCCCCTATCATCCGCACACCTTGAAGGCTGTTGCAAAGCTGGTGGCCTTGAAAGAAACATCTGAAACAATGGCGGCCTTGACCCCACTAGGCACCAGGCGGGTGAGCGCCATGACCTGTGACTGTATTGGCAGCCATCAGAGATCACAAAACGTTTGGGACTTGAGCCAGGGCTGGCTGGTAAACATAGCTATGGAAAATCACCATTTTTGATAGGTAAATCATGACAGCTATGCTAAATAACATAAATAACCAGAGAGAAATTGCTACATCATGTTACCATCATGTTTGAAGATTTAGCACTTCATATCCTCTCCATTCAAGACCAACCAACTTCTTCAAAGTTATGGCCAAGTGGCATCGCCAGTGGCTGCAAGAGAGACTAGAAAAGCATCCAGTTCCTTGGCGGAGTGTAGGTCTTGCAATCAACCTATTCCAAAGACCTTTTCAATGAGAATGGCATTGAATGGCAAGGAGTTGTCATGATTTGTCTGTCTCTTAGAGCTACTGTTAAGACAGTTGAAGTATGCGAGCGACGATGAATGTATGTGAGTCTGATCTTGTACCTGAGTGTAACATCTCAAACACATCCTGAGGGTATCACTCCAGCTTTGGGCAGAACTGGTGTTCGAGTCTGACAGGGAACGTTTGCCATGCGCCCAGTAAGACTTCCATGAACTGGCATTTTTGAAACAGGGATGAAGTTTCAGGGAGCAAAGCCAACCTCAAGCTGAATTTAGTGCTCCCCAGCCTTGACACGTCGGTAACCTCCCTGTTTGTCGAAGGCCAACTCTTGGTCAACTAAGTTGTGGAACCTTCGCCGGCAGTTTGGTTGCAGCAATTCCCATGGACAATGACATTCAGTATCTACCTTTGGCCAACTATGTGTTGTCACTACTTGCTATCACTGGGGGCCCAAGGGCCCTGTACATACTTGGGGTATCTTGGGGTATCTTGGGGTATCTTGCGGTATGTTAATATGCTATTTAGAGATTTTGGAGCTGGATCGCCTTTTCTAACAGCGAGCATGCGGATGCTGAGGTAGATGCATTTGCATCCTTCTCTACTGCCGTCTTGAGAACTCTTCGAGAACATCCAAAACTGACAAATGAGGAAGATGGCCAGTTCATTCTCCAAACCTCTAGGTCTTGACATGAAAGAGGTCCAGAATCAATTTTGGGATTTTGATACGACTGAAAACTGCTGAAAACGAGGTGGGTTTTCTCCTGCTTTTCTGGGGCCAGCTTTTTCGAGGGAGAAATGATACGGATTGGTGCTCGGCGGTGCAAACCGAGCTGCTTCTGGATGTCGCCCCATCTGCGTTTCACAGTGTAGCTGGACGGCAGCGAATCCCACCTCAGCTGAATGATGTGCTGTCTCAATCTCATTGAAATGGCTCAAAAACTGCCCAAAGTCGGAAGACATTTTGACCCATTGCTCATTCTGCTGCCGAGGCACCAGTAACTCTCACCCTTCTGCTGAGAGATGAAGTCTTCATGGGAACCGAATTCGAGATCAGTCCTGCCGAAGAAAAGACATGAATTCAGACTGCTTGTTGTGCACCCCTTCTGAAAATTGGAGAGTTGATCATTCCATTCCGCAACATTCTGTTGATCTTCCACTGAATCTAAGTTTTGGGCTCTACACCTTTGAACATCTTTGAACCAGGCGTTTTTGACTATGCCATACCGTTTTTGTGCTCAGAAAATGAGCCCATCCTGCGATGACCCGTCCAAGTGCAGCGAAGGTGGTAGATGAAGTGGGGCGGCTTAGGAATACGGTCCTGGCGCAGCGAGGCTTTTTAAGCTGGATGAAACATGATCGATCCTAATCCTGGCAGCGAGATTCAACAGGTATCGAAAAAAAAAACATCCATCCACCATGACAATGGAGTCCAAAAACTCTTTGAACTATTTTGAACTGCCTTTGCTGAAGGTCCCAGCCTGGTACTGTTGTCTCATCCAGGCATGCCGTGACTTGGATGTTTCTTCACATACCAAACCCCAAGGCCAGCTTCCCATTACTTCCAACAAGCAGGGCTAAAACATCCACCCCTTTTGAACAGTCACATGTTGCATCTGATGATCTTACATAGTAAAGCACTGTCTTAGTGTCACTCACACCCGTAGCTGTTTCAAGCTGGCTGGCGAGACTGAAGCAGCACAAACCCGGCGATATGTCTTGACCTGCAGACGTTTGTCGGTTCGATGATTCCAACCATTTCCCAAGGGTACCTAATTCGGACACATAGGAATGCTAGTGGTGATGGAGATTTGAAAAATCGAATCTTGGATAATTTGGATATTGATGGGAAGAAAAATTGCTCATGTTTCAGTGCTTTGACAGCCCCTGGTATCAAAATCAGGTCGAAAAATTGGAATTTGACCTTCACACGCTGATTAGATTCCACGTGTACTTCCTACGATCACTCTGATCCAGTCCAAACAAAAACGTTGAAATCGCCTTCCAAACCATCTTCCGTTCTCATTCTCATCAACATATCAGAATTACTATTCTCCATCTTATTGGTATTAATCATAGCGTTCATTAATATTGATATTATAATATTACAAGTATCCATGTATATTGTTGTTATTATCATTACTATCATGTTTATGCCTGCGGACCGAAAACCGTTCCCGTAAAACGCACGTTTTTGAATATCGCGATTGTGGGGTGGGGTGGGGGGGCATGTTAGCGTTCCTTGTACTTCGTACATGAAATATTGCCACGCTGCTGAGATCCCTGGGATCGTTTACTACGTTACATGTTGCTACGCTGCTGATGCTGGGGTGGGGTGGGGTGGGCTGAGGTGGGGTGGGGTGGGGGGGGGTGGGGTGGGGGGGCATGTTAACGTTCCTTGTACTTTGTACATGAAATATTTCTACTCTGCTGAGATCTCTGGGATCGTTTACTACGTTACATGTTTGTACGCTGCTGAGATCTCTGGGATCGTTTACTACGTTAAATGTTGCTACGTGATCGTTTACTCTGGGATCGTTTACTGCGATGACGCTAAAAAGCCCAAAAACGCGCCCCAAGTTTTTCCAGGATTTCCAATCATCAAATCAGCACGGCACTGTGGTAAAATCACCATTAAAAAAAAAAAACGTGCGTTTTATGGGAACGGTTTCCGGTCCGGCGGGATGTTTATATACATTCACAATCATATATATGTATACATAATATACTATCATATATATATATATATCTATCTATCTATCCATTATACCCATTAATATGGTATCATTAATATAATACACATTTATATACCCATTATCTCTCTTCTCCATGATTTGGATCCCAAACTTCTTCAGCAATCGCGAGCCAACAGATGGGGCCTCCAATCGAGGAATACTCACGGTGAGCTGTCGTGCCTCCATGCCTGGATCCATGGATCAAAAAGCAGGAAAATCCATCGATCCATGGATCGAAATGCTTCGTTTATGATCTATATTGATCTATATTGATCTATCAATTATAAACTATTATAAACTATGAATCTATTATTTATGATTCGGTAATGATCAGAAACGCTTCATTTATGATGTATGATCCAGAAATGGTTCGTGTATGATTTATTGGACAAATATGATCTCGAGTCCTGGTTATCCACACCTGCTTCGAAAATGGTGCCAAAATGCTCCGATGTTCAGCCAAAGGTAAATACATCCAAAAAATGGACAAGATCGAAGCCGCGGCCTGTGACCAACTCGGCCACATCAGCTCAAATCAGCTCACATCTCAAGAGGATCTCCAAAAACAGCTGGGGAAATGATGCATGTGGATGTCCAGTGCGAGGTTGGGAGCTAGCTTGGGTAGTGGGTATGTAATGGAATGATATGGAATGTATAGAATGTATTAGAATGTTAGCTTCAGACAAATGGAATGATATACATTTGATATAATGGAATGATATGGAATGTATGGAATGTTAGCTTCAGACAAATGTCTACAAATGTTGGCTTTAGTGAGCGTGCATCGCAGGTTGTATGGAAGGCTCGTGAAGCGTTGCTTTCTGATCGGAACAATGTTGGATATCTGCCATTGTTTGGTGTCATCCATATCCAATATACAGACCTCACATTTGAGCCATTGAGCCATGAACACAGCACCACTTGAATGCCCGACCGAAGACAGCCTCTTGATTGCATGATACTACACGGATGTCTCCAAGTTTGCACTTTAATCATCTTTAATCTCTGTCTGTGTAATTGCACAGAAACAATCCAGGGAATTGGGTTGGTTGGCCAATGTTTGGAGAGATCTGCAAGCCTTTTGAATTTTGATTGGCGTACTGTACATTGTCTGCTCGGAATCCTGCGATGTTTCAGCCTGGTTTCTCCATGTTTCTCCAGTGTACACCGCACTCTTGGCACCCCAAAATATCACCAGGCCATGAGAAGGTCCACTGGGCCCACTGATTTGGATCGGAGAACTTGAAAATCTTCAGCTTCACAGCAACCAACTGATATTTGATATTTATTGATATTTGATATTTGAAGAGAATGGATCTCAAGGTTGGCAACTGACGCAAAAACTGGGGATCCATCAAGGGATCGGAACTCCAGTCGTCGTCCTGTGCTTCGAAGGCTTGCTGCGCAGCTGCAAAGGCTTGATCCTGGGCTGGTGATGTCTGGTATACCAGGCCCTGTCACCATTAACCAATGGAATATATGGATAATATATGGATAATATATGGATAATGAAAACCAAAAATCTGATGGAAGGTGCCATGGTTTGGAAGAAATTCCACCCGGATCAGAGGCAAAAGAGGGGAAGTTGGACTTATGAACGGCATGGCATACTGGTCTTGTTTTCACTTTGCGGCTTCAAACGAAACATGCAGAGAGGATGCTCAGATCAAACAAAACTGTTTCCAACAAACACAAAGATTGCTAGTGCATTGGATGGAGCCCACAAGAATCCTATCCTTGCAGGATATGAAATGCCAAGCCTTCATGGCGTTGAACAGCTCCAGTGAAGCACGGTACTCAGCCTCCAGTGCCTGTAAGAGAAAACTTTTGCCAGAAAACATGGAGGTTTTGTTGGTGCATCCTGGATTTTCCCAAGAAGCAGAAGATTTGCGAAAGTCGATTTCTCAGGCTCCCTCTCTCAAATTTCCCCAGGTTTCCTTCAGGATTCCTTGGTTTTGTGCCACAACTGGGGAAGGACTTGACCTACACCGTCCGCAGTCCTCCATTTTTTGGAGGGTTCCTTTCACCACATCCTGGGCGGCTCAGCTACCTTTCACCACATCCTACAAAGGTCTGACCAGTTGATACCAAATTCACTGGACATCCACGAAGTGCAAGCACTTCGTTGCCTTACATCGTAACGATTTAACATATTCAAGGCTTCTTGTGCATCAAAATCATGGGGTGATTTTGGATCCCAGCGCAACTGGATCCCACCTGCATAGTCTCCACCTTCTGCAGATGTGATCTGGACAAATCCCCCATGAGCTCTTTGCACTGGGTGCCAGAGTCCTCACGACGTAAAACTGCGCCAGGAATCAGCAACAACTTCTGTACCACACATTGCTGCACTCAAATGCTAATGCAAAGCCCAGTGTACTATAATTGACTATTATACATATATCATATGCATATATTATATACATATATCATATACATATATTATATACACATGTCATATACACATATTATATACATATATCATGTACAAATATTATATACATATATCATATACATATATTATATACATATATCATATACATATATTATATACACATGTCATATACACATATTATATACATATATCATGTACATATATTATATACACATGTCATGTACACATATTATATACATATATCATGTACAAATATTATATACATATATCATATACATATATTATATACATATATCATATACATAAATTACATATATTACATACATATATTATATACATATATTATATACATAGATTATATACATATATTATATACCTATATCATATACATATATCAGATACATATATTATATACATAGATTATATACATATATTATATATATATATATATCATATACATAAATTACATATATTACATGCATATAATATAATATAATATATACATATATTGCATACATATATTACATACATATATTAGATACATATATTAGATACATATATTAGATACATATTGTATATATATTTATACATATATATTATACACATATATTTTATACATATACTATATACATGTACTAAACAGATATTGTTTCCATATTATATACATATATTATACATATATTATATGCATATATTATTATAATACATGTAGTATATACATGTGATATACATATATTATATACATATATTATATACATATATTATATACATATATTATATGCATATATATTATACTTATATTATATACATATATTATATATATACATATATTGTATACATATACGTATACATACAATACACACATGTATACGTACAGTCTAAAATTGCAAATGACATGTGCTCGTATCAATATCATTATTCATCAGATCATTCGGCAGCCACTTTCGGGAGATTGAGACACATATTCAATGTGCGTCTCGGAGGCCACCGTTCAAGCTCAACGGAGGAGGTGCGATTTGGTGGGGTTGCGGCGCCGGTCGTTTCGGAGGTTGATCTCTTGTGCTAAAGACTTCTGCAAGATGCTGGGAAACAAATGCCGTAAGCTCCATCCTTCGGCTGCTTCATGCTGCTTCTGAATCAAGGATCATCAAAGCTTAGAGAAATGCAGGGTGCCAGCACTGCAATGTATGTGCTACGAGACACAGATGATGCAGACGTTCGATGTGGGGATTGCTTGCAGGAATGCACATGCACACGTGCATGCATATACTGTATATAATTATATATAATTATATATATATATATATGTTATTTATTTTTTCATATTATATATAATTGTATGGGATACAAAATCACCTATGGATACATGTGGTGCACATTCCTGACTCAGTGTATCTCAGTATAGATCAGCTGTATGCAAAGGCAGACTTCTCGTCAAGCAATGGGTCTCATGATAACAATACCAAGTTAATTCTGATTGATTCCTTAGCGGCCTTAGCGTTCGTGGTACACGCTTAAGTTCAACTATATACCCGTGTGACACATCTTCAATTGCAAGCTGCAACGGCCTCCACTCTGGCCGCCAAGCTGGCTGCATGCTCCTCCCAAAGCCACCAGTATTTGGTGAAGCAAAGAAAATATCGTCCAAAAAAATGGATCTGACACTATCCATTTGTCATGACTATCATGACTACAAAATTCTGTTGACTCACGGCAGTGCTGGAGATGCGTCCTCCGCATATTTGGCCGATGCCGCGGCTTCCTCCTGGTCAACATCTTCGGATGCAAGCAGAATGGAAGAAAGCGATATTAGATGTTTAATGATGTTTAATGTCATGTCATGACTAGTTGTTGATCTTGACTACATGTCTCTGGTAGCTCCAAAGTGTCATGGCCGGCTCCAAGGTGTGACAGCACTGTCAATTCTTTTCATCACTGAATCGACAATCCAGGGTCCTTGGTGCGAGAAGCCATGGCCTGAGCATGTGTTGACGGGATGGAACAGCTTCAACTTGATAATTTTAGTGCAGATAATGGTACAGATGAAAGACTTTCAGGATAAAGCAGTAAGAGATCACGGTACATCTATTGGTGTCCTTTGCATCGGTGTTCCCACATCGAGCATCGGCCTCCGCGACCTCTGTGATGTGCACCACTTGCTCCTGCAGTGAAACAACAGCAAAATCATTGATACGAAAATATTACATCGAATTGGATGCTGTTTACATATGTTTAATGTGTTTTTTCGTATCACTCAAAATGACCCGTGCATTTTGTGGTTCTTTTGGTACCTCATGAGCCATGGGTCCTCTGCTCGACTGGCAAGCTCTTCTGCCTTCGCCTGCAACGGCCATTCCAGTTCTGCGACCTGTTCAACCTGTGTCTATGGGAAATGATACCACATCGTTTTCTTAGTCCTGCGTCATCTTGATAAAGTAATTGTAATTCATGTTCAAGAAATGCAAAGTATGGTGCATGATACGTATATTATATATATATGTGTGTGTATGTGTATATATATATATAATTATATATATATATTATACATGTATATATATATACATATATATACATATCAAAATGATGGTATAAAATGGTATATAAGCAATCACAGATCATGGCAAATGATAGCCGAATGTTGGCTGCTAGGCCTAGGCGCTTCCGCCTGAGATTTCATCCACATCGTGACACCTTTTTTCAACTGCCGTGGGCAGAACTTGAGAACTTGGATTCATCAACCATTGGAATGTTGGTAATGTTGGTTCGTAGTACTTAATCAATGGAAATCAATGGAAATCAATGGAAATCAATGGAAATCAATGGAAATCAATGGAAATCAATGGAAATCAATGGAAATCAATGGAAATCAATGGAAATCAATGACCAAATTGGTAATATGTGGTAATTAAGTCATTGGAATACCATTGGAATACCATTGGAATACCATTGGAATCAACCAATATTTGGTAATTAATGTGGCAATGAAAAGTCATTGATTTCCATTGATTTCCTGTCAATTATCCCATCAATCCAGTGACCACCAAGATCACCATGTTCAGAGCCTGGGCAAGTTTGGCCGCCACGGCTGCGCGCTCCTCTGGGACCACTCCCAAAGAAACGGGTCAGTGTATAAAGTGGCTAAGACCCTACAGGTTTGAAGCATAAAAGAGTCCTGCCGTGTCTTCCCAATAACGCTAGCCGCTAGCTTTTCATGTCTGCTCTGTGTCCTCTCCACGTTGGGCCAGTCGCAATGCTTCAGCCTGCATGGAGCAGCTGGTGCTCGTTTCTCAATTTCATCCAATTCAATCTCTGCTTCCAGATCCTTCCAGACTATTTTCTGTTTGGCCACAATGCCATGGCCATTTTGTGCCAACTTCCATCAGGGCTGGTAAAATGTCAGCATCCCCAGCCCCTCCTCTGCATGTTGGCAGTGCTCCTCTGCCTTAGCCTTGGCCCACGGGAGCCAATTTTGATAGACTAGTGGGGATCCAATCATGACGACCATCATCCTGGTATGAGTTGGATCCCTATAAAACAATACCATCCATCTGTATTGTGCAACTGCATCCATTCTAGCATTCCCGTCAAAGAGGTATTTCAAAAGGAACTCGTGTCACAATTGAGCCTCTCTGAAGGTCTTGCCTCGCCACGGGCTGCTAGGCGCTGTGCTTCAGCCTAGCGGGCTCATCGATTCAACCATTGAACCTCGGGGTGCAATAGTTCTTGGAATGGCCACTTTCCGCCACCAGTATGGTAACAATCTGTTCCCATCATGGTGATAATGCCAACTATATGGGATAGCATAACCCCGAATTAATCATCAAGCAACAGGCGTTTGTTGCAAGTTGAGCAGCTGCCCATCGCCTCAGCAAAATTCACGGCCGCTGCTGCTCGTTCCTGTAGAGTTTGTGCCAGGTGCCAGCCCTCCTGGCCATGGACAGAACCCACGTCACCAAGCGCTACAGAGAAGAATTTTGGTCAACTTACATGGCTTTGTTTGAAAATGTGGTACCCAAAATTTGCCAAATTGCATCTCCTATTGGCCCTATGATCTTTTTCTTGATTAAAATTGGATTAAAATTGCTATGTGGTGGCATTCTCAGTTTCAGACAAACCCATATCCAAAGGATTCGACATCGCTGTAACAGCTCCTCAGTCTTGCTTGCTGCCAGTTTCGTCTGGTCCTGAACCAGAAGTTGCTAGCTCGGTGACCCCAAACATCCGGCGACTTGGTTTTTACGGTGACGCTGTATGACAAAAGTGATAGTGCATCCATGTGCATCCACAACAAATTGGGTCTGACTTGAGTTCAACGAATCCTGGCTGGAATTTCAAAGTCGCACTTATGAGTAAAGGATGTTGGATGATGTTGGATGATGTTGGAGGCAATTTTCCCAGATCTTACTGTTCAGTCCTCAACTTGCCACAGGAGTTGCCGAACTTGTTCCTGCGACAGGGATCCACAAATGGGATGTTTTCTCTCACAGGCCAACAGGTAGGAATTGGCCAAAGGGATCTATAAAATGATCCAAGCAGGCAGCAGACTTCAGGGTCGGTGAGAAATCCGTTTTCCCTGCTGCGAACCTCACAAAGACTCTCAGTCTTGGCAGCGATGACACGGACTTCGCTCCTCGTGACAATAGTGGCCGCGTGGCCTGTGACCACATGAGTACGTGGCATCTGGAGATTTCCATGGCTGAAGCATAGGAACGTATAGGAACTCAATAGGAACTCACGGTGGATCGTACTTTCACATCTAACCACCAAAACCTCGGTATTCCCGCAGTGTCCTTTCTTGTGCTCGATAGTCGCGGAAGAGTTCCTTCCGATGTCTATATTGGAATGCCACTGCACAAGCGGTGAAAAGTTCGATCAAAAGTGAGTGGAAAGGACAAAATCCATAGGATTCTCCACAAAACCCCGATAAGATCAGTACAATGTACAGTACAGCAAAGCTCTTCATCAAGCAGTGAGATGCATGAACATCAAAAACATGTAAAATGTGCGCACCTTCAAAACGAAGATTTACCTATATCCGCCGACCCCGGCAGACGCAAAGGGGAGTGCGCAAGGGAAAAAGAGCAAGAACAACAACAACAACAACACCAACAACAACACCAACAACAACACCAACAACAACACCAACAACAACACCAACAACAACACCAACAACAACACCAACAACAACACCAACAACAACACCAACAACAACACCAACAACACTACTACTACTACTACTACTCCTCCTCCTGCTGCTGCTGCTGCTGTTGCTGCTACTGCTACTGCTACTGCTACTGCTACTCCTACTACTACATAGGGCCAACATAGGCGCAACATGGGCCCAAGATAGGCCGAAGACAGGCCCAACCTGGCCCAACCTGGCCCAACCTGGCCCAACATGGACCCAAGGGCGAAGTGAAAAAAACGTGGCTTCTGTTTGCAATCCCACAGTCGACGAAAAATTCGAAGATGTATAGCTACTTCATGCTGGTTCACTGCCGTCCGGCCGTTTCTCTGCCGGCGCCCGGCTGTCAGGCATAAGCCCTCAAATAATCCTATATATAACCCCCACCATCCCACCATTGGATTTGCCCATCTTTATCGATGTTTTGTGCACCTCCATTCGTCTCTCAAGGCGGCCATTGGAGTTGGCTAAGGAGTCCTTCACCTCCAAAAACTCTTGAAAATTGGCACAGAGTTTGGAAATGTTAATTCAAAATAAATTTGAGGGCCCAAGAATCATTAAAAATCATTCAAAACATCCAAGAATCATACAAGGATCAGAAGAGTTCATTCATGTTTATTTCAGATCATTCAGGAATAATCGAAAATCATCGCAGCAACGTCTTCTATTGAGAATTCTCTGGCAATCGAACTCCATACACTTGTTTTTCAAAAATCGATCCACCAAGAACCATCAGGGATGTTCCATCTCCATGTTCAAGTACTGGCGGGCACATCAAATTCAACAAATGAAAGGGAAGAAAACCCGTTGCTGACAGTGGAAGCGTTGCCCTGCATGTGATATCCCGTCATACGGTCCACGGGTCCTTCCCTTGGCCCACAGGATTCAGGCCTGTGCTTCAATCGATGCTGAGCATTCCTGCCCCAGAGACATCATCTGCTTGCGCAGGTCCTCCCTCACCTGGCCACAAGAAAAAGGCTATCTTGAGGTGCATAACCTCAAACATCTCAAACCTGCATATCATAAGCTCACCCAATCGCAATTGGAATATTGTCAAACATCCACTTAAAATATTAATCTTAAAATAGTAATTCACCAACCTGATGATTCCCCAAATACCGTCCAATACCAACACCAACATATACCAACCATCACCGTGACATGGTGGGAAAATGCGCAACGCGGCCGCCTGTTCCTCCACATCTCTGCGCAACGTTGCCACTTCGCGTGACACTTCCTCCCGTGCCTTGGGATGAGCGGCTGGAAGAAAGCAGTGATGGGTCGTCGTGGTTCCCCATCTTCGGTCACGTCTCATTCATACAGTGTGTATATAAATATATATATATATATGTGTATCTATTATATATATATATATTCATATCTATTTATTGTGCATTTATGTATATATATATCCCTAGGTCCCTATCCATGTATGGTTGTTGAACATTGGTGTGAATCGCCTCAATTTGATGTGTTGAAACCTGCCATCAAATCAATTTGGCTGAGATTGTCATTAAAGAGCCCTGGGATACTCCTCAAAGGCCTATTCCTAAACGCGCAGGAAAATTCCAAAAAAATAAAATTCAAAAACATTCAAAAAAAAAAACACAACAAATCCAACTGTTCTCCACCGTTGTCAAGCTCCCTTGCATCTGCTGCCAATGGTTTTTCAGTCTTGCTTCAGCTGTTGTTCATCCCACCTTTGCCTTTTTGGAAGGTGGCATCTGCTCAACAAATTCCCTTAAGGCAAATGTTCAGCTGGAATCTTCCCAGGTGATTGCTCAGCAATTCCTGGGCCACTTTTCCCACATATGGTCATGAACTTCCGACAATTTCTGCTCCCAATTTGTTCCTGGTGGGAGAATGTTCTGCTGAATGTTTTTTGATTGAAACATGGGTATTCTTGGCAAGTGACATGTTCAAAATAGATAGTTTGTTTGAAACAAAGGGCGCAGAAGGCATCCAAGTGGACGAACGATTTTGATGAACATCCCATTTAAGCCCTCGGAGCACTCATAGTAGATAGTTCTCAGCAAATGAATCATTTCCTACCCTTCTGGAATGGAAATGTGAACCTCACACTTTGTATCAGGTCTCTCAAACAGGATGGATCAAAGTGATAACCTGAAACCAATGCCAACTATCATTCCACAACCTCAAACCTGTGCACCAAAGTGGGCAGCTTCAAGTCCTTCCAAACATGTTTCGTGGAACAGCACGCACTTTTGCAGGTACGTCTACACAAATGACATGGACAGGCTGACTGCGTCTCTGCTGGTCCACAGCACAACAACAGGCCACAATGGCTCCTCTGGAAGGTCGGTATACAAAGGTCCGAAAGGCTCGAGGCCAATGAAGCACTGCATGGTTCTTGCCTCAACATCAACGAGGATCGCCATCCAGTCATCACGCCAATTCCGAAAAGATCCCCGCAGATATCGGTTGGCACGTCCACAGCAGTTTTGGCTAGAACCTCCATGGTAGATTCCGAAAAAACCTGTTTCATACTCTGGATCTTGATTCACAGGCATGTCCTTTGTCCCCACTCCGAAGCCCAAAGCAAAAGCATGCTGGTGCACCATGAAACGTAGCAAGACTTTACCTTCCAGTGGTGGTGCTTCCTCACCGTCAAACAAGTTGAACATCACACCATGGGGTTCACGCACTTCACCCCCGGTGACTGTCTTGCCGTGGACTGTCTCCAGTTCAGCGCCCTCACCAGGCGGACGCTCGCCAGTATAAGCAGTTGCTGCGTAGTGTTCGAATGATGCATCTGCCACATTTCCTTTGGGTAAAGCAACATGACCTGAGGGCAATTGAAAGACCATTTCAAAACACCAACCACACAGATCACGAGGCTTGAGATTCTCGACTCTTGTAGACCACACATCCATCTCATCCAATATGACCCCACATCATGGAATCAACAATTCAATCAAACATATTAATCAAAGATCAGGAATGGAGATCAATGCAGATATATGCAGATTAAGGGGTTGTCAAACTGTCAAACCATGTAAAACCTCACCTAACTCCAAATGTCTGCTTGTCACTGCCATGAACTCCTCGGAGTTCACATCCACAAGCTTCAGAGGGCTCCGTTTCACTGGTGCCGGCTGCCCGGAAGGAATCAACTGCAGCCGATAGCTCGGCACAGCTCGGACGTTGGAAACGGTCTTGTACAGGTCGTTCACAGTAGCAAAGGGTGGCAGTTCCACATGGATTTCGCTCCCATCCACGAAGCTCACCCTGTATACTATCTTGTCAGATATCTTGTCAATGTGTTCCTCGCCTGCAATTTCCGCGGTGCTGGCTGCTTCAATGTGGGCAGCCTCTGGTGGTGAAGCACTTGCCATGGCGAGGGTGAAACACTTCAGCGCCGCGAGTAGCGACTGGGTGGAGAAGAGGAATGCAAAGATCTGTTTTGAATCTCAGGAATTTTCGAAGGAAACCACAATTGTCATGCAATGTCATGCAACATCATGTAATGTCATGTAATGTCTCTCTGTCAGCTGAATGTTTTCAACTTTGGTTGGCACATGCAGTGGCAGCAGTGCCAGTGTGATTTTAATCAAACCTCTTGACAGGTCCGCATGTTAACACGGAGTGGCACAAATCAACCAAATTTGATCACACAAAAATGCGTATAGCGGCAGTGTCAATCAAACTTGAGCACATGGTAGATAAATAGCCTTTGCTCAAAAACTAAGCTAAACCTGTAGTGATTGAAATAAAATGAATTCAATAAAGCAGCATGTGTGCTTGAGTTCTCAGCAAGATGCAGTGTCAGTAGTATCTTTAAGTCTCTCGGAGAACCTCCGAATGATATCTGACCGAAGACTTGAAACTTGAGGATTATAGTGATTATTATACAAATCAAATGTATGAAAATTATCCAAAACTGGTAGCTGCTAGCTCTTTGCCAAATCTGTGGCATCCCTCAGTAGGTCCTAAAATGCATGTATCTTGTGCTCGCTGGCAATTGCCCGGAATCTCCGAGAACTCCAGCTTCGTTGCTGTAGGTGTCACGGTCGATCCAGTTTCGTAAACACCAGTTGCGTTTTTTTTCTATCACGGAACCTTCGATAGAAACTTTGGCCATTGAAGCCATTGGCTGCTGCAAATAAAAACCTGGTGCTGAATCTGTGCCAACTTATCCAACTTGCAAGAGATAAAGTGTATGAAACTAAAGGAAGGTCTTGAAGGTCTTGAAGGATAGATTAATTGCAACGACAGCAGCTTGAAATGCATCAAGGCTGGCTGAGGCTGTTTGGATCACTCTTTCACGATGTGCTGTTTGACTGCTAGAAGCAGCATGCAACCCACATGGAGATCCAGTTTCAGCTCAGAGCCATCATTGACAATACGATTGCAGCTTCAACATTGATTAAGTTCGTTTGTTTTTAGCTAATATTACCTAATCTTGGTCATGGAAGATCAACAAAAATCCCCGTGATCTTTGGGACGGAGGATGTTGTACAGGAGATATGAAATCTGCTATTCAGCCATCACTTTCGCCCGTTCTGGCCCGTTGGGGGATCGTATCCCACCAACAATCTATATGTTCACCGATCTTTCGAATCCCAAATTGTGTGGGATGTTTCAGGACGTTGTTGTTTTATACCAAAACCATCAACACCTGATCCAAACTCGTGTAACTGCCACACGATCCAACAAAAGTCAACGTAGCATCTGTCATCATCCGTCATCCATGATTCTCCATCATCATCCATCAGGGTGTGGCTGAAAATACATGAAAATACCCTTTAGTTCAAATGGAAAGAGGGATGATGAACCATGATCAATCCTCCAATTTCTCAAGTTTCACCTTGATTGTGCTATCCTCAGATTCTCTCTATTTAACAGATTTTCGGTGGCTTTTCCCAAATTTATCCTGGTTTCCCGAAAAAGATCAGAGAAATCCCATTTTCCCATAGTTTTCCCATAGTTTTCCCATGGGTGTCCCATGGTTTTCCCAACAAACCCAGGCTGAGTGTCCGAACCGTGGCCACTGCACGGCTCTTCGCCACCGTCTCTGCGTGCTGGAGAAGTTCCTGCTGGAGTTCAAGCCGGGCCTGGCAAGATTCTGCGCACGGCATGTCATGCATTTTCTACTGTACATCTATAGATATATTGTGATATATTGAATTATATAGATATTTATTCATATACATGTATATATGTCTATATATAGTTGTATAGATATATATATAGTTAACGTTATATAGTTATATATATATGTATGTGTATTAATTATACGTATTTAATATACGTATGTACAGGGTGAAAAGGGATTATGAATGGGGTTGCAAATGGATGCATTGAAGAATGATTTTGAATAACAATGGGATCAAATGGGATCAAATGGGGGGCCTGGGCCTGTCACTGGGATACGTATGGGTCCAATATTTAGATGTCTGTATTGAGGTTTGAGTTTCATGAAGGTCTTGGAATACCTAGTGCCTTGGCGCATGCCCAAATGAAACCTTGATGAAAAAACACCAGCGCTCCATATCTCAGGTACTGTCGCTGCTTTGCAAGGTCAATCTTCAGAAGGAATTGATATGGCGGATAGCCTCATGGCCTTACGGTTGACCCATGTATAGGTTCCCCAACAGCTGTGCATGAAATAATTCTCTTCTTGTTTGGTGGGGGAATCACTTGCGCTCGGAAAAACCATCGCAGCCTTTTCTCCTCAGCAAGTGTCTTGGCGAAGATTCAGGAGAGAGCGGCCAAGCGGCAAAATGGGTGCTCTTTGAGGGCGTTCAGAAGTCAATGAAATTCTGTGTGAGGAAAGCAATGTTGAATATTCGGCACATCCTGCTCAAGGCAAAATTGTTGAAGCGGCTAGTGTGCAAAGCCAGTCTACAAGGGAACACAGTTTGGTCCAACCGCTGCAAACATGAAGTATCGGACGTGCGACTCAAAAGAGTGACCCCAAGTAAGCACCACATACAATGCTCTCCTGTCTCCCAAGCCTATCTTTGTGATGAGGTATGAGATTTGTTGGGAACATTGGTCGGTAAGTATCCGCTTCTACGGCTCTAACATAGATATCAAAGACCGCTTGGGATGATGGACATCCATCATATACTTAGCAAACAAGATCAAATATCATCAAATATATCTTGACACAAGCCTAATAGCTGTAACAGCGAGCACGATCTAGAGCACGATTTTTGGCACGAAGGAGAGCACCAAAAAGCACGATCTAGAGCACGATATTTGGCACGAGGGAAAGCACCAAAAAGCACGATTTGTGGCACGAAGGAGAGCACCAAAAAGCACGATTTTTGGCACGAGGGACAACAACAAAAACCACGATTTTGTGCACGAAGGAGAGCATTAAAAAAAACGGTCTAGAGCACGGTTTTTGGCACGAGGGAGAGCACCAAAAAGCACGATCTAGAACACGATTTTTTGCACGAGGGAAAGCATTGAAAAGCACGATTTTGTGCACGAAGGAAAACACTCAAAACAACGTTCGCCCAAAATATAAAGAAATCCTTTTTTTGACTGTTACAGCTATTAGGACGGACTCAAAATATATCTATAGTTGACGAGCATCTATAATTGACAATGATAGATAGCATGCCAAACATCCCATAGTTATAGTATCCAGGGATGGGAAGTGGATTCAAGTTTGGGATCTTTGCATATCTTTGCATCTCATCCCTGATGGGTTTCCACGACGCCGTCTTGACAGTCGCAGTTGCCGCGAACAGCTTTCCGCGGCGGGTTGCCCGTCGCCAGCAGCAGCAGCTGAGTATGGGAGCTATTTATCACAGCAAATGGGACCAGTGAATTCCTTTGTTTTGTGATGTTGTGTGTGTGTGTGTTTCATATTGTCTTGAAATCAGTGATATTGTCAATATTGTCTTGTTTTCATGGATCGAGGATGTGAAACAAATGCACGGAAGGCACAAGGGGTCTCTTGGCTGAATAGATTCAACAAATGCACATGGCAAGGACAGGGCAAGTGCCTCCCGTGTTCCAAATGGTGCGAGACACCAGGTTAAAAAGCGGCGAAGCCATCACCCGTGGCAGCTTGCAAACGTCAATCACAGTGGAATCCTTTTCAGAACATGATTTTCATAGCACTGTGGTTGATCATGTTTTTTGTTGCTCATGATTAATCAACATTAATAACATGTCATCATGATTACCCATATGTGTTAATAGCAATGCTGCAATGCTCATGATTCGTCATGTTCATCCTCATGGCATCTGCAGCCATCTGCCGCCATCTGCCGTGTCAGAATGCATAGATGGCGTGGGTGTGATAGTCTGTCACCTTGAGTCTGCTGACTCAGCTGACCAAACGGCCAGATTTCTGTGGGATTCTGCCGTGTCCAGTCCGTTGATGAAACCATGAGACATTTTATTCAGGAACCATTGGCCTCTTTGAAATACAACATCCAACATCATCCAACTATCCAGCATCAAAGATATCAAAGAACCATCTGTTGAAAAAAAAAATCGTTGATCAACATGGATCAACTCCTTTTCCCTGATTTACTTCAATATGGCAGTGTGTCAAAACCCTGTACCCCTGTAGTTCACATCAAAATAGCTGGTAAATGGATGTTCATCCCACTAAAAATGGTATTAATAGGCATTGACCCATAGCCATATCTTCAATGATATTCCCATTAAAATCCATTAAAACCACCTGTTGGATCCAGGGCCGCAGACCACAATCATGCCGCTGGCATTCACAGCGATGCCGGCAGGGGACCTGTTCGATCTGGGACACCAAAAACCCAACGGTGGTGGTGTAACATCATGTGATCGACTTTAGTAACTTTAGTAAATTTCTGGATATATACCATTTTTAATACCCAAACAATACCATCAAATACCATTAAATACCATTACCATCTGGTTATTTTGCATAGCCATGGAAAATCACCATTAAAATAATAGATAAACCATCTATTTCTATGGGCCATCTATACCATGGCTATGTTAAATAACCAGAGGGTAACCGTCAATGGTAATGAGTAATGATAGTGGTAATGAGAGTGGTCATGATATTATGGCACAGTGGTCATCGTTTACTACTAAAAAAGGATCGGTCCATAGCAAAATTAACCATGCGTTCACCAACAAACAGAGCTTGGTAGGAGCATTGAACCAATGATGGAGGCATGATGTTTCATCAACATCAATACACAGTGGATTTAGACGCTTGGGTAGTTGTCCCACTTGAAGTGGCAAAAGAGTATGGACGCCATCAGCATGTTTCCAACTGAAGTTTAAAAGGTTAGTTCTTGAGGGGAAAAGGTTAGTTTCGAAACCCGGGTTTTGGCTGGCTTGGAGGGGGGGCGGGAGAAACAAACTAACTCTGAGGAGAAAGGTTTGTTTTTGGGGTAAAAACAAAGGTTTTGAAACATTAGTTTCTGGCTCCGGAAACAAAGGTTTGGGCTAGGGAAAGGTTTGTTTCCGGGAGGGAAAAGAAATGTTTACAGGAGAGGTTATTGGAACCATTGGGAAACTAAGGTTTCAAAACTAACGTTTCGAGGTCGAGAAACAAAGGTTTCCAAGCCGGAGAAAATGAGTTTGTAAGTTTCCGCTTGCTCCCCGGAGCAGCAGCAGCACCAGGAGCGGTGGCAGCGGCAGCAGCAGGCAGCGGGCGCAGCAGGAGCCGCAGGGCCGCAGTAGCATTAGCAGCAGCCGCAGCAACAGCAAGAGCAGTCGCAGCAGGAAGACGAAGTAGAAGAAGAAACAGAAGAAGAACCAAAGAAAAAAGAAGAAGAAAAGGAAGCCGAAGAAAAAGAAAAACGAAGAAGAAGAACAACTGCAGGAGAAAAACTAAAATACTGCAGCGGGCGCATTCTGTTTGGCGACGGCGGTACGTGGCAGGCAGCGGCATGTACGCGGCATTTTCTCGGATCGGAGACGATCGACAAGGCGTGAAAAAGGAAGAAGTGGCACCATACTGCAGACAAGAAGAGCATGGCGAGGCAGTTCGATAGGTCATGGGCGATGCCGACAGAGAGGAAGGATGGTGAATATGAAACAGTTGCCACAGCATGGCGAGGCCGAGATGAAGGGCAGCCCAAAAGGTTAGTTTCATTGCTTTCAAACTAACGTTTCGAAACGTAAGTTGTTCAGACGAAAAGGTTTGTTCGAAACAAAAAGTTTTCCGTGTCCGTGAAAAACAAACGTTTCAGCTGGGCAGTCTGGCAGTTTGTTATTCCAACTCAAAACAAAAGTTTTGTAGAATAGTTTGTTTCCGTACCTAAAACAAACGTTTCTGAAACAAACGTTTTCGCAAAAACAAACAAACAAACTAGTCGAAAAAAAGGTTTGTTTTTGGGCGTTTCAAACTAGTTCCGATGGAGTTTGTTTTGAGTTTCCAGTTTCAAACTAACGTTTCCAAAAAAGGCTTGTTTCGAGCCCTGAAACTTACGCTTTCGCAAGGGAAACGTTAGTTTTTGGAGGAAAACATTTGTTTTCTCTTTCCACTGCTTCCAGTCCCAAGCTTGGACAACACCAAATCATTAGTTTCCGCTTGGAAAACAAACCTTTTCTGCTGTCTAGAAACATTTGCTTCAACCAGGAAAACTAACCTTTCTCCTGTCGAAAGGTTTGTTGCCATCCCAAAACAAACTCCTGATTGCATCCCTACTGTGGCAAAAGGACCTGGTTAGCAAGTGCCCCTACAACTGGCTTCAAATCCATGGCTACCAACTACCAACCTACTGGGAGAGCGGGCAACGATTGATGTTAAGCTGGGCACCTCAAACCCTGCCACTCATCTGGTTGCGGCTCTTCACCTTCTGAATCTGGGGGCACCTGCCAGGTGCTGATGCGTCCGACAAGAGTCTTCACACTTGGACCCACCAAACTCATCCAATATCATCCAGTGACCAAACGATCATCTGCTCGTTTGAAGAAATTCGTTGACTTCAGCTCATGAGCAACAACCATCACAGACACGTTGAAGTCCTTGCCTCTTCCCCTTCCGGAGGCGCTTCCTGTGCTGCATCGCGTGCATGACATGAATCATGTCAACTGTATCATAGAGTGCATTATATATATATAATTATATATATATACATGTGTGTGTATGTGTGTGTGGGTGTGTGTTTAGACGGATGATAAGACTTCTCAGACATCCAAACCTCAACATGAACCCATCGACGCTTAAACATCTTACAGCTGCAATATAAATATTTCAGGATAAGCAAATGGAGACAGGACGGCTCCCAATCCCGGCCTTTTTCTTCTTGGATCCTCCCCACTTGTGGATGAAACTGCCTCCGAAACACAGCATCACAGGCCCTTGTGGCAAGTGCAGTGCGCTGTTCGCGGTGTGATGGCATGTCCATGGTTGTGCCCGTACCTCGACGAAATCCTACCATTACCATCTCAGTATCATACGGCAGTGTGTCAAAACCTTGTACCCCTGGTGAACATCAAAATAGCTGGTAAATGGATGTTCATCCCACTAAAAATGGTATTAATAGGTATTGACCCATACTCATACATCTTTCTCAGAGTCTAACAACCGGTTTGCCACACACTGGGCTAGCGGCCGTCAGAAGCATTGAAAACCTGCAGCACGGTGGCAAACAGTCAAGTGCTTGATGCTCACAGCAGCCGCTATGCCGCTATGCCGCCTATCGATCATTCCATGCTATGTCTGTGACTCACAGCCTGAATCCGATGATTGCCTTGGTCGCAAACAAAGAGTGCCTCAGTTCAGCCACCAAGGAATGTGCTTCACACAGCATGTCATGTGTTTTCTAGTTGGGTTTATGTGAGAATAGGCTACCCCTAAATCCGCTTTTTGATCAGTTGCCCTATTAAAACGGCCATGTGGTGGGTATATCCGATCTTAAAACGCACCCAGATGGAGTTTCCTGGGAACTACTGGGGCTGTCAGTACTTGACATGCCACGAAAAATTCTTGGGGCTCAGAGTTGCACATTCTCGTCATTCACAGCAATGCCAACAGGATAGTGGAAGAATCCGTCCTTCGCAAAGGAGAACAAAATAAGTCTGAGTCTGCACGCAGTAGCAGTCAACCTATCACAAAAATATACAAAAATATCAAGGCAGCACCTCCATCCTCCATGCGGGGAATAACAGAATGCCATCGATGAAGAATCATGAAATCTGCTGCCAACTCATCGAAGCATGACACTCTGAAGGCATCAGTTCTCCTTCTTCCCTCGCACTCCAAATGACCGCAGGAAGCCTCCTTTTCCATCAAACACCTGGGAAACCAGAGTCAGACCCCTGGCCTTTGATGGCCCTGCTGACTGAGACACCCTTCCCAGCCTGGATACGATTGTTCCCGTCAGAACTTGGCAACGGGGCCGAAGCGACACAGCACAGGGAAGTGTTCATTGCAAGCAGGAAACAAGTCATCATCTCCCCAAGAATCAACTGAAGGTCACCTTGTGAATCATCTCAACCAAAGTGTAGTTTTGCTCAATCAACAACTCAGATTCAACTTAATTATGTGTTTGTGGATACTAGACAAGTCTCTACGTATAAATACCATACCATCGGGGTGCCAATTCATTATGTGAAGTTGTGCAGGAGTTTTAGAGCGGTCTAACTTTTGTGCATAGGCCTCAGGCTTTAAAATGCACAAAAACAATGAAAACTGGCTCTGCAATAAAATGCCTTGCCACCAAATTCATGCTTGAATGTGCATCCAACATCATCCAATTTCATCCAATTTTGAAGACCCTCAGAAACGCATCTTTAAAAAGAGGTCAGGAAATCCATTTTATATAGGGGTATTTTAGAGTGAAGGTGCCCAAATATTTAGTGAGTTTTTTTTAAATAGCATTCTATAGCAACAAAATACGGTGGCATTCTTTCGTGGCAATTCCTTAAAATTCCTTAAAAATCCTTTAAATTCCTTAAAATTCCAAAAAAAAACCTTAAAAAACCTTAAATATCCTTTAAAATTTAAAAACATTAAAGATCCTTAAAAATCTTCCGAATTCCTTCAAATTCCGTCAAATTCCTTTAAATTCCTTAAAAATCCTCTAAGGTTCCTTAAAATTCCTTAAAACTCTCTAAATTCCTTAAATTTCCTTATAATTCCTTTAAAATTCCTTAATATTTCTTCCTTGAAAATTCCTTAGTATTCCTTAAAATTCCTTAGAATTCCTTCAAATTCCTTAAAATTCGTTGATCTAAAATGACATGCCAATAACATCGATATAAAAAGATCCTGGAAAAACACTGGTTCCATTCTGCAATAAAATGCTCCAAGCAAACATGTTTTTGCAATAAAATGAGAATGGAAATTTAACATGTTAAAAATCATCAGGATTTACCTTTACAATAAAATGCTTAGCCCAACCCCCCAACAATAAAATGACTAGCCTGACATCAATTTTAAAATTCCAATACATTAAGAATTTCGTTTAAACTATGCACAGGTTCACCAGTTCTAGAGTGGAAATTGCCACGGGGATACCATACCTGCATCTAGCATTGTTTCGTTTTGAGTAAAGCAAGTGGAAATGAATCTGAAAAACGATGGAAAAACGCCATGTGGTGATCCACCTGGCCATGTGATCCCAGGTTGGCCATGATCATCCGAGTCCCCTTAGGTCGCCACATGAGAATCTCTCCCGTGCAAGTGATGGTGGCAGCCAGAGGTGAGTCGAACTGCCCGTCGCCAAAGCCATAGGATCCAAACCTGAAAAGCGACGCCAGCACTTTGGGGCCCAAATCCCAACTTTTGCACCTTCGGTCAGTGGTATTATGATGATCCATTTCATGAATACATATAAAATTTCACATACATGAATATATAGTGAAATCGCGACTACCCTTTATACGTATTTATATATTAATCTAATTAATTTGATTAATCAATTAATGATACAAGTTATATACATATATAAATTATATATAATATATACATGCCATCTCTGGGGTGAAGGGTTCATGGTTCGCTGTCTTTTGGCCTAATTGTTTGGCCCAACATCTGCGCCAAGGAGCTCTCGGAGCATTTTGAAGCCATCCATGTCTAGCACCTGGCTGAATCTCAAGGGATGGACGATGGATATCTGAGTTCCCAGCATTCAAAAGTTTGTTGATACTACCCTCTGGTAAACTAACATAGCTATGGAAAATCACCATTTTTCATGGGAAAATCCACTATAAATGGTCATGTTCAATAGCTATGTTAAATTATCAGAGGGTACTGTCTGCAACTTTTGTTTGGTGTGATTTGAGCTTGGTTTCAAAGACGTCTACCTTCGCAACCAATCCAAAACCAAAAAACAGTCCAGGCATGGTTCCAGTATCTTCCAGTCCTTTTGTCAGGTTGCAATGACTGATGACTACAATTTCAACCGGCAGATCAGTGAAGAGGTGAGGCCCAATTGCACAGACTCGCACACGCCTGCACCCTGTGGTTTGCAGAATCGCAGACCAAAAGGCCACCTGAATCAGACTGAAGGAGAGCTTGGTTTGCTTTTGGGTCATCCCTTCAAAAATCGAAAACCGAACATGAAAATCCATGGGTTCTGAACAGTTTCGAACATGAAAATCCATGGGTTCAAAAATCCAGTTCAAGGCTGGGGACAAAATCAATTCTCCCAAGGCTGGGACCGTTCTCCGTGAGGCCCAAGCCTTTTGGGAAAGAAAACTGGCCCGGGCCTCGGTGCCACGATCACCCGATTGGTGGTCTTGCCTGTTAAATCACCATATGGGTGGTCAAAATTTTGTAGTACCCCAATGACTAATAAGAATATTATAATAGATATATAATAGATATATAATAGATATGTGTTTTTCATGTTTTGTCCATATCAGATGGGTCCCAGTCACTGTAGGGCGTAAATTTTGACCCATTCACCATGTGTTACTGTGTATCAAACAGCACTGTATCTTGGCAAGTCGCCACTTCCTTCGCTCCCAATGCTCTGCAGGAAGGCCAACTCTTGCGTCCTGGCGGTCTGGGTCAAATCCCAACGTCAAATCCCAACGTCATCCATAGGACCATTCCAAATGAGGCTGAATGCGTGGTTAATTCACGCCAAATGTTCAAACTGTTGAAGCAAATCTAGAAGATATTTGGCCACTTTTCTCAAAATGATGTGTCTTTTTCATGACTTTCGTGGAGGCTGGTGCTGAGTGATGGGTCAAAAATTGTCGGTACCAGTTGCCATTGTGATCCATGGCACGTGGGGTGCCCGCAAGGCCCGCAACACCTCCATCCCCAAATGGAAAATTACGCGACCCTGCCCCTGATGTGAATGATGTTGTTCACACTAATGGTGAACATATCCGAAGTATTCCGAAGTATTCGAAAGTTGCTCTTATGATTTTTTCATGGATTTTAATGGCTTAATATGGCTTTAGCATCAAATATCTGCGGTCCTGGGATTAAACTCCAGGACCTGCAAACGATGGTTCAGCAGATCAGAGACCTCGGTTGCTGGTAGCGCTCATCACATTCGCCCATTTGATGACTGAATCTATAGATGTAAAAAAGCTGAAAGCTGAAATAGAAGGAAAAAAGAAAGTATATGAAAAAACAAACAACTTATATATAAGAAAACAATGTTGATTTTTGAACATGGTTGGCTTGATTAGTGTGAGTTGTTGTTTTTAATTTCAAATTTATGTAACATTTATGTATGTATGTCCTTGTTTTTCAGTCTGCATGGGGTCTATGATTTCATCATTAAGACCTTCCTGACCTCTGGCTGCACGACATACATCAGAATCAAGTTTCTGGCAGCAGATTTCGGCAAAAAAACTTGCAATGGTATACCCAGTACCACAATGTACCACAAACATCTCAATCTGACAATTCACGACTTGAAGCGAATGCACACAATGTTAGAAAAGGTGTGTGTGGTTGTTGGGATGTACCCTCTATAGAACTGGGTTCTCCTGTAAATTCTGTAAATCCAATTTCCTTTTTCAGGACTTCAGACTTCAGCTATGGGACTAGAATTGAAAAGCATGCAAAAAAAATGTAAAGAATGGATCACGTTGCAAGCCAGGTTTTGAGCCACTTCGAACCCACGTTGCGAAGCTGCAAACTCTAAAAAGGCCCTGTTCATCATTGGTAAATCCAACTGCCCACGGGTTGTGGCTGTGTTGGCCCTACGATGATCTTGTTCTCGCGATCTGCAACGATGCCGCATGGCCTTGGCGAATATAGCATGGCCATATCAGAAGCTCGGTAGATTCGGTAGATTGTGCGACAGGACATGAATGGCCGAACTGCCCGCACCCACTTCATCCTAAGTTGTGGACATATCAAAGTGGCTTGGACCCAGTCCCTTCGAGCCATACGCTCCTAACACCTGACGCAGCTGTTCGACCAACGAAGCAGCCAGCGCTGGTGTACTGCCAAGAAAGCACATTAGATCACTGGCAAATATGCCAATGGAAGTATAGAGATGTATAGAGTATAGAATCTTCTGCTTCAGCCACAAGGATGATATGTTTTTCTCATCTGCACAGTTTGTTGAAACTCGACAGGATCAGACTTCAGCACCTCCTGAGTCATCGAATCGAAGACTTGAACTCGATGATTGCTCTGGTCGACAATGAAGAGGTATCTGGTCAGAAGGGTGAATCTGTCCATGGCTGGAAAATCAATCCATCCAAATTGAGGCAAAATAGAAACTAGGAAAGGCTGGATGGCAGGATAGAGCTTTTCTTTTTTCATGTTTCTTTCCAGTTTCACCATGTTTCACCTTAAAGCTTGGAGGTAAACTATCTCCACAGCTGCAACATTCGGAAGCCCTGGGCCTGCCGGTGTGATCAAACGCAACTCCACTTGGATGATGAACAGACCTAGATGGTGCCATGGCTGCCATGCATGTTCACTCTCTGCACAAATCCAAACTTTGAATAAAATTGATTGGAAAAAGTGCAATAAAGTATGTATAGTACATGATGAACAGTCACAGCTGGGCATTGATCGCAGTGTCAGGTCGCAAACCTCAGCTAATCTCAATGTGTTAAGCATCCAGGCCCAATGCGATCTGCAACATGAGGCTCTCCCGGGCTGCCTGTTGCACTTGGAAGGAACTAGTGGAAGATGGATCTAAGATGGATCTTTCAGTTGTTTGGCATACCGTAATATGTATCAGCCGGAAGGCCTTGCAAGGTTGTGGAAACTCAAAACAACCAGTCTCGGGCGCGAGAAAGGCAACGGCTCGCATGTCAAGCTCAAATCTTGAGGCCTTCTTGGATTGTTTCATTGTTTCTCTTCTTCGCTGCTGAACTGGTGTTTATGATATGTTTTGATGCTTATGTACAATTTGGGTATGTCCCAAACTTGGGGGCCCAATGGTTTTCGCTCCTTAGGAGCTGTTCACCACAATCTCGGCACTCCGCCGAGGTGGATTTCAACATGGGGTGCGTGTTCCAAAAATGGGGAAGCCCCAAAGTTGTTGGTCTCCCATGCTGAATTCGACAGTGTTGGTTGGATCTTGATTTTTAGGGCTCCCCCAATTTTTCGTGATTCACCATGATTCAGACAAATCTATACAAATCTGGCAATCGTCACTCATTCTGCTGCATCGGAGTAAGCAGTCCAAGCTTGGCGAGGCTTTTTTGTAAAGCCCTGCTGCTAGGTGCCAGACTGATACGTACCTGCAGCCAGGCATTGGGGTAGGGTCATGTGATTACAACGAAGCTACTGAGCCTGACATATATTTGAATACATCTGCAGTCTTGTGCTGGTTTCAGCCTTAAATTTTAAACCAGTGACTATAGTGTTGTTTCCTCTTCATGCTGCTAGTTGACTAATCTCTTGGGCCACCCTGTGCGACTTTAACGGCTGCGATTGGATGAGCAAAAGAAGATCATGCGAATCATTGTGATCATGACAGTCGCGATGATTATGACGACTATTATCTTTAAAACTTTAAGAATTCATGACATTTGGGGGGTTCCTAACATTAGACCATTTTAGAATCAATACCTATGGTTTTTGGGGATCCCCCCCATTTTAAGAAACCCCATGACAATGATCAAAAAAACTTGGAGTTTTGGCCTGTCGCAAAAGCTGCAGATGTTCCAAACCCTCAGCCAATGCAATGCAGCCTGCCTGGGAGCGACATGATGGGGGTCTCATAACCACACCAACTACCACCAACCCCTGCATGATAAGGTACAAAACCTTGCAAAATCAGACCTTTCACAACTCGACCCCCCATGCATACTCGCTCTCTTCCATAAATGGGAAGTACCCTAAAATGGATGGTTTAACAATGGAAACTCCATCTATAAATGGATGATCTGGGGGTACACCTATTAGGAAACCTCGAATTGAAATGGCGAATCATCTCACTTGAGAAATTCAAGAACAGTGACCCAGTGGCTAGGTAGTACCTCTGATCAAAGACTACGGCTGCAAGCAAAACCCAAATTTATTCCCCTGATCATGCCACCATTGTTCCTTGCCACTTGGCAACAACTGGCAGTCACTAAATGGGATGATCCAGCAGTTCAGCCTCTCAATCCAGCCTCAGAGATTTTCTGCTTTCCTCCCTTGGCGCAGAAATCCAGGGCCAACCATTCCAGCGAGTCAGCTCTCGAAGCCAGCCCTTGAGCAAAGGCGCTCAGTCCTGCCAGTACCCAGCACAGCACCTGCATATCACCCATGTCAACTGGAAGCGGACACCAAGAATCACCCAACAAAAATAGTAGCTTCAGTATGGTTCAACGGAATGTGTGTGTGTGTGTGCTTGGTCCAGGGAGGTTCGAAGCGGCTCTTCAATCTCAGGCCGGTACACATTTGGTACAAATCTTATCGGATGGAAATTGATGAGCTTCTTCCATGAATCATTATTACACTCTTACGAATCAATGTTGTTAAATGTTCTGGCTGCTTTTTCATGATGAGCACATATAAGCACATATGAGCACCTTGAAAAAGTGAATAGATATGAATAGATTACATATTGTTTGCCATTTCTTTCCCCCATCTATTATCACATATTGATTGAAAAAAGTTAACAAATTGAAAAAAGTGAACCACTCCCATCCGTTCTCGCTGTCCATCATCTGTGATCCGCGGCCCCGTGGAGAGCCGCAGCTCCAGTTCTCAATCGGGGCACCCCGAAAACCATGAGCTTTTCATGGTATGTCCATTGGAAATGTCGATCCTTTTCGATGATTTCAAGTGGTCCCCCCACTTTTGGAAACGATGATTCCAAAAAATGGACGGATATTCGGTGTACTTCATGGTGACTTAGACATATGGTTGATAATGTTCAATGATGGATAGCGCAACTGTAAAGTGGTGAGAACTTCAGCACCTCAGCAACAAGTGATTCACCTCTCGATACAATGCCTCACAGATCTTAAAGGGCGTTTTAGGCTTCGCAGAAGACTTAGATTGACATAGATTTACTATGGGGATCAAAAAAACAATATATTTGAAAAAAGATGAGCCAGATTCACCGCCCTTGCTGAATTTGGTGACTTCATTCTGTGTTGATTCACATTGGAGATCTTGGCTTTGTTGCTACAACTGCCAGCTCGTGAAAGTTGAAAAGTTTCAGCATCATCCAGAATTGGGATTGATTGTTGAACCGCACAACATCAGAAATCTTGAATTATGGAACAAGAGTCTGTGCAAGTGCTTTAAGCGCTGCAAAGCTTTGCCCAAAGCTGCTGCTGAAACATCTGTCAGCTTCCTGTCAACAAAGCAAAGAATCAAGTGGAGAGGAAGCCTCACTGAAGTCACACAGTTGAAAATGTTAAATCTGCAAATAAAATCAAAAACACAGCAACCTAGCAAAAAATCTTGAATCTAGTTTAAACTCTCCACCTTTCACTAGCACGTGTCTGATTTCCCGCTGTATGCTACCCCTCTTGTTCCAAAGCCTGCAACCCTGAAAGCCCAGAAAAAGATCCAAGAGCGTCTCCGGCAAGTTTGAAGCCAAGATCACCTGGCATGCAAGCGGTGCAAAGATGCAAGAGTCCGTGATGTAAATTCATGTAAAATCAGATGATTTGGGATAATGAAGTACAATGTGACTTCCAAGTATTAGAATGAAAGAAAATCCATCGGCTTCCACGTACAAAAGATCTGATGTTAGGGCATTTCGTGCGAAGTTCTCCAATCTCAAGACTGCTCAGAGCACTGAAACATGGTTTCGAAGGATGGTTTCGAAGGATGACATGAGTTGTGTTGTGACGCCCCACTCCCCCACTGCATTTAAATCTCTTAATCAAAGGATCGACACCCTGTCCCGGCAGCAGTGCTGCCCAGGAACAACAGCATTGTCCACCAGTTTCTCTAAGCAATCCCCACCTGGCCAAATCGAAATCATCACTTTCAATACCTTTAAATGTTAAATCGCTTTTAAATCACTGCGGATTCGGAGGTGATGAACATTCAATCAGAGAAACCATCCTGTGGGGTGAGGCTGCTTGAGGTCACTCCAGTGTCGGATTCGGACTGAAGTTCGATCGTATGCTGCTGAGATGCCAAAATGCAGGCAGAGAGTCTGCAGTTGGGAGCACGACAGCGCAGAAGCATGCTTCGCCAAGTCAACTGATAAGCTTGAAGCTTTACAGAATGATGCTGCAGAGAAGCGGCCATGCAACACATCGTTCAACAAGTCGTAACCTATGCCAGCGTCGCGGGTGAGCTTGGTCTTTCAGCAGAAGGAAAAAGGAAACGATAAGAAAACTATTCCAATGGGACGGTGGCGAAAAGTGTTTCACCTGAGCTGTTGCCAAAGGCAACAAAACCCCGATGAAAACGGCTCTTTGTGGTTTTAGCTTTGTGGTTTTAGCTTTCGTGAGGCCAACTTACTTTAACCGCCCTTGAAATCACCACTTAGGGGTTTTGGCGGCTGCTGACCTAGTTCACATTCTTTGAAGTAGAAACGGCTTTGACAAGATCATACAAGATCCAAACCATGCAGGCTGCAGGCTGAGCAATTTCTCATTGATCAAAGCACAAGAAAGATCAAGAAAGTGCGCTGGAATGCGCTGGACTGAGTGCTCCATGACATGCGGACGATAGGGTTTGCAATGTTTTCGGCAAACAGGAGATAAACAGCAACTGCTCCAGACATCTCTTCATCCTTGTCATCAGAATCATTGCCATCAGCACCATCAGCAGCAACCATTTTTGTGGGGTGACCCAGCCTGGATGACTCGTGTCTGGTGAAGCAGTCAGATCCGAAACCCCGGCGATTGAGTTTAAGATCATCCGACGGTCAGATTCTCGGCTCGCAAAGGCGTGTTCCACCTTGATGTCCTGGCTGAGAAACAGCTGGTACGTATAAAACCCCAGTTGAAAACTCACAGCAGCAAAGTCAGCTTTTAGGAAACTTAGTGATCTGCTTGGCGGGCAGCAAAGCATCAAAACGCTGGCAAGATCTAGAAAGGCTAGCCAATTGTGCCAGTAATGTGCAAGGTGGGTAGCATGGTGAATCCAACTTTTGGCACGTAGCTTTTCACAAGCAAGCTGGAAACTTTCGAGTGCTGTAGATCTCCTCCCCAGGTCCTGAATTAGCTATTCAGATGGCTGAGTCCGACCCCATTCCAAAACCCAGGACGAGTCTCTAACGCTTTCTGGATCAACTCGAAGGGAAAGCGCCACTCTCGGTGCCGTTTCCGCCTGGCCTGCTTGGGTCCAGTACCATCCACAGCAGCAATTCCATCAGTGATGCCCACCGCTTCACGAGCATCTGGATTCTCGTTGGTGTAGATATCAAAGAGATATCTCTCAGAACCTGAAATGTATTGCACAATATAAGTGTGGCACATTCGCAGTCGAACTTAAGACTTGCTACTCTCAATCATTGAATTTCAGAAGGACCACGAGCGTCAGCGATTCCCTTCACCAACAAGTCATCAAGGCTGAGAACCTACGTCCTCATCAGCTAGTCACGAACAGGCCCAATAGAGTAATAGAGGCTGTTTGACAAATGTAAGTACAGTTCGTTGGAGTCCACAGTTCAAATTTAAAATTACCCTCTGGTAAACTAACATACCATTTTTAATAGGTAAATCAACTATAAATGGGCCATGTTCAATAGCTATGTTAGTTTACCAGAGGGTATTGCTTGTGCAATTTGGAGCATAGTTTCATCCTGGGAATTGACCCTTGATATTCCAAGACACCGTGATGCTGGTGAGCTGCTTGCTCTAGTGTTGACACGTAGGTTTCGTAGATACACCAAACTCTCCTCAGGACCAAAAAAAATGAGTCACCCAAAAGATCCCAAAACTCAGCACCAGTTATAGCCTTGATCAAGGTGGTATAGTTTTGTACGTCTCTAAATTTCTTCTCAAAATGCATTGAAACCAGGTCTCGAAAAGGTGGGCTACATTGGGCTACACAGATGGTGACAAGCTTCGTGTAGCAAAAGGCATCTTTGTCCACGATGGAGACAGTTCCAGAGGCTTTGCGCATGGCACGGCGGAAGCTGCTATTGGAGGGATCTTCTCCTGCGGTAGAAAATCCCAAATCCACAGGTGCCTTGGATCATTGGAGATAAGTGTGATAAATATGATAAATATATATGGGGATGGGTCAAAACCCTGGTACCTAGTGAACCCCAAAATAGCTGGTAAATGGATGTTCATCCCACTAAAAATGTATCTATAGGTATTGACCCATACCCATATAAATATGCAGATGGATAGATTCAAATCCAATAAATCCACAAATTAGCTGCAATATGCTGCAAGATCTTTCTTGTCCCATTGCTTCGAGCTGACCAACAGACCGCCCTTCTGGCACGACGCTGAGAAATCTGGCTCCTATCTCACCGCTCACATTCCATTGATTATTGGCATAAGCGCAGACCCAGTAGTACCGCGCCGTCCGATCCAGATTCCGATCTTTGGCATGCTGTCGCAGACACGCGGTGAAATCACAGACTGGCTCTCCCCACCTCGGTGGAACACCCATGGTATCTCAACCATTTTTACAGGGACGAAAAAATCCATCACAGCTATTTTATGCTATTTTCATGTTCACATATGTTCACATCTACGTTCACCATTCTTCAACATGGTTCACCTCATATTCAGTCAAGAGGCCAATGGGAGACGAACCACTTGCAGGGCTGTGGCCCTTCAGCCATCAGCTCCACGAAGCTGCATTCCCTTGAAGCCGTCGCCGGCTTCACCAGCAGGTCCACCAAGTGGTAGAGATTCACGCAGCTGGAGGTCAGGGCTTGGCCTACCAAAAATAGACCCTTGGATCTGCTTGAGAGACGTGTGGACATTCGTATATCATCATATGATTATCATATATTGCATTCTTTGTAAAGTTCAATGTTCCGTGTCTCTCCCACTGATGAAGCGTTTGTTTGGTTCAGGAACCAAGCATGGGTCCGATAGGTTTGATTATCTTGAGTGTTTGAAACAGGAGGTCCAGCATCAAACAAGTTGCACAAAGCCCCCTTCCACCATCGAGTAAAACGCTGGTACCAATGAGATCCAATGGGTTGAGTCACCGTGTTATTGAAAACCATTGCGGACAAACTAATCTGGCCCTGGTGGACATTTCCGCAGCAGCATTCACTTAAGCTTCTCCGCAGCCCACCTTCAGCATCAGTCCAGCCATATTCCTTACATCCTCGGGGCGGATGGCTCGCACAAAGTTTTTTCGCAGCTTGCGAAGCTTCCACATGCTGTGAGGGAGTCATTCGGAGGGAATATGTAAATTCCGAAGATTTCCGAAGTACACGAAATTGATAGACACGGACCATTGATGTGCATGCACATGTAGTCATGTAGTCTTGGAATTCGAAATGTCTCATGATGTTAGTGCAACACTCAGCAGAAGCCAAGTCCAAAGTAGGCCATACCCCACATTGAAAGTAATAGCTCTTCCACAAACATATGGGGACCTCGTAAGACACCCACCCTGACCCAGATCTGTTTGCTAGGCCTTGACGTGGAAACAAACAGTGGATAAAAATCACAACCTTTCCACCCGTCTACAGTACAACTCGTGGCTGGACTCCGCTCAAATGTTAATGATGAAAATCCCAGTGGATAGTGATCCATGGTGATCCCAACAGCTGCGACCCCAAGCTGAGCATAGCTGAGCATCCACAGCGAATGCAGACCAGCACATAGACAAGTTGATTCAGCTGGATGGCTCGATCCTCAGGGCCCTCAACCCCCTAAGTTATGTCAACTTGGCACTTCCAGTACAATTTTGTTGTTTACTTTGCGGAAGGAGAACTTCCTATGCATTGGGGGGATAAGCGTTCCGGTTTCTTCACGACTCTCACACTGAACTGCTACCAACAAAAGACTGCAGGGTCGGTTGATATCCAACTCCGCCGAGTTTAGATAATTCTATCGACTCTAACTCCTTCTATTCAAAATGTAGCACAGCTGTGCCATTTGGAGTGAACAGCGGCTCCAGCCATCCGGCATTTTCTCTTCCCTGCCAGTCCTCCACTACAGGAATGCTGCATCCCTCTCCCGCCAGCTTTTTCAAGAGCTCAGGAGGTGTGAGTCCCCTGATGGCCTCTGAGAAGACAATGGGTCGAGACACTGGTTGTATCACTGCAAATGAAGCGGTGCAAGTGCAGCTCCCTGCATGTCTTCAAAATGAACCCACCATAGCGTACGTTTCAAGTAATCATCACGGGAGCTCAAAACCATCTCAGGGCAACTGCCCTTTCCTGGCATTCAGTTTTGCATAGACTCTCTACTTCACAAGACTGGATGCCAACAACAGAATCATGATTTATATTATATATCTATAATCATTCAACATGGAAAGGACAGCAAACCACCCGATAATCTCCTTTAAAACTCAAAATATGTTTCGGAATTCGGGATCTACCATGATTTACCCACCAGCGCTCCAGCCTCTGTTCTGATGCCAAATTCCATGGCTTCATCCTTGGCCACCCAGCCACTTGGAGAAATCTCTTCCGAAGCTTCCGGAACTTCGGGGCAAGCCGCCGGCGGAGCATCGCCATCATCAGCAGCTTCTCTGAACTCCTCCTGCAGAATGTCCTAGGCACAAGCGGAATTCTAGTAGTCAATAGATTGAATAGAAGTCAATGAATGTCAATAAATCTCAAAAATAGATTCCATGGGCAGAGAAAAGAGGGTGAAAGTTTAGGAGCTCTTTTGGGACGGAGTAGTGAGTAGCTCTGTACATTGTTCCAAATTTCCAATGTTTGCATGTTCCATCAAATAAGAAACGGTTCGCACCAGAGAGTTCGTACAAAATGCACCCATGCAGTATGCTTTAACATTAGCTGAGATTACCATTGATTGAAATCAGCAAATCCTTTCGGACACAGTTGGCGCTTTGGATCATTTTGGGGTCATGGCACTTGATATCCACATGCTTCCACCATCCACCCACCATCCACCCATCATCACCCACGGCCTTCTCAGTAGCATTGACAGCAGGGCAGATCCAATCGAATGCCTTGACGCAGTCCACCAGTCCATCCTACTCCACAGCTGAACCATTTTGAGGCCATGTTCTCTGGCCCCCAAAACCATCCGGGGGGAACCAACATGACAGGTCATTGGGCTTACTAAGCTACATGAATCTATATTATGTGTATATATATATATATAATTATATATTATTATATTATATCATTGTTTTATCATATATCAAATATATATATATATATATGTATTTATTTATTTAATTATATATCTATTTATACACACGAGTACCAAAGAATCTTGCACCAATACCTTTGAAACGTTGACTCTCATCCGTATCTTGGATTGTCCATGTCGGACCCCGTCCTTCATGGCGCCAGATTCCAGCACCAGCTGATGGATGTCCTCCTTTGTCAAACGGATCTGCTGGAAGATCTCTTCGAAATCCCCCTGTTCCAGCACACCCACAGCCGCAAAGAGGCGGCGCAAGGAGGGCCAGTTGGGTGACGACATGGAGCCACTGGAAATGGCTTCGGGATGGGAACTGGATCGCGGTGGTGATTTTTTGGGGGAAAAAAGGAATTATACAGTATATACAGTATACATGTCATGGGATGTCAACCGCTTCTCTGATGTTACATGGAGGAGGAATTGCATCTCGTATTAACCTTGTATCTTCTGTGGCTGTGAGATGTATACATGTTTTAGCTTTGTTCACCAGCAAGTCACCTTCCGGCCCCGTTGCAATGCTGCCAGGTGCTGTGGGTGCCTAGTTGCGCTTTACCTTCAGTTTCAGCATCCTGTCGCGGAAGGTCTGTCTGTTTCAGTGACATGCAATAGAAGATTCAATGATCCCAAATACTGTTGCCTTCAAAAATTGGGATTATCATTGAAAGTATAAGAGCTGAAATTTATTGAGATTTGGTCTTTGCTGACAGCATCTCTACATTACAAAAGAAACTCCTTGGACTGATCCTTTCTCCGGGCATTGAAAGATCCACAGGAAGGGTCGGTCGGTATTCAAGGACTTAGTGAGATAGACTACTTATTCGACTTCCAACATCTTCCAACAATATGCCAGGCTGACAACTCCAATTGTCTGGTAGACGGTCGGCGGTCGCACCTTAGTAAGTCCAAATCTGTTCACTCCAACTGCTGGACCCACTAAAGCTGCATACTGGTGCGACAGTCAATCGACAGGCATAGTCAAGGCAGACTGGCGTTGAGACTGTCAAGGCCTCTAAGTCGTCTGAGTCTCTCACTTCTAGTGTGAAGGGGCATCCACATAGCTCCTGCAGTCAAATTGTCACAACATGTCACAATCATTAAGATACCATCATGTCCAATCATGTCCGTTTTTCCTACACAGCTTCAATACCCACTGGGGCCTCATCAGCACCCTCTGGTCCGATGGAAATCTGCAAGTTGTAGCCTCAACATGTCTGACACAACCGCCCCGATCGTGATTTCATGTGCTTCTGGGGAGGACCTTTGCAATGTTCCAAATATCTGAACCATCTGAACCCAAAAGATCCAAAAGACAGATACCGGTACTTCGTGTCTTACAGTTACTTCATGTTACTTCACCTTCACTCATTTCACTCCTTATAGTTTTGGACCCCTGAAACGTCGAGCTGAGGTCGAGAACTTCCAGGTGTAAGTGGCAAGAAGGTAACTTTGTACCTCCAAACGCCACATTTTCGGATTTGAACAGCCCTATGTTTTTGGACAGAGATGGTGGGGCACCTGCCGTCTTGGAGGTCCTCCACGGATACATCCTGAAATTCCTGCGCCGGGGTGCCAGGTTCCACTATAGGTCAAGATGATTCAAGATGTCAGGTTGCAGATAGCATAGAATTGCATCGAATTGCATAGATACATCATGATACATATAGATCAGCAGATGTATTCTACATAAATTTCTAGGGTAGATCCAAGGTATATCCAATGACCAACGAGTATCTTGGGACATCTATCCGGACAAATAAACTCTAACATTTATCCTTTGATAAACTCTAACAAATATTCAATATCAACATCCAATCAATGAATCGCTCAGGCCTCGGGATGGGAGAGTGTAGCCACCACCCTGTCGCCTGTCTGGCTTCAAAGAATATAGCTTTCTCTGAAAATATGGTAGCCTGTTGTACCATTTTGGGTACTTCCAATGATAGTTCCTCATCATTCTCCCAAATTACTGTAAATGCCCATTTTGGTGGTATACCGGCTTTCCGTATATACCCCATTTTCAGGCAAGTCAAATCTCTTTATCCTTCCAGAGCCATCTACTCAGTCTGCATGACCATCTACAGTATATCAAAGATTCATCTTTTTCAGAGTCACTGCAAAGTGCTACTGGAGCCTTGTCTAAGCCTGAGTTCAGAACATGTTGATACTGTATCACTGTATCCATTTCCAGCTTCTGACAGATTCCATGATGAATCGGAGTGCCTCCTTCAGTGCGACGCTGCCCCTCTCGATCGCACCTTACATGACCATCATCGGCTCCATATTCATCCCCATAAGCCATCTTCCAGTGACAAGCTCCCGCCCGCTTGGCTATAGGACGCGAAAACCCACAAGAAGGATGGGTTGTTCACCTGACAGCACAGAGCCCTGCGATGATTTCCATGTCAGCAGCGGAACCCCGGTCAAAGGCTGGCCACGAATTGCTGTCTGGTTATCTGAACGAAATTGAACCCTCTAAGTCTGGAAGAGGCTGTCTGAATGAGAACACTGGCATCCTTTTGAAAAATCGGTGATAAATTGATGTGTTCATCCAACAAAAATATGCGGCTTTGCTGTTTTGGCCCTGATCCCTTCATCTTCCACCAGGCCACCTTGAGAACTCCAAGTCCTGGCCCCTTTGCGAAGCTCAGGGAAGCATAGGTCGATTCTGAGCAGCGCGAAACCGACTTCCACCAGTCAATGGGGGAAAGTACAATCCCACCATGCAGGCCCTGAGAGAGGTACAGAAGTGAGACAAATCACTGCTACATACGAAGTTGCCAGGACCGAGACAGCAAAAAGGCGCGAAAGTCTCATCAGGAGCAGCTGTTGCGCTTTTGGAATGGTAAAACATCAGTACTTTGAAAACGGCCTACTGCAAACTCCCAGTAAGTGGAAGAGTTGTTGTCCACAAGTACGCTTCGTGAAGAAAAAAGTCTTGGACCTGTTACAATGTGCATCCTCCTCATTTGCCTTGTTTTCCTCCGAAGAATTGACCAAGTGCTTCAAGTTGGTGCCACTAGAGTCCCTTTGCCATGCCATTGTATGTCTACAATAAAGGGCAAAGCTACAACAATGACACAAAGGAGTGTCTGTCATGTCAATAGATCAATATATTACGTGTAGTGTACAGTATGCTTAAAAGGGTCCGGAGTCCATATACAATCATATAATCATAGAATCATATACATATGTGCAGTCTGTTCCAATCCACCTCCTGGCCTGGACCCCTTTGACACCCTTCCAACACCTTAAGCGCCACATCCCTGAGTTCATGGCTCTCGCCCACTTGACCCCAAGAGGGAATCTTTTCGGCGAAGTCTGTCTCCGCCAGCCTGGACCGGTGAAATTCATCCCGGGGCTGATGACTCTCCAGTGACTGTGAACAAACATGGCAATGGGAAATACTATTTGTTCATAGACAGAAACATAAATATAATATATACAAGGTGGGATGTTTAAACCCACCCCATCTAGCATTTTCTATCACTCCAACCATGTCCGACTTCAGATCCATTTTTGCATCGCAGCTTCTTGTTGAGCCGGGGATGATATAAAGACCCCCGCGACGACTCACACGCGCTCTCACAAGCACATGGCAAGGCCATTGGAGTCGTGGCAACGGGCTCCTGACAGGTCGGGTATTGGATAAACACTACATGACATGTGGGCTGCATTAGGTATACAAGTATATACAAAAAAATAATATGTACAAATACATGACAAATAATATGCATATTCAAATATATACATGTTACATTTATACATATATGCGGGTGTGTATGTATATGTAACTACAGGTGATATATGATATGATATATTACAATTATGGTAATATAGTTGTAAAATATACATATCTAGAAACGTAGTATCTTCTAGTGATTAATGTATCCACTTAAATTCAAGGTGACGTTCTAAACCTGCCCGATTTCGGGCAATGGTCGGCAACCCCCGATGGGGAGGACACCCAGTTGCACCCCAATCCTGGGCCGCAGCACACTGCACTGGCACGCTTGGCACAGCAAAAGTTGCCGCGCGCATTGGCACAGTAGATCACACCGCACCTGCAACGTGTGGATCGAGTCTGAAATAATGGCTTGGGTTCAAAATGGTTCAAACTTCACAACTGTCACATGTCTTGATGATCTCTGGGCCAATAACGGCGATCTGAACATCAGTAGGCAGATTCACATTGGGGACAAAATTCTAACTTCAACCGAAGCCAACTTCAAATCTTGGCTTCACGTGGGTTTAAGCCTGCGTGTCTTGCCAACAATACAAATATATAAGTTCTATGCATTATGCAACCCTGCGCAAGCTGACCAGTTGGGATGTACTGTGTACTGGTACCCACCACTACTCACATGGCATCCCCGGATCAACCGAATGCCCCGCCTGAAACGACCCTCGCCAACCTCTGTGAATGCAGTTCCTCACAAATCAACCAATGGTCAGAGATGCGATGCTGGTGTCTCAGTGCCCTCCGCACTACTTTGCCACAGTCTTGCAAAAAGCATACTGCATGTAATGAATGTCTTGTGTTGATGTAGCAAGAAGGGCATCAAAGCATGTCTGATACACATCTGAAATATTCCAAAATCATCTGAGCGCTCTTGTTTGTAAGGAGTCCTGGTTGAGACATGTTCATGGCAAGTTCCACGTCCATCAGTAGTGCAGATTCCTGTTACGGCAGGTGGGAGTAACCCTCGGCAGAAAAAACAGATGATCTGTGCTTTGCCCTGCTTGTGGCATGCCGGATGCCATTGGTTCTTGGCAAAAGCGGGAAGGTGAATTTATGTGCCAAGTAAGATCAATGACCTCCAATTCCCCTATGTTTTGGCTGGTTAAACATGGTTATATAAACCCCATCTTTGATGGTTTAAACATGTTACAAGCCCCATGTTTGTCCGCTCCTGAGCTCCAGCTTTGTGCTGCAGGAGGTTCAGGGCACTGGACTCATCATCTGCGGCCAAGGGAAGCTCCGAGGCCATGGCAGACACAAAGAGGGCCTCGGCTGGGGCAGCTGGGGCAGCTGTGGCGGTTTCGGGACGTGGAGCATACTGTCGCAATACAGGGCTGTCGCATCCTGATCCATGAAGATCATGGATTCTGAGTCCTTTCAACACATTTCAACCACTTCCAGGAGTACCTATGAGTACCTCACCTACATCGAGAAATCTCAGGCTCAGGCGGCCAGGATGATGCGCAGCATGGCGAGCAGAACAAAAGCTGTTGGCCACTGAAGCACTTTTGGGAAAGCAAAGGAGGGCTGCAGATGCTGCAGAATGCTGCAGATTCATCCAAGATCATCCAAGTGTCGTGTGATGTCGTGTGGATTGGCGATCCATGTCCCATTGCAAGATGACTCAACAGGTGACTAAATCTTCTCCAACAACGATCCAGTCGGGTGATAGATACATCACTCTGCCAATAAGGCAACTGTTCACCTAACAAGATGTTGGAGAAGCTGATGCACAGCATCCAAATTGTAAGATCGATGCACCGGAGACAAAGATAAGGATATCCTCACAATGCAAGGAGACTCCCAGTAGTCCTGTCGCCCTTATGAGGTCACAAAACCCTGGCCTAAAACTGAGAACAGCATCAGCATTCAGCAGATACACCCCCGCTCGTGGCTGATTTTCCGCGTCCTCGCGGGTTGCTGCTATGGCAGCTATGGTCGAATCCAAGGGGAATTGGCCGGGAATATCAAGACAGGAAACGAATCGACCGGATGATTTAGATAATTTGGGCAAATCCATCATCTACACTGAATCTGCCAGTAGTTTCAGATGTTTCGCTTAGACATGCTTGACCTGACCTATAGCCACAGATTTCAAACCTGAGAACCCCCTCCCAGTCACCGCCCGCAGTCCCCTGGAGCATAGGGGCAGGTCCCACCTGTAGTTCCAACAAATCAGCACATGATCGGCACTCCCAAATCGACTACCAGTAGCTTCTAACTTTGCAGAAAAAGGGGCTCCGGATTTGTCCAAATACTCAAATGTTTCATAATATGTTTCAAAATATGCTTCATCTGCTGGAGAAATCTGGAGAATGTCGATGTGTCTTCCTCTCATCCTTTTTTAGGGACCCAAAGCCTTGGATCTGCTGCAGCTGCTCCGTAAGTGTCTGCGGTGGCTCCAGTGATTGGATGAAAAAAAGGTCCACTGCTATGTCTTATGGATTTTCAAGCGGTCATACAGGACTTGCGTGGGTTTCAAAGTTGGGGTTTCCAAATGTTTCCAAACCATTTTGTCGGAAAACTTTAAGAGTCGGAAAAATCTCCTGGTTGGGAATACACTGTATAAAATCACAAGTCTTGTAGGCAGTTTCAGTCGCTTGTATGGTTGCTTGGTCAAATCCTATACGTGATCTTGGTGGTCTCCAACCAGTTCCGTTTTCACCCCATATGGGTTTATGGGTTTGTGATCATCATTTTCACAATTAACATATCATCTATGATGCGTATCCCGTTCTATTCCTAATCCCCGTTCTATCCCTGTTGAATCCCTGTGTTTGATGGTACACAGACTCTGTATTGGGTGCTACTGCCTGTTTGCCTACAAAACCCCCCGTGCCCTGCAACTACTTGTAAAATAGTGACGGTATTTAATAGTTATAAAATGGTTGACATTATGTTTCAAATGTTGACAGAAATGCTGATGTCAACATGTCAACCCGTTTGCGCGCATTTGCATAGTAGTTTCATTGTAAAATGAACAATCTAAATCGTGTTTTCTTTCCAAAAAATGACAAACATCCCCACTATCTCATTCTATTCCACCATTATTGGCCCCTGTGGGCCTCCAGCTTGGTCAGGACCAGGGAGTCGATCTGTTCGACAAGTTCCTGCTGCCTAGCCTCGCAAAACCAGATGTATTTCATGTTAATATTATTAATATGCTTTAATTCATGTTATCTTTGATAGTGATAGTTATGTGAACGTTTTTTGAGGGCGACATGTCCGATACATTCCACCACTATCATGCTTTCAAAATGCTCAGTGGAAAAAAAAATGGCATTGCAAAGTCTGAAGAATGCAGCACAGATCTGCGGCCTGTAGTGCCTGGATGCGCTCGGAAACTGCAGCCGCTACCTGGCACCAAAGCGACAGAAGAAGACCGAAGAGAAGCAAAGGAAGTGGGTCCGTAAAACGGAAAAAGAAAAGGATTACAAAAGTGACAAAAGTACAGTACTTAAAATATCTTTAAATACTTCCAAGTTCCAAGTGCTTTGGATCAGCCATTCTTGGTGAGTCTTGTGTGCACCACTGGATGATTGTCCGAACGGCATTTTCCCATCTTTCAGGGGCCAATCTTCAGAAGCTGCGTCAAGGAAGGCAACGACGGCGCCTCATTCTTGACGAGCTGTGCTTCGCTCCGTGTGGCTTCAATGACTGACCTCCGACATTTTTGCTGAGACTGTTCCCGACAGACAGATCGTACTACCAGTACCATCTGTACCATCGCAATGAAATGTAGTAACACAAACAACAGGGGACGCTACCGAACAATAGTGGCAGTTAAGGGAGCTGAAGCATCCACCATTTCTCGAGGATCTCAGGAAATCTAACTCGAAGGCATGGCTGAAGTTGTCCGTGGGCCCAGATTGCTCTACCAGGACGATTCGTTTCCACTGCATGGTCAACCATATTTTCTATATCTTCTAATTACTGGCTAGTAAACCCATCATTTATTATCATCTATTCATATCCAGGCTAATACATGCTAATACATGCTAATACACCTTTCCTTGTTGCTCAATACCGGACCCCCATAGTTGTTGGGGAAAAATATGTTCACATCCTCATGTTGGTCAAGGCTGGCGCCCCCCGGCACCTTACCACATCCTCTGCTGTGTCGGTGGTGCAGTACAAGCTGTCAATGCCTCAGTGCCAGGTACGTCCAGAAGTCGCAACCAAGTGGAAATGTGAACAATTTCAAACTGATAACACAGATCATACAGATCTACAAAGACGGCTTTTCCACCCTTTTGTTTGGATACCTTAGCAGAGGAAGCTGGTATCAACATGCTTCGGGTATCACCTTTGCTTCGCCAGGTGACGGCGGGACATGATCGAAGAGCAGGTGACCTACGGAGCTCAACAGTTGTGATTTTGGTGGAAAATATGGTGGTAAACTATGGTAAACCTCCTGCCAGAAAAGAAATCACATTTGGGGATGGTTTCACGCCCACCCCATGATCGTATTATGGACGGTTTACCACATTATATATATATATATATGCCAATGTTCCAATGATCTGCGTAGTATCGGGGAAAAATTGATGGCTTATGATGGCTTTTTTTCTGGCTTTAGGAGCCGATTCACAGCTGAGACATAGAGCGGCCCGGCCTGAGAGCGTGAAGCGCCTGCTCATGCCTGCCCTAAAAGGTGTGGATTGAGCCAAATCGCCATGCGGAGTGGAGAGGAACGCCAAAAAATCGAAGTTTCGCTCAAAGTTAAGAGGCCAAGTCATCCACCATTTCATGGCCTTCGAGATCCTTGTCTCCTTTTTGCCATTCCATGATTTTCATTGATTTTCCATTTTGGACACAAACCACATGAGAACATCACGAAGAGATGGCTGCCACTTGGAGCACCCAGTTGAGGCCACACCTCAGCAACTGCACGACCTGCAGCCTGACAGCTGGACAGTGACCGTAGAGATCCGTAGAGATGGAGAGAAGCTCAACAAATCATAACAAATCCAAAAGGTCCATCTCAGATCCATCCATTTGATCCATCTCAGGATTTTTTTTTATATATCCATTTGAAACTTGAACCATCTGGATTTCCAGGAGTCCTGCGACAGTATCACTCTACGAAAGGGCCTCCACAGTCTCACGGCCTTCCTTGGACAGCTTTTCCTTCAATGCTCGAAGAACGTCATGAACCTGCAAAGGCGGTGGCGAATGCCTTGTGAAAAAACATTAGAATGAAAAATGTATCGAAATCTGGCCTGCAGCATTTCAATTTGTCTGACTCAGTTCTTTATTTGCAGTCCTGCAAATGTATGCTAGCAGCTGCTAGCAAAGTAAACCTTGGGCAGTCTTCCTTACACACCCATCAGGCACGGCTGCTAATTTCAGAAACTTCATTCCACCATCTTCCTAAATCATCAAACAAGGGATAAAAGCTTAAAATTTAAAGCCAGTTCTTGATTCCATATCCAGACTAATTTCCCAACTGTATCCATTCCTTCTTCATGAGGTTTTGCTCTTCACCAGGCCTCAGGGCAACCCAAGTGAAGTGAGCGGCTGCGGCTATGAATCACGAAGGTCAAAACATACAAATAACTACTCATAACTACCACTATACAAATTTTAACTATCATTGATTATCACTATTTGATTCTCAGTCATTAGTGATGATTTGATACTAATAATCATTATAATGTCCATTTTAACTATATCATTATAACTATAATGTCCATTTTGTACATGATTTGGAGATATCCAAAACTGGTCCAGTCGCAGCTGAGCTGTTGGTTTTTTCACCGAGACACCGCCGTTCTGCTGTGGCCAACACAGCCTGCACAACAGACCCGCTCAGAGACCGACCTTTCCGTCTCTCAGTTTGAGAATCCGAAATCAAAAGTTGCAGAAACGAACAGAAAGCACACAACTGAAAACCAACTTGGAACTTGTAAGCCTTAAGAAAAAAGTGTTGGACAAAGATGCCGTTTCCATGTTAGCATTTGCCACTGGTTCCATCTTGAATTTTGGAGGTACAACCCTGCTATCAACCAATTCATCGCACCTCCCGCAGTTCATCCAGTACTTTGGCCTGCCGATGCTTGAGATGGTTGGTTCCAGCAGTGACCCTCCAATGCTGTTCAGATCATAGGTCCCAAGAAATGGAGGTTCTGGACACACAAAAGGGACGAGGATCCATTGCAGGGCATCTGCTGCTTTTTTGGATACTGCTCCCAGCACTATTCCCCCATCACTGAATTCTGGCCTTGGCTTTCCGAGATTTGCACAAGCTGGGAATAGCTGGGAACTCAGAAATGTGAAGTTTGTCTGCAAGAGGCCGAGGAATCTCCCCCTGGCGGGAGCCTGAGCTTGGGCTTGACGCTGGGTCGCATCCTCGAACCTGACAGCTGCCATGGAGCTTCTCTGGAAACATGAGACAAGGTCTGACAAGGTCTTCAAAGGGGTTGGTCTTCCTCTAATTTCAGGGCGATTCTCAAGAGATGTTGCTCCATCTTGATCTTCAGCTTATCCTTCAACCAATTGTGGTATCTGCAAAACTAAATCATCAAACATGTTGTAGTTGAGTAGCGAAAGTTTCCGTTGTCTTTGTCTGAGTGGTTGCTTGTCATTCTCTCCCCAACATGAGCCATGGTCATTACGTTCAACTGCAGCTATGTCGTAGCCTCTGCATCGATGGCAGGAATCTGATCCTTGAGGAAAATGTTGAAGATTTATCATCCCTTACCAGCTATGGACGGCTCACACTCTCCAACGACCTCTCCAAACGGGCAGCATCTTCAATGCGACCGCGTTGCTGTTCTTCCACCTTGGTTGATCTCCGGGCTGAGGTCACCCAGCCGAGCCGAACGAACATCAGAAGGTATGCCGCATGATTGCCTAATGGTGGATCATCAGAAACCATGGCTATATATGGCTATAATTACTATAATCAAGTGATAGATGGACGCACCCCAAGAAAACTTACAGTTCCTAATCAGCCTGATCATTGAATCTCCGTCGGTTTGCCTCCAGGAAACTCATCGAATACAGATGCGGAAACCGCATGTTCTCCCCAGAAAAATGAGCCACACACGTTGAAGATGTATGGAGTGTCCAAAAAAGAACCAGATCTTATGGTTTTTCTGGAAAGCAATCCCAGTGTGGGCTGCAAGAATCCCCATGTCTGCTGCTTAAGATGCCCAAATTTCCCCCATCTTGCTTGGACAATTGGACAAATCATCTGGATCTGTCTGAAAAAGTGGATATATCCCCAAAATATCCCCAAAATATCCCCAAAATGACCATGTTGATTAAAAAAAAAATCCCTGGCCCCGCCTCTGATGATATGCTTCGCACCGATCGCGACACCGCCCCCATGGAAGCTGCTGCTGCTTCACTGATGGAGACCTTCAGAGCTAGTGCCGGACATGGAAAGAGAAAGATTGGGAAAAATCTCCTAGAGACGTATAGAGAGAATTCATGGATGATAATGGTAAATATCTAACAGAAAGTCATGTAGAAAAAAAGGGAGTTTCCTCTGCAAGAAACGATCACATGGTGGTGCCTCCAGTTCGCTCTTCGCTGTCCTCATCCACTGCGTCCGTCGTTCCAAAGTTTCCTGGGGCAAGGGCTGTTCCGTGGCCATGTGTTACTTTCTGGCCGGATACCTGCGTCAAAAATGCCCAGGAAAATGATACTTTCCAGTTGTCAAGGACAACTTGTGGCTGAGAGTTGGCCTTCAGACTCTGATTTTGGATTTGAGAGGTATCTCACGATTGGGCTTCCGAGCTATTGTTTAGGCCATGATTCATACAAAGCCGCCAAACCACAGCCTCCCATCAGCATCCCAGTTCCCAGCATGTGGCCAATGGGAACTAAAGGCCTGTCCTCCACTCCACGAACTCCAGCTTGAAGCCGTGAAATCTGTTGGGAAGCGCAAGTGGCTTCCTGTGAGGCCTCAAGTGCGCCCAAAATTTCGGATCCTGGTTTGAGCATCCCAGCCATTTTCAGATTAAGCCCAGCGTGACATGGTATTATGATGTATTATGTGTTTTCTCTCTACTCAGTTTCCGTTCTTGGATCCTGCTTGTACAAGATTGCATGGTTTGAGGGATACCTTGGTTGTAGGTTGGAGCCCTGAAACACTGCTCTGAGATTGGGGTCGTCAGCTGTCTGAGTTCAATGGACGAAATGTCAATTCCGACAAATTAACACCTAGTTGATCAACATAGGGTACCGTTATTTATCAGAATCATTAATTCTTTGGTGCCTTTAGGGGATCTCTTTTATGAATAAACGGGATGGCCATTCATCCAAAGAGCGCTGTTGGCTGCAGAGGAGATTCGAGCCACCTCTGACCGCAGAGTTTTCTCCACCTTGGTGTGGGTAGCTCATCTCTCTGATACAAATAGGATAAATATGCTGTAGTTCCCAAAGTGTTCGTACACAAAGCCCCAATGAGGTCGTTTGAAGCACAGAATCTCGCAATTTAAGGGGTGTCTGATTATCAGAGCTTTACCAAAACCTCGGTATACCGATTTTTCTGCGCAAGAACAAAGCGTTTCGGTGGGTTCGTGTTGGGTTCGTGTTGGAAACTACACCCATATGCCAAGAGGGTCTGCATCAGCATAAGCCTCGCACCTTGGAGAAACCATCCCGCAGGGTAACGGCACCCTGGAGAACTTTTGACTCCAACTGTGCCAACTTCTTTGGTGTGTCTGGGGTGGTTGAAATTTACACCAAAGAGTGACTGAAGTGAAAAATCTATCAATTGACATGTAAATATATAAATCGATTGAATTTTTTGCCTCGAGAACTGAAATTCACATTGGCACTATTTCCCACCATGCATTTCAGCTGGCTCTGAAATTTGCTTGCCCTGCGTTACAAAAGCAAGTGGCTTTGGTCTGCTGCTGGCCCTTCCGGCACTTCAAATCTATCATTCATTCATGCATTCGGTTCAGTTCAGTTCAGTTCAGTTCGTTTCAGTTCAGTTCATGCATTTATCCTCCATCACCTATCACCCAACATATCCAAACAGCCATCTTGCCCACCATAGCAGTGCACGCCACCCTCCAAGTGTCGCCTCTTCCGAGTCCCTCTTCAGCTTTTGCATCCCGGAGGCCGCAAACTGCTCCGCCGCGGTCTGCGCCTCTGTTAGGCGCTCCCGCAGGGCATCAGTCGCCTCGTTGGAAGGTCGGACTCTATAGAGGGGACTTGGATGGGCTTGGGGGGTTGGGAGTAAGACTACAAGAACTCTGGTTGGATATGGTTGGAGGTTAAGAAATTCTAAACGCATCCGTTGCAAGTAACAACCAAAGACAAGGCCCGCATGGAAGACCAGGATAAAATGGGAAAGCGATCTGCCTCGCACGACACGGCACTGACTTCAGCAATCTCGGATTGCAGGACTGTCTCCGCCTTCGGTTGCCGAAGCCAGCAAGTCTCTGGATGGCTGACCATGACATGGAACATTGTCAGTACAACAGAAATGTATGATTCTGATATCTATGTGTATTGCTACTGTTTTTTTACGTGTATATAATTGTATATACCCTCTGGTAATTTAACGTGGCTATTGAAAATGACCATTAATAGTGGATTTTCCCATTAAAATCCCCGTCTGTACTCCAACGTGGGGTACAGTCCTAGAAAAAAATCGGTCTAAAATTATGACCCCTAACCTTTGAGAGAGGTTTTAGAGCTTTAAATTCCTGGCTCCTAACCTCTAAAGCCGAAATCTCACTTCCAACGACCTTTTTGAATTTTTTTTGCTAATTTCCTGGTGCCCAACGTCCAACATCCAATAAGTTTACCCCTCTGGTATCCAAGTAAAAAAATTATTTCCTGGATGCTTGCGTTGGTAACATGCCATATCTTTCCCCCCCTCAATCTGATACGGAAAAAAATGAATTCCTGGCACCTGACTTCCCGGCTGACAGCTCGCAGTTTTTCAGAGTCCACGGCTTCACGAGTGCGGTCCGGCAGATGCCCACGGCAATGCGCAGCCCTTTTGCATGGACAAATGCATCTTCAGGAAAAAACGCCTGTTTTGCAATTTGGCCACACGTTGGAACAAAATTCTTCAATTTGTCCCATCATTTCCTATCTATGGATGGTTGACCTGGTGATGCGATGTTTTTCCTGTGGGGCCAGCCTTTGAAGATAATCCACAAGAATTCGGCCAAAAAAAGGTCCAGCCCCTTGGATTTTATTTTTGACACCTGCGCCTCGGCCTCTTCAAGTCACCTTTTTTTGGTTGGTGAAGCTGAACATATGTGGTTGTACCAAGGACAAATGTATTTTCAGAAAAAAAACGCCTGTTTTGCAATTTGGGCGCGTTGACGCAAAATTCTTGAATTCGTCCCATCATGTCTTATCTGTGGATGATTGGCCTGGAGATGCGACTTTTTTCCTGTGGGCCAATCTTTGAAGATTATCCGCAAGCATTCAGTCAAAAAAAAAGGTCCAGCCCCGTGGATTTTATTTTTGACACCTGCGCCTCGGCCTCTTCAAGTCACTTTTTTGGTTGGTGAAGCTGAACATGTGTGTCTGTACCCTTTTGCAAGGACAACTGTATTTTCAGCAAAAAAACACACCCCTTGACTTGCTTTTGGACTTTGCCTTGGACTTTCGCGCAAATCTGGAGACTGGCCAGTATAAAAACAGTCTACCAACCACAAAGCTTTTGGGGGACCAAATGGGCATGGCGGAAAAAGGTGAAAAAAAAAACATGTGTTTTGCAATTTGGGCGCGCGTTGACACAAAATTCTTGAATTCGTCCCATCATGTCCTATCAGTGGATGATTGGCCTGGTGATGCGACTTTTTTCCTGTGGGCCAACCTTTGAAGATCATCCGCAAGTATTCAGTCAAAAAAGGTCCAGCCCCTTGGATTTTATTTTTGACCCCTGCGCCTTGGGCTCTTGAAGTCACTTTTTTGGTTGGTGAAGGTGAACATATGTCTTCGTACCCTTTTGCAAAGTCATGTAAAGAATCATACCCACTCAATTAATCATGGTACAGTACATTTTTTCCTGTGGTTTGACATTTAGATATGTTCTAGTAAACTCCCATTTGATCCATCCACCTTCAAATTCCTGGCTAATAACCTTGGGAATTCTACAAACTTACCCGTTATCAGAGTCATTCATGATTGATTTCCTGATTCCTTACATACACAGACTGATAGATCAACCCCCCCTCAATCACAACAGGCAGAAATTGATTTCCTGTCACTGTACGTCAGGAAGCTTTCAGGAAAAAAAATCTGGGCCTTTTTTGGTATGATATTTTATTCCTGGCCCCATATCATGCCCCCGGACCCTCACCCACTGTCTGCTAGATTTTTGGGAAATAGTGTTTTTTAAAAAGCGTACTGAACCCCCAGGAAAAAAAACTGGTAGTACAGAGGAGGGTCATTAAAAATGGTGATTTTCCAAAGCTATGTTAAATTACCAGAGGGTATATATGTAGGTGCTACCAACAATGTTATCTTCTCCCACGATCACCTCTTCTCTGAAAGGGGGGTTGCCTGCCTTCTTCAGGAGCTCCGTCGCCACGCTTTGAGTGACCTGACGACTTTTTCGGACCATATCCCATCCCATGACATATTGGTTGCTTAGGCATCCCGTTAAAGATGGGATATAAGAATCCCTGATAAATGGAATAAATGGAACCTTGGGTGAAGACACCCCCAAACCAAGCCATCAACCTTCATTTCTCAATCATATCCCCGTGTGATAGTTAAAACCCGAGAAGACCCCTAGAAATTGATATAATAACCAATCAACCATCCGTTAATATCAGTTATTAACTTGATTCCCATATATTTGATACTTACCCCATGGAGCCACTATATGTAATCATCATTATGGAAGAAAGGAGGAAAAAAAATCGTCACAATCAAAAAACATTATAATCCACAATAGGCATAGTGTAGCCCATGTGTTCATAAACCATTGATGATGGTTCTAGCCCCATCATATCACGATTTTTATCTAATGGTTAAATCCCACTAAGCTACCACTAAACATTATGATTACCCTCTGGTAAACGAACATAGCTATGGAAAATCACCATCCTGAATAGGTAAAGCAACTATAAATGGGCCATTTTCAATAGCCATGTTAGTTTACCAGAGGGTACCTATCAACCCATCGGACAAAAAAAGGCCTCCTTCGCCCGCTGCTCTGCAAGCTGCTGGGCAGACTGTTCCGCCAGCCGCAGGATGTCACGTGCCTGGGGAGGCGGAGACACAACAGCTCAAGATGCAAATGTATCTATACATAGAATATTTCAGACACATGTTATATATAATTATATATATATATACATGTCAATATATTACATATTTGTATATGTGGATATATTTGAATATGTATACATTGATACTGTATGATATGCAGTGAAGACATATGGACTAAGATGGATTAAGATTGCGTCCCGGAGTGGAAAGGTTACGCACTGTGAAGTCATGCCCTCTGAGCTCATGAAAATTGGTCACCAGAATGCAATCAGAAATATCATGAAATATCACTATCTTCAGTGTGCCATGGCCAGACCAACTTGGAGGATTCCTGTTGTAGGTATCTCCAATCATGGGGCACAACAAAAAAAACACGGGACCACCGGGCCAGTGACCATGGCCCCATGGCCTCATTGGACATGTCACGTCCCGCAGCATCCAAAATCAATTGCTGCCGCTGTTCGACGGCACAGCGGGCCTGCACCTGGGGCTTCCATGGATTATCCCATGGGTCATTGGATTATCCATCTATTAATAAATCATTGGATAATCCATGGGTCATAGGGATAATCCATCTATAGTTTATCCCTGAATTATTTCTGGATCCTCACTACTACTACTACAAACTGGTGGGTAAAATGAGTCGTTTGACTTTCACGGGACATTAAAGTGCCTGATTTCATCCACGGAAAGTTCTGAAGCACAAAATGAAAAGTCCAAAAATCCAAAATTTTGGTTTTATGGTGATTTAATGGGGATTCATGGAGATTTTATGGGTGTCATGGCGATGAAGAGCGGGGAGCCGACTTTTCTTAGTTTATACACAGCCACGCCATGGTTCCCCTCTGCAAAAGCGGGGACAAAACCCGACGAGTCTTACGAGGTGGCATATCCCAATAAAACATCGGCCTGTGACAAATCCTTATAAAATGAACATATGACACACGGTAAGTCGATTTCTGTTCAAGATATATGATATGATTGTATAATCATTATACAGTATACCGAGTATACCTGCAATTCTTACTACTTCATTTCCCAATGTTTCTTGGTTCAATCCCAAATGTGACACACCTGAGCTCCCTGCTAACTCCTCTTGCCGTTGCAGCTCTCGCCGTGCTCGGTCCAACAGGGCCTTGCAAAATGATGCGACCGACCTGTCAAACTATACCCCGCTGGTGCAGCAAGCAACTGCCACCCTGATTGAACCAATTACAGTAACCAACGCAACCTCGATTCAAGGGGTTGAACAGCACTTTGGTGGAATTGGCTATCCTTGGCTAGCAGCTAGGGTATCGTGGCATCGGTAAAGATTCTTGGCAATCGGATTTAGGATCCATCAAGTTCATCTTTGGTTGAACCATCCTGTGCAAGAGTCACAACCCGACAATTTGTGGCACTGCTGTTGCGGCCATGCTGCGAGCAGGGATTCAACGGTAAAGACCTAAATGACCAGGAACCAACTTTGCACATAGGGATTTGGTGGTCCTCCCACCCACTGCCGATCACAAAGTTTGCTGTTGGAATATGTTGGAATTGCCCAATTGCCAATCAGAATCTTTGACAGTTGGGTGGGTGGACGCCTAGACCTGTTGGTCAGGCTGCATCGAAGTGAAACACTACTATATAACCAGGGTCATCCATTCGCTCACATTCGCTTGGCGGCAAACTGGGCAAGCCCTATCACTGCGGGATTCCCAAAGGCCGGAGCAGTCCTCGCGCATCCGGCGAAGGCTTTTTCTTTCGGTGTTTCCACCATTTGAAGCAAAATAGTATGCCAAGGGTTTTACAGAACCACAGTCTGGGTTAAAGGAAGAGCCTACATTTATATAAATAAATATATATATATATATACAATACATATATTATATCAATAAGCGGTTAGAGAGGCAAAAACTCATTGAAATTCCAAACGATGAAGAGGCCAGTTTCTGGATAACCAGCGATGAGGCTCGTTCTCCATGTTTCTCTGATTCCAACAAAAAGAGGAAAGTAGCAAATCACCTCAAGTCAAGCAAACTCAGCAGATCCAAGCAAAGTGAAATTGACCCCTGGCCGCCCTTTCTGACAGTCCTCACAAATGCATGCATGGCCACAGTTGAATAATACCGTGACCTTCCCTTGCAGGGCATCGTTGCAAACGACACACTCTTGTGCCACGAACCCAATGCGAGGCCCTGTGACCCCATCAGCTGGTGCTTCAGCAGCTGCAGTGCCTGCAGTTGCAGCTGGAGGATCGGCTTGGCGCAGGTGTCGCCCGATCATTTGTCCAACTTGTGATCCAACCAACAGCTGGACAGATTGGGCGAAATAGTTCTCGCCTCTCAGGAATGGCACATGCTGCAAGACACCATTGAGAACCTGGGAGATGCCCTGGCAGGGTGCACTCCTGGCAATCAAAGCTCCCAGTCCAAAGAGCGCCACATGCGACAAGGTCGACACTAAGCCACCGCCCCTCTGTTCCAGGGCGAGAAGTTCAGGTGACATCACCTCCCTCAGTGCACCTACAGCCAAACCGGTCAGCACATTTGTGCCTGGCACCATCAAAGCTGGCCCAGCTACCCCACCTTCGACTCCTACTGCTCCTGTGTCAGGCTCAAGAACTTCACCAATTTCTGCGGTCTCGAGAGGCTCCACATTTGGTGCAAGGTCGGTGGCAGCTTCGCTTGGAACGGTGATCCTGGCAGCCCGCGGAAATCATTTTTCCCGCTGGAGAAATGGATCAATTATCAAAGGTGGTCTAGGAGAGTCTGGGGTGCACCTCAACCGCAAAAGAAAAGTTCGTTGGTGATGTTGAGCTATCAGGGGGAGCCTATGAAGCAGCCTTACGATCAGGATGGTATCGACATTCCATACATGGAGCAGAAAAACAAAGCGATTGATATGTGGTGAGTCTATTTGGAGAGAATAGGTTCAATATTTCAAAGATATACAAGACGTCTCCTTCTATCTAAAATCGATTTCTAACACAACATTCCAAACTTTGAAGCAGCAACAACCAAACCCCAAGTGATCTAAGTAAAACTGTGTACAATAGCTTGCTGTAACACCTGTCCCACCGGTCCTTTCAAATAGGCCCGAAGCTGAGGGGCACCGATTCAACAAAGCTGCCAGCTGTGGAAGACGTTGAGCGAACGCCCGATCCACCGCGGCTGCCAGTGGCAACGACATCGGCGGTGTCGGGTTTGCCGCGCAAGGGGTAGAAACGACCCTTGTGGTCTCAATGGAAACCCCTGCTGATGAGCCAGTTGCCAGTTTCAGCTTTGGTTGTCAACCCTGCAGGACTTGCAGATCTGCGGTTTCACTTTAAATCGTGGAATGGATCTAGCAACGATGTGACAGTACCATCGTTGAAGTACTTCGTATTTGGCTTGGTCTACTATTCGAATGAATTGAGACCGATTCTCCGTGAGATGAAAACCTACCACTGATACTCAGCCGAAAAGAAAAAAAAAACAGGGCGGAAGCAAGGCCTCCCCAATGTCTTGGAGTTCCTTCTTGGCCTGGAGAATCCGGACATGAACAGCGTTCAAAACCCGCAACACCCTCCCTTTATATTAGGTGGTTATAGGATTTCTCATAATAGATTGTGACAATCACCAATATATTGGATAGTGTGTGTGTGTATATTATATATTAGTATTATAGCCCCATGTAATCGCCAGCCAACACGCGTTCTGAACACTGCTCACATGTTAAAGACGATAGAGGTAGTTGTTGCGTCCTTTCCTTGATGCTTCTACCGATGCTGCAATAGCACAAAGATCACTTAAAAGTGTTTGGACCTCCATAGTACCAATTCCAGCAAAGTGGGCTCTAATAGTAGAAGTTATATTGTTTGAACATTTTACATCACTTTGCCAAATTGCCAATACATCCCAATACTATCAATTGTTGGGGCCATTCCCCACATCTCAATCCACCTGTCCAAGTCATAGCTACGCAGCTACGCCTTCTTCAACTCCTCTCCATCAGGCGATGCGGCTCGAAATGTCGCAGAGCCCCGGTTGCTGCGACAGTGTCGACAGCTACCAGTGTGCTGGCGGTCGCTGGTGGCGCAGGGAAAGCAAGGAATGGCTGTCACATATTGTTCAAAGCCTGGTGGATGGATATGCAATACATGGCATAGACGTACACAAAACAAAAGACTTCTGATGGTGAAACGGTGAAACACCATATTTTCAATGTTGAACGGAGCTGGCAGACGTCCCATCATGTCATTGGGAGTCCACATGAATATATAATATATGCCTTCTTCCACACTTTTGATCATGTGTGAATCAACTTAAATAAATCTCACACTACCCATGGCAAAACCCTTGGGAACTTGCTGACTTGCCAGGAAAGGAGTGGTGCCCAATGAGACCCACCGAAGTTTGATTCCTTTGTACAGTGACAAATTCATCCACTGGCCTCAAACACCCAATTCCAATTTTACTTCAGATCTCAAGGTCATTCACCCAGAAACTGGAAGGTTTGATTGTGAATATGACAAATGTAGAAGTGAAAAGGCTATAAATGGGGTACCCCTAAGTTCAAACACGCCAAATTATCATAGTCTTCGTTACATTGTCCCATGATAATTTCCTTCCAATTCAGGTGGGTTCTGGAGTTCATAACCCATTTTTCGCGGTAAAATTCCCAGTGTCAATATATGGGTGTGTCTGCGTATAGGGCTTCCCAGCACATTTGACCACATTAAAATTGCCATTTGAGAGGTATACCCCATTTCCAGACAATCCCCACTTCGGGGCACAGTTCCAGCCCTAAAGTGTTTCTTTTCCCCGCCATACTTTGATTCCCCAACAGCGTAAGCTAATGGGGTCTTCAGCCCAGAATAGCTCCGGTGTGCACTCATGCAGACGCCGGGTCAGGCTCAACGAGGTTCCGGAGAACGTTCCGAAGGTTCCGGAGAAGGTCTGGAAGGCTTTGGTGCAGAGCCAGGTCAGGTTCAACAGGATTGTGGAGGAGGTTCCGGAGAAGGTCTGGGAGGCTTTGGTGCAGAGCCAGGTCAGGTTCAACAGGGTTCCGGAGAAGGTTCCGGAGAATGTCTGGGAGGCTTTGGCGCAGAGCCAGGTCAGGTTCAACAAGATTCCGGAGAATGTTCCGGAGAAGGTTCCAGCAAGCCTTGGTGCAGAGCCAGGTTAGGCTCAACAGGGTTCCGAAGGAGGTTCCAGAGAAGGCCTGGGAGGCTTTGGTGCAGAGCCAGGTCAGGTTCAACAGGGTTCCGGAGAAGGTTCCGGAGGTCTGGGAGGCTTTGGTGCAGAGGTAGGTCAGGTTCAACAGGATTCCGGAGAAGGTTCCGGAGAAGGTCTGGGAGGCTTTGGTGCAAGCCAAGTCAGGTTCAACGGGTTCCGGAGAAGGTTGCAGAGGTGGTCCCGGAGAAGGTTTTGGGAATCTTTGGTGCAGGGCCAGGTCAGGTTCAACGGGTTCCGGAGAAGGTTGCAGAGAAGGTTCCGGAGAAGTTCGTTTTTCTTCTTTTTGTTTTCATGCATGTGCACACGGCATACATGGATGTCATTAGAGCAATTGTGCTTTTCTGAGTCTTTCTTAAGATTTGTTTTGATCATGCCAATTTAACTTGCAGTTTTGCCTCGATGTTGTATTTTGGAAAGAATTGTAAAAATAAAACGTTGCGGCTGTTGGGGATACCACCGAAGCTTATTGGCTATCCCAACTTATGATGTTGAAACCAAGAAAAAACACTTCAGATAGAGTTCTATTGTACCCATAGTTACAAACCTTTACATCCTAGTTTCATAGTTGTTCTTATGATGTTATAGCCCCAGTTGCAGCCATAAAAACAATCCCAGTTCTGCTCCCACCTCCCCAGCCACGCTGCAGGTTGGAAGCAGCAGCAAGCGTCTGCGCGTCTCACTGGCCTATCGACCCAGGGGATAATCATGGGGATAATGGGAATATTGAAGAGGGGGTTATTATATGGGATAATTATAAACGTTCCCATGTAGTATATAATTATAAATAAATATGATTGTTAAAACAAGTTCCTTCCCTAATTATTCCCATATGATACAGATAATCACACCAATAAGTGGGACATAACATGATACAACTAATGCAGATTTGTAGGATGTTGTCCCGTAACCACCAATAGGAAAATGATATGGAAACCCCATGAAACCCCGATATAGTGGGCGCTTGAGATGATGCCAATCCATGGTCTTATCGTGAAGTAGAACCACCCAGAATGCAGGATGCCTGGTGTCTTTGAAAATCATCATGATGATTCATGGTGTTCATTGTATCTATGGTGTTCATAGTGTTCATGGTGTTCATGCTGGTGATCATGATGGTGATCAAAAGACTTTAACGCAACTCACACTTCCAGCGCCTGTCAAAAACCATGCAGAATAGAAACTCCAGCTAGATGATGCTAAATGGTACTCAAGGGGGTGTTGCCCATGACGCCCATTTGGTCGCCTACCTCCCCATTTGTGTTCCCCTTATAATGCACATTCTTGGTCAAGAAACCGAGCTACACAAGGTGATCTTTGGATATCTTTGGGGCCCTGGGCTTCCTGGGAATGCCCTTGCCCAAGGTGCCTCCCTCTCCAGCGAAGCGAGGCGAGGTTTCACCTTGCAGCAAAATGGAGTAGGGCTGTGTCAAGCCATCGGGGAGCTGTAAGGAATGGTTGGCTGTTACCCAGCCAAAACAAGGGTATGGGAACATGAAACCGTGTTTTTCAAGTTTGACATAGACTAAGGTGATGAAGGCATAGCTCCCTGGCTGGTCAAACCAGCAACACCTCATGGCATTTCGGTCAGACATTTGCCTAATCTTCATTGCCCCTTTTGATGACCTCAGATTGGAATACAGCAATACAGCATTTTGTTTGCAAAGATTTCAACCAGCTATGGGCGATGCTAAAGGTTGCCGCTTGGGTACATCCAAAGTTCAGCACTCCAAAACCCAGCATTTCCCCCCATAGCTTTGACGCGTCCCGCCTTCAGTGTCATAATCTCGCAAAGGTCTGAACGCAAATCCTGCAAATGCGCGGAGCTTCAGCCAAAATTTGATGTAAGTTCCTTGATTCCTTTCATACTAGATGATAATATTAGCATGTGTTCGCCCAAAAAACGGGTAAACAAAGGCAGCCAATCATATCCAGCCATGGTACAATAACAACAGTGGTGTGCACTCATGGGAAAGGCGCTACCAAGACATGGTTTTCCCCTTCCAAAAGGAAACCGTTGACCGTCAGATGTGTCACCTTCCGACGGTTTCACCCGGAGTCCTCCATGAATCTCCCAGCTGTTTTTGCAGATTCCACACCACTTGTTTTTTTTGGTCAGACTGGAAATTTCACCCCCAGCATCAGCAAAAGGGACTCGCTGTATTCCTGGGCAGCAGGGCTCCTTGATTTGCAGTTCGAGATTTTCCACCTTGGGTTGCCCGAATTTCTGCATTCGCCAACATGTGATATGGTTAGTGCAACAAAGAAAAAGCGAAGAGGCCAGTTTCTCAAGGCAGTTTGAGTCACATCCATGCAAACATATGCAAACTGTCGGGGAAGGATCACGTTGGTTTGCATGACACTTGTTCAAACTCATCAAACTCCCTATCAAGCTGGAACCCAACCACCATCACCAAGTCCACCAGCAGCTCCCTGGGGCTGCCGAGCCAGCTGAGTTTCCCCACTTGCTGATCTCGAAGTCCTCGCAACTCAACCTGCGGGGCAATAAAGGGATGACATTGCAGCTGAGGTGGAAAGGACAGGAGCAAAGTATACAGGTTTTCCATTGGTTTCTCCATAACCACCACAAAAACCACAACAACGACGATAACCGCAACTACATCAATCCTCCAAAGCAGGAAAGATCATCAACCGCTCAGCCTTCACTCTTCAAATCTTGTATTTAAGCTCTGTTTTTGGGGGTCAATCCATGCTGAACACCTTGCAAGGTGGCAAGCAGTCCAAAGTGTTCGTAAGCGGCCACAATGGAACTGAGCTCAGGCTGACTCACCCCCAACTGCTCCCCAATTTTCTGCCTAGCACGTGAAGTGATGATTCTACGAGATTCATGCAATGCTATGACTTCACGTGCTAGGCAAGCAAGAGAAATATGAACTCAGCAGCTGCCCGATCTCTGCGGTATTGGCTCGCCAAGCTGAGCGGATGTCTGAAGCTGCAGCACCCTCAGCACAGTCACCTGCCTTTCCACCAGGGGGCAGAAGTTCTCTGAAGGTACGCACGAAGTTGCTTGCACCAAGAGAAGGTGCTTCATCGCAAGCGAGCCATCAGTTTGGGAGGGATCATCATTCCGATTGAAAATTGCAGCAGCTCAACTGCCAAGGCCTGTCTTGGCAAACTCATGCTGATTTCTTTGGCAAACAGTTGGCTTCACTGGTGGAACAAAGACCATGGCCAGGTTCTTTCCAGCATTTGCGCACCCACCATGCGCCGCAAGCCTCCAGATCATTGCTGCTCTGCCTCACAACCCAAATGCTTCGCAGTTCTGCTCGGTGAACTGCACCTCGTTGACAGCAGCAAAATCACAAATGAATGGAACTGGGATAGGGACAGGCTGCTGGGAATTTCAATATTGTATTCCCAGCTTGTGAATTCGCACCACATCTGCACATGATTATTTCATACTATTTCTTCTTTTCCCATCAGGACGCATCTGTCACTTCAATCATGTTTCTGCAACTCACTCGCTCTCCCTCTCTCTCACCCTGTTCAACCCGCTTTCCCACTCTTTCTTCATCTCACCCTCTCTCCCTCTCGTAGCACTCGTGCGACTTTTGAAACCATGCTCTTCTGGCAATGTTCGGACGGCAATCAAGCTTTATGATTGCCGTCGAAGGGAAAAAGCTGCCCGTCAAGCAAACACTTGGCATTGCCTGGCACTGCCTTCATTTCTTCATGCGCTGCTCTTGCAGTTTGACCTTTCAGAAGATCAAACAGGAAACACAGTTCGACATTAAACTGAGATTGCGGCCCCTCGGCCATGAAAACAAGGGCTGAAGAATCATGCAAAATAGGGCAAACAACTGCAAAATCGAAAGGGGTCAACAAGTTCAACCGACATTTCTGTGAATATTCTAGGAACGCTGTGACCTTACATGCCTCGCCTTATCCACTGTTTGTTGGGCAATTCCACCAGTGGTTCCAGACGCGGTAGAAGGGTCAAAAGTTGGCAGCCATTTGTTCCTTTGAGCTCTTTCAGGCGATGGAGGGGTCATCTTTGCATATCTTGGGACGAACACGTCTGTTTCATGTGGCACTGCTAGTCTGTACAAAGCTATGGTGATGACATGTATTTCAGAGACTCTCAGCGCAGAAAAAATATTCCTCATGGCATTCAAAGGATCGTTGCAGGTGGGAGTCCGCTTGTTGTGATATTAATAAATCGTCTCACCAAAATATGGTCACCACGGCAATCAATGACCGTTGCTCCTACATGCTCCTACTATCACTACTCCTCTTCATCTTGAGATCCATCAAACCCCAGCCTGAACCACTCGATGGTATCTGGCCATCCTTCTTTGTAGGAGACGATGGGCTGGTAACCCAGGTCGCTTTGAGCTGCTGTAATGCGGAACCACCTCTCAAGCAGCTGGTTGATAGGTCAGGTAGAAGCCGTGCAAACAGCTGCAAGTTTCAATTATCATGTGGAATTTAATCTTGAAATCTTGCAGGCCTGTGCATGGTCAACATTCGAAGAGTGAACCATCCAAGCTTCAATTTCTTACCAGTGACCGCACTGATGGCATCGCAAATCGCTGCTATGATCCTGGCTGCAAGGGTCTGCTACATGTGTCTGTTGATTTCCACGAAGACTTGCCAGTCCAATGGTCCAATGACCATCCAAAATTTACCCCAAAAAAAAGAGAGCAACGCCGGAAATTGCCGTCGCTCGTATTGATGGTTGTAACAAAGGGACACGTCCAACAAGAATTCGATAAGTCCCAAAACCACCTCTTTGAGCCCCCATCCCAGTCCTCAAGAGAAAATAGGGCAAGGCCATCTTGCCTCATCAACTTATCAAAGGATGTGGAGTGTTGTGTCTAGAGTCTTTCAGACCCAAAGTGCCAAGAAAGCAGTGGTGATCCATGTCACATGTTCCACTGAAACATCACGGAACGATTGGGGTTGCCTCCAACAACAAAGCATTCCGTATGTTCAACAAGCCATCTTTGGATGGCAAGCCAAGTCGGTAAAAATACGCTAATTTTAGTCGCTTCTGCTGATCAGGCTGTTTCATGCTGCCATGTGCTTTGCCCGGAGAGTTCTGCTTCGCACGAGTTCACTCACTATTCCCCCCAGCAGCCATAGTTCCGCGGACTTGTATTCGAAGAATAAGAAATAATCCCATTCTTCCTGTTACTAAAACTCCCCCAAATAAACAAAAATAGGATTGGTGTGGCACTTCCGGTTTTTTTTGTTGCGCACCATTGGATTCTTAATTGTGGTATGTAATTGAGAATCAATAGAAGAACAGGATGGTGAAACAATGGGTTCAACCCCCTATTAATAAAATAGATTGCCCCCTGGAGGTTTTTTATTAGGATCCCATCTCACAAGTTTTACCTGCTATTTTTGTTATCATTAAGGTTTTCAGTGGAATATTAGGGGAAAGCTTCGAAATCCAGTTTTTGGCAATATGTTATATAGATTCTAATAAGGGATTTAATCAAATTTGAAATCGAGTTTTTTATTTTTATCATTAAGGTTTTCATTGGAATATTAGGGGAAAGCTTCGAAATCCAGTTTTTGGCCATATTTATATAGATTTTAATGAGGGATTGAATCAAATTTGAAATCGAGTTTTTTTTATTATGGTGTTTCATTGGAATATTAGGGGCACCCTAATACAAAATACCCCCTAATAATAAAAATAGATCACTGTCTTTACCATTTGAGGGGGTGTTTTAATAATAGGGAGAGAGGATTTGAAAGGAACCGTTGTCAACTTACACTTTGCATTCTTTTTTCAAATTCAGCACTGTTGCGTGGGAAACCTTGCTGTGATGGTGCCACTGGCACAATCAAAAGGTTTCATGTGATTGCCGGCAACACATTGGGCGACCAATGCGTTCACGCGGCTGTACAGGGAGTCGAAGCCCATACCCACCACCGCTTCATTCAGCTCGTTCCAAAAGATGCTGTAGCCCTGACCACAGGCACGAGGCAAAGATCGCAGATGGAGCCAAAGGAATGAATAGGAATATACATGAATATACCAAATATATCATGATAATTCATGATATATCCAACATTATCCAACATTCTCCAGCCTTTAATTTGGTAATCAGAAATCTATGGCTGGACTGATCCGCCTCCGGATGCGGATGTGTGGCTCCATCCGTGCAAACGTAGAATTTCCCTGCGTGGAGCTGAGGCATCCCGATCCGTCGAGGCATTTTAGTGATCTGTCACTGAAAATTCTGCCGAGGCAATTTTGTTTCAGGTCCATTATGTCCATATTATGTCCATTATGTAGAAAATCATATCCCATGTAAATTTCAGGTCCCATAAAAATAATTAAAAAATCCTTTCCACTGGTGCCTAAGTGGGGTGACGTCTCGTAGATCTGCTTCTCTGCAATGATGAGGCCGTGACAGTAATTGTCAACATGCGTGTACCTTGGCTTTGGTGGGACACGTCAAGGCAAGTGCATCATATCAGCAGGTCAAAGTGCAAAACGAAGCTGAAGATTCTCAAGGATGTATATGAAAGCATGTTATGTACTGCCTATGTATTATGTAGTGGTCAATTGACACTGAAACCATGGATGTCAGTGAATTTTGCAGTCGAGCTACCCCACACGGCTTTGGCCGTTTCCAAAAATGCGGAGTTTTCCAATACCCGCAGCTTCTAAAAGATTGGGAAGAAAGAGATTGTCGCCTCAGCTGCAGGACCAAGTCGTGTCACATCTTTGCTGACCTTGTGAAGGTCCTATCACAATTGCACAGTGCTGAAAACAAACCAAAGGCAAGATTAAACAAGGGCTGATTGAATTTTGCGGTTGCAACATCGTGGCAAGTCCAACAGCTTGTCCTGCAAAGTGCCACCTTCCAATTCTTGCATGCTGAGCGCACGACGTGGTCCATAGACCGTATGCGGCGCAACCTCAGCGTGTCAGGTCATCTTCAGCTCAAGACTGCCACGAGTGTAGATCTACGCTGCTTGGAAATATGGTATGGCACACATGTATAGCTCTATGCTCTGGACAGCAATATACATGATCTCACCATTCTTGCAAGCCTCCAAGCAATGGCATTCTTTTTGGAAGCACAACATCCGTGTGAAGATTTTTTGCTGACGTCAGGGATTTGCAGCATTTTGCAGTCCAAAGACATGTTGCTTTCTCTCACGCAGTGCACGAAGAAATTCCAGGATCGATGCAGTGCAAGAGTAGACAATCAACATGCCACTTTCTGATGTGAACCTTTGCCATTGTAATGCGAACCCGTCCATTCAATTTTTCCCAAAATATCACCACGACCTGCATGACATGAGTGCTCACCATGACCTGCTGCCATTTCCACCAGCCTTGCGAAGGAGCAGCTCACCCTCCGCCTTCGTGGCAGAATATTCCGCCACATAGGACTCCTGGAGGCCACTTTCAGGTCACACTGAGACCTAATGATGGGAGATGTCATCATCTTTCTGGCTAATCGGCCAACCTGAATATCATCCAACCTTGCGGTCACAGCTCCTGAGGGATATCTGGCATGTCGGCCTGGGCAATGCCAAAACCTGGTGATCTGAATATTTAAGTTTGCAATCAAACTTCCAACATGTGATCATTGATAAAGAAACCATGTACTCAGTACTCTATATATATATATATTACATAGCTTTAACAACATGGTTTTCATGTGCTACAATTTGTTGAGGGTCAAAAAAAAAAACATGCTGGATTTTCGGACTGGCCAAATCAAGGGATTTCTGATCGACTTTGGACCCGCCTCAGTGTGGCCATCGACATCTCCCGAACAGGTAAAGCGTGACGATGGAGTCGCTGAGTAAACAATCTTGCTCACTCCTACTACTGAGACCCTGGGTGACTCACAGTCATCTTGGGAAGGGATGAACTGCACCACCAAACTCGCAGAGGGAGTGCAAAAGCAGCTTTCAAATGTTACTAACAGCATCTCAGTACTGTGACCAGAACAGTCATGAAGCTGCACTCCAGAGACTCTAGACTGTAATCTGCCTGGGCCATTTGTTCGATCTGGGATCTGCACTCTCAAATTCGTGGTTCTGCGTTGTTTGATGTTTTTCAATCCATACACCCAAAGTGGTCGCAAGTTCTGCCTTTGAAGCTGAACATGATCAAGCCTTTGGCAAGCAGTACTCCCGTTGCCCCCCACGTCATCAAAAGCAGTTCATTCAGTCCTTGCTTCTTGCAAGCTTCTAAAACGTTTTTGGTCCCCAGCACGTTCACCTCGATTTGCAGCAAATGGTCAGGTCGGGAGCATCAAGGGAAAGGTCGACAGAAGAAGATGATTGAAGTTTCTGTTCTTTCGATGTCAGGCGCATTTCCGTAGAAGTGCTTGGGCAGGAAAGGACCAACAGCTGCTGCATTGTGCCAGACACAGTCGGCACCTGCCCGACTCTAAAGACCGTGGGCTACGGATGCTGCACGTAAATTGAAATGGGATACTCAGATGGTTAGCAATTCCAAAGGAGAAACGGAGCAACGAAGTGGCCACTCTATTGTCAAAGGAAAATGTTGATTTATCTACGGATGTTGACTGTTCAACCAATAGCACGGAATGTCAAAAACTCACAAAACAAAACAACATCGGCCTTTTACCGCTTCCTCAACATCCTCGAGGTTGCAAAGGTCCCCCGTAATGTACTTGATCGCCTGCATCAGTTTGCATGAGATCTAGCGGACAGCTCGGAACTTCGGATCGTACTTCCTTCTTTGGACATCTTGCCTTCTTATCATTTCTTGCAAAACTCATCAAAACTCTAGCATTCAGCTCGAAAGATACAGAACAATATCTGTGAATCATGAATGACTATGATATATCTGCTAGTGGCTTGCAAAAATTGAACCTCACTGCCACATCGACTCACACCCAAGGCCCATAACCAACTTCCCTACCTCATGTTTCCACACGTTGGCTGGTGGTGGGACGATGTCAAAGGAGACCACCTCCACTTGCCAGCTGAAATTGAGGGCTCCTTTTCTAAATGTATGGTGTGGACTTGTTTGAATGGCATGCATGCAGTATATGTATTCAAACTCGTCACCATGTGCATATATATATATATATACATATACATACACATACACATACACATACATATACATCCCGGCGGACCGGAAAGTGAGGTCGTGAAATGCTGTTTTTTTCAAAAAATCATCGTCTCGCCAAGGCGAAAACACAATTCAGCGATCACAAAAACTCTGAAATTCAGACGTCTGAATTTGGTGTTTTTTCAGATAAATGTGGATTTCGCCTAGGCGAAACGCAATTTCTGCTTCAAACAAGTTCAGGCATGCTCAACTGTCCGCACCGTCATTTTTACATCTCTTGCAGTTTGGACACCGTGGCTTTCGCCAAGCTTTTGTACGTGTGGATGAATCTCCATTGCCACATCTTGCAATAAAGAATCAAGTCCGCACTCCGGGCATGCAAACTCTTTGGCACGAATTTTTTGCAGGACGTCCATGCGGCATCTATTGTGCCTGTGTGCGCTTTGAGCTTTTCTCGGTTTCTTGTGACATCCTACCCCACCCCATCATCAGCGTAGCATCAAGAACCTCAGCAAGTTCACACGAACGTTAACATGCTCACCCCACCCCACCCCATCATCAGCGTAGCATCAAGAACCTCAGCAAGTTCACACGAACGTTAACATGCCCCACCCCACACCACCCCACCCCATCATCAGCGTAGCATCAAGAACCTCAGCAAGTTCACACGAACGTTAACATGCCCCACCCCACCCCACCCCATCATCAACGTAGCATCAAGAACATCCAACTCGAAAAAGAAGCGTTTCGCAACCTCAGTTTTCGGTCCGTAGGCATATACATATATACATATATACATATATACATATATACATATATATATACATATACATATACAAATACATATACATATATACATATATACATATATACATATATACATATATACATATACATATACATATATACAAATACATATACATGTACATATGCATATAGACATACATATACATATACATATACATATACATATACATATACATATACGTATACGTATACGTATACATATACATATACATATACATATTATATATATATATCCCTGTGTGCATTCTGCAGAGAAGTTGTGCCCACTAAACCGTTTACAAACACAGCCTTATACTACAAAATGAAGCTTGAATCTGAACCAACCCCCTTGCTACAAAATGGTTTGGGTGTTTTTATGATGGATCAAAAGCCAATGTCGGTCACTACAAAATGACTTTACGGAACCATTTTGTAGTGAAAACGGGTTGCAATGAAAATAATGATTCGCTACTAAATGGGTCATAGCATTTACTAGGGGAAATGCTATGGGGCAGCAAAAACGATCTGAGCGCACAACTTCAGTTTCAATTGATTGGTTTTGAAACCAAATCTGTCCCATTTTTCCTTCTTAAAGTCTCTACATAAAAAGCATGCTTTTCGAACTTTTTGGGGCTTATCTGGAGGGGGCGCAGTAGGTTCTACAAAAGGTTGTGCACGCGTGCGTCACTACAAAATGCAGTGCGTGACAAAAGTCATCCAGAAACTAGGACATCACGTATCGAATCTGTGCTTTGTGACATTGTGGGTGAAAGGAACTCTGAGCATGGATTCGTTGAACTTGGGTGAAACTTGACTATTGGACAAAAAGAGCAGGAACCTAGTAGAATGGGATAGATTTAGATTTTAATTAATAATCGCATGTGATGGCCAAAAAAGGTGTGACAAAAGCACGGCGCAGAGGTTTTGAACTGCAATCGTCAGAGCTAAAAACGATCTGAGCGCACAACTTCAAATTCAATTGATGGGTTTTGAAACCAAGTCTGTCCCATTTTTCCGTCTTAAAGTCTCTACCTTATTTGTTTTTTTTCGAATTTTTGGGGGCTCATCTTACCACGAAATAATCGTGAGTCAAGAGCCAAAAATGGTCTGAGGGTCCAAGCTATATGTTCATGTGACCGAGCATGACTGGTAAAAGAGGGCTACAGGGTTTCCGGCACGACACAACGCATCCCAAAATAAATCACTACAAAATGCGTTTCCGATTTATGAGTGTAAAATGGAACGCCGCTACAAGATACAGTGCACACCCTTTTACTACAAAAACTGGTGCACGGGTCCATTTTTTTTGCTTGAATTATCCACGAATCAGAGGATGGTACCAAGCACGTGTTCACCCTTTTAGTAGTGGAAATGGTAAGGGGGATATATATATATATACATGTGTCATCATCTGTATATACATGTGTATATATATATACATTATCATATGCATGTGTGTGTGTATGTGTAAATCCCAACTATGTTGGAATCTTCAGCTATTTCCCTACCTTGTCTGCCTTTGAAGAGAACACATTGTCAATACATGGTTTAGAGGTATATAGTGGAAAAAAACTGATTCGGAAACACTCCAGTACTGTACCAACAGGCAAAACAGGGCTGCTAGACTGGCAAGACAACCAGGTCGGATCGGAAACAGATACAGGACTAGAAAGGTAAAAGTGCACCATGAGTGGATGATCAAGTCCAGAATCTCTATCCGTGTCCATTTTGACATCCACGGTGCCCAATCACAAATGATCGCCCCAAAGACAATGAAGAAGTGCTTCCCTACTTAACAGTTTTGACGATGTCGTTTACATTCTAAGATCCAAGTTCAAAAAACTGGCTGAAACATTTTGTAACCACCCAAAGAAACCAGTTGCTTATCTTGGTTCATCTTGGTTCTAGCTTGCAACTCCCTCTTTTCTCTGATTTTTGCATCCTTTTCCACTGGTTCCCAAGCCCAGCTCCAGGACCCTGGACCCCAGACCTGCTCAGCCCCTCGTTCCACCAAAGTCTCCACCAGGCGTTGGCCCACAAAGCCCAAGCCACCGGTGACCACACAGCGTTTGGGCACCTGGCACAACCCACCCATGATGGACATGATGGACATGGCTGGCAAGTTGCAAGATTCCCCAATTCCCCAAGCCTGAATTGATCCAATAAAAAGGGCTGGACTGATGGACATTGATCCTTTGCAAATCCCATGATGGGACCCAGTCGGACCGAGGCTCCCCACCGCTCCGTATGTGCCCTTTTTGTTCGCCTGCCACGCAGCGGTCAGATAGCGACACGTGTGAAAGGTCGAATCCCATATGACACGCAAAGGTACCAAACCCAGAGGGTTCCTGGCATATCCTCTACTAACGTCAGCTTTCTTGGGGCTTCACCACTGCTTCCTCACTGTTCTGCTAGCTAAAAATGATGCTTACAACTTGTGCGACCGCCTCCCTGATCTTTTCCTGCACGGGGGATAGCTCCTTGGAAACAGCAGTGGCTCAAATATTCTGCCGGAATCCAAATCAGACAGGTCATCACAGGCCCATCGATTAGATGAAGGGAAACATCTCTGTAGTACAACAATGCATTGCAGTGTCTCGAATTACTCTAGCACACCAAATAGCTGCTTTCTTCAACCAAATAACTGAGGACGAAGAATCAGAAAATGAATCTAATGCAGAGGAGTGGAGAAATGTTCTGTTTTCACATTGACTCAACTGTTCGGAATAGTCCATGTCTATGCTCTATATTCAGGTGTGCTAGAATGGAACCTTTAGTAACCACTGCAGAATGCTGGCTTCATGGCTGGATTTGCCATTGAAACGGTTCAGTGATCCAAGCATGAAGCCATTTGACATTGAATGAATTGAAAGATCAGACTCTTAGTTGGATAGTTCCGATTAGCTTAGGTCTCAACACTGTATAGTAGCCAACCACCGGAGCACCCTGTGCAACCCCTCCCAACGCAGCAGGGCCACGTAGGCAGTGTACAACTCCACCCGCGGCGCCATCCGGAGAGCAGAACGGGCACTGGTGAGTGCACTTAAGCGCATATGGAGACCATATGGGACCAAAACTGCTCCTTAGAAGTAGATGGATGTTGACATATATAACTATATATATATATTATTATTATATATTATAATATATATATATATATATACATATTATATATATATATATTATATTATATATTATATATATATTATTATATATATTATATATATATATATTATATATATATTATATATTATATATTATATATATTATATATATATATTATATATATTATATATATATTATTATATATATATAATATATATATTATAATATATATATATATATAGCATCTACGTCTTTTCCTATCAAACAAGTGTTTGCAACACTCGATGTCAGAATCCAAAACCACATCCCACTGTTTGTCACTGCTCCAGCGCACATCATGGCCACAATCAACCAGCTGGGTTTCCAGGTGGTCACAACATCCACAATCAACTAGCTACCTGACTGCCATAGAGTCTTTTTGGTCATCTGACCATCTCGATCCAGAAAGCTGCCCGGAATGTCCGATCGAGGTCACAAACACATAACACAGAGATCCCGGAGATCGCTGAGATCGCTGAGATCGCGAACTCCTGGTGTTTATAATTTACAGGCGACCCGTGTCGCCACCAAAAATTCATAATGTCAGCAGATGTCAGCGGAGTCTACAGTCACAAGTCCCAGAATTATCAGAATTGGGAACCTTTCAAATCATCTCAAATCCCCTTTTGTGATATTTTTGTGATGCTCTATCCATCTCTATCATCTGGGGAAGTCTGCCATGACAGCCTGGACAGCGACCCTGAGGACGGCACCGGGAGTCGCACATCTCACGGCAAGCGAAGGCTAGCAACATCCCCCGCATGCCTCCTCACCCCACCGCAGAAGAGAGGTGGATAGGCAGGTTTCTCAGTGTCAGCATGGATGTAGCACAAGAGTGCGAGCCGAAGACGCTTTTGAGATGAATTGAGCTTTTGGACTGCACTCGTGTGCTATATCCAGTGCATGACCGCGTGCAGAAATATTCACCTCACGAAATTCCAGTAAATCAGCCCCTGCACGCGATATCAATGAAGAATTCTGCAGCAAAGTGACTGCGGTGGAAGGCCGCAACGCCTGCCCTGTACAGTAACTTTCAGGCATTGTGCTCTGCTCATGTAGGCCACGTCACAAATAAGGAGATCTCAATCCATGGCATTGAAAGTGCACTGAACCATTGACTTGAGCCAACCCCTGCGCATACGCCTCAGAACAATCTGAACAGGAGGGCTCTTGAACGGTCCTAACGGTTCATGATTTTTGGGGCATAGCTGATGGAGTAGTGGTAAATACTATATCGGGTCTTCTGGAAACCCTGTTGAACTGAAATGTGGAAGGGAGGTTGACCCTGACTCCTGAGGGTCAGATAAAGACGCTTCTCCTCAATGTTCAGCTTTGGGATGCTTATCAGTGTTGGAAGGTGCACTGGTTGATGCTGGGGCAAGGTTAGCAGAACCCGGCCTCTTTTTGCAGGGCAGGTTGTACCTCATATCAACGTGAGTTTCGATGGTTCAAAGTCAGGCCAGATGCCAGAATTGGCCATACAGATTTCCTCTGAGTACTTCGGATCATGGTGAAAACTCATGGAGGACATTGGAGGACCTGAAGTCAAGTAGCCCACTCAAGCTCGGGTAATATGGGTCACCGAAAAAAGTCAAGACTCGTTGGTTGGTGGGTTCATGGTTTGAGTCCAACCCGCTTCAGTCACCAAAAGAATCCAGAAGCTTTGCACTTGTAAGCTTCATTTGGGCTTGACATTTTGAAGACATTCTGACGTGCACAGGCCGCTTGCTGCAATGGCAGAACAATTTCAATGTTTGGCCACCCACAGTGTCATGACTAAACGTCTTGCCCATGATCCTAAATGTGTTTTTCCTTGATACGTGATCTTCTGTTGGCGACAATAAGGGTCGTGTGTGGGTTTCTTTACGGTATCCCCAACTTTGATTGCCCACATCCCCACTCCTTGGGTCTCCCCGACCACATCCACTGCTTCCACCACGATGGTCAAGCCTGTTCTTAACAATTTCACCTGGCCGCTGCGATGAAGTCTCGGTTTTGTTTCAAACTTTTACAAAACTCCACGAAAATCCCACCACTCCAGAAATTCCGGGTGAGAATCACCCAATATTTGGTGACCTTTTTGGGGTTTTCGAGTGTATTGACAAAGAACATGCTGCACTGGTGGCAAATGCACCTCGGCTGCCAATTGCTCCAGGTGCTGGGCGGAAGAATCAGCGGATCCAGGCTACTAGTATCAGAAAAACGCAAAAGGAACTTGTAGCCGCAGTCAATCTCAAGCTTTACACATTAATACAAGGAGCAATAGAATCTCTAATTTTTGCACAAGAAACCAGACTCACTGTCTGAAACATCGACTCTTCCGCGGCAATCTCTGGGAATGGACTCTGTGGACCAGGAGGGATGCCGTTGCGCCTGCTCAAGAGATCGCTCTGATCGCGCTGGAACCTGTTGACCGTCGGAAATGAGGAACGCTCATGGGATCCAAGTCAGAACATCTCAAGTTTGGATGTGCATGCACAATATATACTGTCTATATGTATATGTAATATATACACACATGCACATATGTGTATGTGTGTATATGTGTGTACGTGTAAATGTCATTATATGTCTATATTGTACACAAATCCTACACACCTGGTCTACACAGCTTGCCAGCTGCACTGACACCTTTCCTCCAATGCTGTCAGATCACCCCCTGACACCCACCATCCAGGGACGCCATCTTGGCAACTCCCTCATTCGCCGTGGCGATTTGTACATCACGGACTGGGTCAGTCCATCAGTCCGTGCAACTAATCTAACTAATCACGTTCGTCTCTCCATGGCTTCTTGTAGTAGAATTAGAAACTGATCCTCGCGCTGGCGCCAATCACCTGCATGCTGTTTGGCCAGGGCATGCGAATAAGTCCAAACAGTCCAAACCAAAGGAAAGAAGGAAGGAAGGAGGGAAGGAAGGAACGAAGATGGACCACTGCTGCCATCATTCCATCTCTTCAGCCGGTTAAATCCAATCTTCAATCGGCTTCAATGCATTGATTTATGATATTTACAGGAAAATCTGCAAGTAAGCATGGTCTTTACTCCAAAAATTATGCTTTTGTCTATCCTCAAGGTTTCCTATAAAATTTCGCAAAAGTTCCTGGTCAGCTCTGGCACCTTTGGATGTGTCCACCTTCCGCCGGCGCGCGAGATCCAAGGGCGTCAAGCCATTGCCGTTGGCCATGGCCACATTGGCCCGGGCCTCCAAGAGCGCCCGGCAGATGCCAAGCCTGCCAGGGGATACCCCCATCCACCGGTGAGTCACTGATATATTACTAGTATTTACTAGTTATTCCCCATATAAATGGCCATTTTGGATCATTTTGGGGGAACCAGTGATATGCCATGTCCGACTGACCAGTATATCACTGGTACATCTAGTTTGGGATGGTTTACTTCATGTTTTAACTCACTCGTATCACCATCAATAGTGGGGAAATTCACCAAGAATCATTGGGTCACCCAGGTCGCCTATCCGCTGCAACTGCTGCGTGTAGTGGAGTGCGCCGCAGCTCGTCGAAGGTGCCTGAAGCTCTGAGTCAGTGTGGAAATCCAAGTTATCATGATAACGCATAGATATAAGTATGTGTATGCAATATGTATAATATAGATAATATATATGTAGTATCTTGACTATACAGATTTGCAGCAAATGATAATAAGGATTGTCTCCAAGTTCAAATGACAGAGTTGATTCAATTCAGACCCACAAGATTGATCTCCCAACTTGTGACAATGTCTCTTGGGTACACCACAGCTCTGCCTGTGACTGCGACAGCACGCCCCTCTGGACGGTCCAGCAGGGTTGTGACGATTTCTCCAGCACCCGCAGCGTCATTGCCAACAATGGCCTCTAGGACGGGCAAATGTATGCCATGGGCCATGGGATATTCTCCGAGATGCCCCCACAAAATCTATGTGCCATGGTCAAAAAGACCGTGGAATGAGGATTATCATCCTAACTTCAAAAGGGATTTCCTATGGTGGGCACATTGGAGTGTGGAGCATGAGCAGCCTCACAGGGAAACAATCTGGTTTTCGGCTTTGGTACATTTAGTCCTCCAATACTCTAATGTGTTGGATGCTAATGGCCAATCCTGTCCATCGATGAGAGTTCAGACCCTCCAGACTCTTGCTGAACATGCATAAATCTGCTCCTGCTACACAAATATGTGTTTGGAGCCTCGCAAATTCCAAAATGACCTTTAGAAGCCTCCACAACCACAACCACCCGCAACGTGCCTTGTGCAACAATGTGCTCGCTTCCTTTTCGCCCAGATTCTCCAGGCGTTGGATATCATTGGAAAAAGTTTCAGAGTCGCCTGCAAGAGCAGATGCATTCAGCCTCCGCAACAGGAAGCCTCTTGCCCAACCGGATCCCACGGCACTGGAGGGCCCTGGAGCTGCCTTGGGCTTGGGAAAGCACGGCCTCTTCAAAGCAGGAGCTTCCTGGACCAAGGCACTGGCATTGTTGACGATTTGCTCTCCTTTTTGCATTGGGGATTATCATGGCACATGGGGAACTTTTTACATTGCACCACCTCTGCTGGATTCTGTGAAAGACTGTCTAGTTGTACTGAGTCAACTTCATTTAACTTCAACCGAAACCTGAAGAGCGAAGAAAGCGGTAGATCATGGTCCATCTCATGAATTAAACCCTACGCTCCTCCACCTCTTCCACCTCCAGCCCAGGCGATGGTTCGCGTTTTCTAGGCATGGCAGGTGGCCTTGGCTTTGCCCGAGATGTGTGGCTTGGGGCCAGCAGCAGCTGAGGCAACTCATGGCCATTCTGCAGGAAAACCAGCGCCAACGCGGCAGCGTGTTTGCAGAGACCAGGGCGTGTCCGCGAATCCACGCAGCTGCACTTTGCATTCACCTCAGATCATAAAAAGCCAACACAACATATCCAATTTTGTTCAAACAAATGTCAAATTACATGGAGTGTGCCAAAATTGTGCGAATTGGCAGGATGGCACATCTTCGATTTCCTTCCGTCTCTTCATTGGGGCCACGGGCCACCTGCCACCGAGTCGCTGAAACTCCGCAGCGGCCCAGACGCACGGTGTAGTGCCCGGTGCCTCGCTCGCTTTGGACTTGCGCTTCGGCACCACCGGCCCTCAGCGGTGAAATCAGCTCCCCCAAGGGACCAGCGGATAATCGTCATTTAGCTAGTTCTTTATCATATTTCGTATTTGATGATATGATTTAATTTGTCATTTTTTGATCATGTCTTATATCGTATGGCTCCACGTCTGGAACGGAAACAGGACCAATAATGGAAACAAGAACCCTCTTGGGACAACTCAAGGAGACTATCAATCTATCGCCAAGTCCAATCCATGATGGCTAGTATTTTAGGCATCAACGAGGTAAGGTGACTTGTCATCGACCCACCAAAAGCTTGAGACTCCTCGGAAAAGTGAGTCTTTTGACCCAGGCGCCCTCCTGTGATCTTCACAGCCCCCTGCTTCACCAGAGAAACGGCCTTCAGGTAGCTACCTGGATTGCAGGCCCTCTCGAGATCTGCTTCAGAGAATCCTGGACGCCGTGCCGTGCTCAACTGGCTTTGATCCCCAAAAGTGGTTTTCCATCGCAGGGATGCGTTCAAGGCAAGATTGCAAAGCAAGTCAAACTCTCTTCACTGCAAATCAGATAGTTGAATTATTAAGCTGTTTGATGACCTTTACCCCTGCTTGACCCTGATCTATCTCAACCACAAGAGTTGCACCGCTTTCATATGATGCCTGATGTCCAAAGACCTTCCTGTACATTTTTTTTCATCCTCGGTAACCTTGTTCAAACTCGATTTCCTCTCCCATGTGCCCCCCGTTTCCGGACCTTGGTCTTTGGACGCCTCCCTCATCGGGAGCCAAGGAGCGTTTGCTTTTTTGAACCGCTGAATTTCGCAGAACAGCTGTACACTCGGACCAGCTTGACACATTCACCACGCCCCTGTGACTCACACGAGGATACAAAGGTTCCAGTCAAATTGCCAGCCAAAGACCTACACCCAAAAAATCTACAAGTATCAACTGGTCCCCACGCAAGTTATTCTAAGAATCCCTACTCGTTCTCAATGCGAAGAAATCTCAGGGGGCATCAATGCCAACACATGACACCCCAGGCCTGTGTAACCTCAGCTCCATTGTTTTCAGCCAGCTCGAAGCTGGGTTGAGGGGCACCTGCAGCTCAGAACGGGGTGAACAGCGGTGAACAGTCTGTAGCTGAGCATGGGCATCTATACTGAAGAATGAGAGTCTGCAGATTTCATAAGCCGCAAAGTCACCAAGGCAAAGAAAGCCTGGAATGGCCTGGAAAGGCTATTTTCATCTCATTTCGATGTTGGTTCTTGGATTTGGGGGTCTAGACTCTGCCCAAAGAGGCTGGCCTGGTACAGGCAAGTTGCCAGCCTGCCGAGAGGCGGAAGCTCAAGTGCCCACCATCTTGCTTCAAATGAGCAGGATACCCAGAGGATTCCCAAGCGATGACCAATTATGACCAGGTTGATGCGAAAATGATGATGAACATTGATCATTCGCCTCGCACCGCAGGACGGCAGAAAGCTCCTGGATGTTGAGGTTGTCAACCATCAGGGATCAAAGGTGTGAATACACCAGGGGTTGTGTCCCAGAAACTGGGAGACTCAGCAACAGCAAAAAACAACTGGGACAAGAATCCACAATAGTTCGACCTATAGGATTGTCGCTCTTGATTCCTTTGGTGTCCCCCAACAGGCGGCCAGGGTGATCTTCAAAAAGGAACATGGACGATCATCGCATTTGTAAAGCAATTGGGCCGTAAAGGCTGCATAGTTCAATGGTGTTTTTGCATAAAATCCCTCAGAAGGAGGGCCACCTCTGTAGTCAGAACTGGCTACAGTAGAGAACTAAAAAGCGGGGTTGTTTTCAGGGAAGTAATGAATAATGTTCACACAATTCTCAGCTGGCTGGGAGTTTGGGAGGTTGCGTTCCAAATTCTTCAGTAAGCCACTACTTTCATCTTTGAGAGAGCCAACAGGCAGGTGACATTTGAACTTTGCCGTTCTAGCCTGAGATTCAGGTTGGCCTGGGTCAAAATTGGTCAATTATTTGTTTCAAACCCAGCCATTTTGGGGTGCACAAACCGCTCTTCACCCCTTGCCCGGTGACTAATCAACGATGGTGACTCAGCAAACTGTGTCTATGTAGAAACGTGTTTCCCTGCCTTCAAAGCCATTGTGAGCGCCAACACCTTCGGAAGGACTACAAGATACTACAAGGGTTGGATCGACCGAGAAAACACAGGGCTTTGTCGGCGGAAGGCAACAAAAACATGTTGCAACATGTTGCCCAACATGTTGCAACATTCCAAGAAAGAGAGCCCGTGATCGAAGATGATCGAAGCGCGTGCGGCCGTAATTTTTGAACCACTTCTAGTCACCATGGTGTCCATCTCTCCCAAGCCTTTGGACATCGTTGTGCCAGTGGCGCACGTATGGCTTGCAGAAGCAAAAATAGAAGTCTTGCCTCCTGATATCTCCTGATCCTAGTTGATGGCTTGCCCGAACTTCACTTTCCCAGGGTTCTTAGTTCCCACCCCTAAACATGAGTTTTGTCTGGGCTTGTGGGGGCAAAATGTAGAACTTGGAAAAACCAGAATGCGAACCGGCCAACAAAGTCACAAATCAGGAGATGCAAACTCTTACAATTACTTCAAGTAGGTGTGCAATGGTGTCACCGTGTATCCTTCTTTAGCATAGTTTTGGGCTTTGAGTATTTGAGATGGCTGCCAGCACGTCCAAACATTTGCCTTCGACCCATCCCTGCCTCGATCTCTGCTTGTAATTGTGAAGGTCAAAAGCACTCCGCGTATCCAGTGAGAGACAGATCGGGGACTGTGTAACATGTCCTCTTTCCATCAAATCTGGAGTTTGATTTTGTGAAATCACCGCGATTTGGGTATCTGATACTCATACGTGCACATAGAATCTAAATGAATCTAATGTATCATTGCATGCTCATAACTCTAGCCTGGGATGGATCTGGTCCTTTTCACTCTCGCCCCAGATGACCACATTTCTGGTGGTTTCAGTCCATCTGAAAAAGGGGTCAATGATGTCATATTCCTCTTCAGAGAGACATCCCAAGACATCCCAAGACCAAAAATTGTGAAACCACCATTGTGCTGCGAATGTGAAACATCGCGCAAGTCATTGGTCGCATCCAAAGAGCTGGCCTCAAATCCGACCAGCAAGAGAAGCTTCGACACTCCGACGGTGAATTCGCTGACAATGTCGCGGCAGGCCGCTCATATCAGAATTCAAAAGAAACATGAAACCAAAAACAAACGCAAGTGTATCATAGTGTATCCAAATTGATATTTATGGAAACCAATGGCTTTCGAATCTGCACATCAAGCACGCACAGTGGCCATGGATTCAAGGCACAGCCGGCACAGCATCTGCAACTGTCCTCCTTCGCCTGCACAGCCCTTGAAGAATCCAACAAAACGGTTGATTTGAAGAGATCAGTTCCACCATTGGGACCCACCCTCATCCCAGTCCTAGGATGCAATAGACAAGGCACTATGCTGCAGTCAACGGGCGTATGATCTTCAAGACACCCGTGGGGACGCTCAAGCCTGCTAGTCAACTCAAGAGTTCGAATGACATGCACTGTACCCAGGGTGTAGTGCAAAGTGTTCTGAATGAATTATATAAACAAATGGATGGATGGATGGATGGATGGATGGATGGATGGATGGATGGATGGACGGATATATCTATATATGTCGATACGTGCATGTAAAACCAATCACAATGTTGTATAACATTGAATAACATTGTATAACATTTGTATAATATTGAATAATATATAAATATCATGTACCCCATTCATTGCCAAAGAATTTCTGGCTCTTGGTGAGGCCATTCCTTCGCCACACGAGGCTCGGCTCTGCACCTGTGCTCGAAGTTGATGCAGCTTCCTGTGTTCACGCGGCTAACATTAGGATTGATTTATGGATATATACCCTCCATGGATATCTGGATATATCATGCATATATGGAGGGATGTTACTGAAGGATATATCATATACATATATGGAGATAGTGATATATATATATATATAATACATATATAATTAATACATAAATATGTGTGTGTGTGTGTACCCTCCAGTAATCAAGCATGGCAATGGTACATGCTGCTGCCCCATAAATGGAGCTTTTCATGGGAATTTCAACCTTAACTCCATTGCTGCGTCAGCTGGGTCCTTAGGAAGCCAGGGGCGCTCGAACAAGATCCTGTCATCCTGCACCAGCAAACGCCTCAGGGATGATCCAGCAATCGGCAGCGACCGGAACAAGAACACTGAGTTCATCCCTCCCAGAGCTGGGCACGTTCCATCTTCTGCTTCTATTCGGACAGCACCACCTCAAAGCTTGGACATGTGACCTCTGACTTGAGGACATGTCAGGTATGGCCATCAGTAGCCTCACCAAACCCTTTGTGACTAGACTGTAGCAGGTCTACAGTTCCCATGGTTTCCCCTCCAGTGGAAGAATGTCCAACCATTGGGTTAAGGTTATCACATTCCAGGGTCCAGGGTGGTGCAAAATTTCATGCATCAGCTACCAACCAGACAATCTTTCAGTGGCCGCCTGATGTCTGATGGATACTGGCCACCCGGTAGAAGTGAAACCTTGGAAAAGTGCAGCTGGGCGAGATGAAATGATCTGAAAACCCACTTGTTCTCTCTAGTTCAGCATATTCTCTATGAGCAGACATTGCTTTGTAGTGTGTTGCATATGCCGAGAGTCTGCGATCGCAAGCTCTTGCACTTCACGGCATTTCGGAGGCATCAGAACACAGCTGGGCAGTGGCTTTTTTGTTCGTCTATGGCCGAAAACGAACCGTCCAACTGAAGCTTTCCCCCAGTGGCCGGCAGTGGACCTGTACACTTGGAGACAATATGCGACAATCTCATTCATCTCATTCCCGCTTCACGGGACGCTGCAGGGACTTGTCATCCGCCCGGAATTGCATCATAGAGCTAAACCTTGGATAGCGCCTTTTAGGGGCTGAAGTAAGAGCTCCCTATACCCGTGTTGCATCCAACAAAGTCTGAACCAAAATCAGAAAGAAGAAGTTCAAACTCCAATTCTGGGATCCCTGATTTGGTGCCACATACCCATACTGGATGCTTCTAAGAAGCTTTACAATGTACTGCTTGCCCTTAAACGACATGGTGTACTGCTTGAAGCCCTTGCTGTAAGCAGTTTCCAGCTGCTTGTTCATCTTTGCATCGTACTTGGTCCAGGCGTTGGCATCATCCACGCCAGCCTTCATCTTGCGCAAGTCACTCATGAAGTACCACTGTCCCTCTCCTGCCACAGTTTCCTGCGAGATTGCTGAGGTTCCAAAGCGGCCACTAAGGGGACAGGATAGCATACCCAGCATACCGCCTGGCTTGAGAAGTACAATCCTATGATGTCCCAAGACCTAGATGGTTCAACAGCTGTCGACTGGTTGGCCACATTGCTGACTGTGCATGAAAGTATGATGAAACCCGTCGGTGCGAGAGCCTTCTTTGGCTCCACATTCGAGAGAAAACACCATTTAAGAGTCCTTGCTTTTGGTTTTCTTCAGCTTGGCAGCAACATCTGCAAATTCTTTGGCTGCAATGGCCTGACCAAAACCGTTTTGCACCGCGAAAGATCTCGCTGCAACAACGCCGGCCCGGCCTTGGGCTTGGCTTTGGGATCAGCCTTCATTGCTGCCTTGATAACACCACGGGCTGGACCAGCTTTCGCTTTGGCCTTTGGCTTGGCCGCAGCGGCTTTTGCCTTTGCCTTTGCTTTGGCTTTACCTTTTGCTTTCGCCTCCGCAACCGGGGCAGGGGAATGAGAGCGGTGCCGGAAACTGCTCAGTGTCAACACCGCACCTTCGCGAGCACAGCACCTCGGGCAGGAAGTGCCACCTGAAGAAATGGCTGCGACGTGTCCCTGTAAAAAGGGACCAGCACATAACATCCAAACAATGGTCACCTAAAAAATGTAAAAAAAAACACAGTTCATAGAAGTTTTTTAATTTCAATTATAACAGTCTAAACACAGATTTTTAATATTGTTGATTACTTCATTTTTTCAACAATATATTAAAACTATAATGAACATTAAAACAGTCAAGGCATAATTACCTCATTCATTTTTTCAAAATCATCACTACTAACCATCTATTACCTCTTTCATTTCTATAAATCATAAAAGTCAATACCTAATTACCTCATTCATTTTATTAAAACCTAACTACTGACTATTATTTAAGTTTCTTTGATGCTTCTCTGTTTTCTTATGCTTATAGTAATTTGCTTGGGTCATTGAACAATTACAAACAGAACAACTAACAATTTTAGATTGAAATGTGTTATCATAGTCCTGCTTCATTTTTCTATATTCCTCATCTTCTTCTTATCTTTTTCTTTGAACCTCATTTCGTTTATGTTTATGTTTGTGATAACTGGTTCTTTTATCTGACAAGCACATTTTACAAGTTTTTAACCCTTCATCAAAATTATCAATGTCCATAGTTCTTTCACAAGTTTTACAGGTTTTATCATCCATATATCTTGAAACAGTCATTTTCTTAAATCTGTTTTCAGATTTTTTATATATTTTTCGTGCATAGAAAATCACATCATGACCTCATCCATTCCATACCCAAAACAAAAACAAAAAACATCAACATAAAAAAAAAAAAAACATAATAAAGACAATTTCCTCACCTTTAATAATCCTATCTTAATAATCCATAAATCTAATAAATAGCATTATTAGAATTATGTTAGTAGTAAATGTCTTCAATAATTATTAATTTAAAATGAAATGCTTGTATTCCTATGATACTATCTTTATCTCGGTCTTCATCTATATCTTCCTGTATTTCTTCAACTGCTTTCTCTAATATTGTATCTATATTATCTTCATCTAAATATTCATCAAAGTCATTCATAAAATAAATCTCTCTATAACTAAATTCATTTCTCCATATTCCTTTTCTGGGAGTTTTGCCACTAATTGAACTTCAATATCAAGTTTAACTCTATAATTTAAATCATCTTCTACTTCTTCATAAATTAAAGATAATAATTCTTCTTGTTCTTCTGTTATTATGTCTTCTATACTTTTCAAACTGAATGGCACTTCCTCTCTCATAATACAGTATTCAATTATATATATATATCTTTTTTCTTGATTTCAAATGTCTTGTTATTTTCGGACCAAGTCTTGAAATCTTATATTTGTTTTGTATTCTCTTTAATGCCTCAATATGATTATACTTAATTTTCAAATATTTAGGGTCTCCAATTTTATAAGAAGCAATTTTACTCAACACATCAACAGGTAAATCCTTCACACAATCCATCCTACTAATATACTTAAATAACTGTTCTTTAAGTATATATTCAAAGAATAAAAAATAATGCATTCTTTAAAAAAAAAACTACTTAAAGATAAATTGAATAAATAAAATATATAATATTATATGATGAAAAAAAGTTATAGACTATCTATTGAGTAATGATTTAGCAGAAATACCAAAAAGAGGAAGAACAGAATTAAAGTCAATAATAATAGATGATAAGAAATTCAGATACAACAAAGACAAACCCATATCAAATGTGTTAACAAATAAATTATTATCAGTAAAGAAAACTAATCAATACAGAAGTTATGCTTTAAACAAGGCAAAGGGTGCTTTCAATGAAGGGGGAGTAAGACAAATCCTGACTAAACACGCAATAAGAAACAAATTCAGGGTCAGAGATATTCAATCAGCATTTAGAAGATATGCTAATTCAATCGTTTTAGAAAATAAACACTTTGAAGGGGAAAGAGGTTTAGAAATGATTGCGCACCAAAAACAAAGACTATTAGAATTTCTAAAAAAGAATAGAAGCATGAAACTTAACATAAGAACGGAAGGGTTGTTTGAAAAACCTGAATATGATGATGGAGGAAATGAAATTCGCAGTCAGGAACTTGTATATGCTTTACCTTCAACACGCTTTAATATTAGTAATGAAGATGAACTGACACAAGCATTAGAAGATACTGTTAAACAAATCTTATTACAAATACAAAATTTAGAAGCATCAACCTCTAATTTACGCTTTAAAAAGATTTTATCAATAACCATTCATTATGACAAATATGACCCAACAAGGGCAGGGAGATACATAGAACTACCAGAATGGATTAAATTAAAAAAGGCATGTATCAACATTAAAAACAAAGACCAAGAATGTTTTAGATATTGTATTCAATCGGTAGTCTTTGACAAAATAAGCAAACATCACCCAGAAGACATGTTTCACTACAATAAATTAAAAGATGATATTTTGAACTGGGATGGTGTAATTTTTCCGACTGGTAATAGGGACATAGACAGATTTGAAGAGAACAATAAATTAGTGTCAATAAATGGTTTTGAACTTGATGACTGCTTAAATGATAAAAAAAAAAAACATATTACATAAAGGCACTAAAAATAGAAATGCTAAATATGAAATTGATTCGTTAAAGGTCTATGATGAAAACAATAATCATCATTACGCCTTGGTTAGGAACAAAAGCAGATTATTAAACTTTCAAAGCAACAAGGATGATAGTAAAAAACATTATTGTCATCATTGCTTAAACCCGTTCTCATCAGAAAAGGCATATAAGAACCATCTCGAAAAAGGATGTATGGCATCAGAAGGACAACAAACAAAGATGCCTGATAAAGACACTTATATATAATTTGAAAAGCATAATACTAATTTGCCTTGTCCTTCTGTAATCTATGGTGATTTTGAATGTCTAACCGCTAACTCTAATACTGGCATAAAAGGCACATATCAAGAACATAAACCGTGCGGTTATATGTTAAATGTAGTAAGCAGGATTGATAATACTTGCCAACCATACTTATACAGAGGTGAGGATTGTATGAAACAGTTTGTAGAAAAACTGACTGAAAATAAGAAAGATATATTTGAAAAAATGAATATGAATAAACCAATGGATGACTTAGCAAACGAACAAAAATTAGAGTTTAAATTAGCATCTAATTGCTCCATTTGTGGTAAGATGTGTTGATGTAAAATTGCTTCTTATAAAATTGGAGACCCTAAATATTTGAAAATTAAGTATAATCATATTGAGGCATTAAAGAGAATACAAAACAAATATAAGATTTCAAGACTTGGTCCGAAAATAACACGACATTTGAAATCAAGAAAAAAGATATATATATATAATTGAATACTGTATTATGAGAGAGGAAGTGCCATTCAGTTTGAAAAGTATAGAAGACATAATAACAGAAGAACAAGAAGAATTATTATCTTTAATTTATGAAGAAGTAGAAGATGATTTAAATTATAGAGTTAAACTTGATATTGAAGTTCAATTAGTGGCAAAACTCCCAGAAAAGGAATATGGAGAAATGAATTTAGTTATAGAGAGATTTATTTTATGAATGACTTTGATGAATATTTAGATGAAGATAATATAGATACAATATTAGAGAAAGCAGTTGAAGAAATACAGGAAGATATAGATGAAGACCGAGATAAAGATAGTATCATAGGAATACAAGCATTTCATTTTAAATTAATAATTATTGAAGACATTTACTACTAACATAATTCTAATAATGCTATTTATTAGATTTATGGATTATTAAGATAGGATTATTAAAGGTGAGGAAATTGTCTTTATTATGTTTTTTTTATGTTGATGTTTTTTGTTTTTGTTTTGGGTATGGAATGGATGAGGTCATGATGTGATTTTCTATGCACGAAAAATATATTAAGAAAATGACTGTTTCAAGATATATGGATGATAAAACCTGTAAAACTTGTGAAAGAACTATGGACATTGATAATTTTGATGAAGGGTTAAAAACTTGTAAAATGTGCTTGTCAGATAAAAGAACCAGTTATCACAAACATAAACATAAACGAAATGAGGTTCAAAGAAAAAGATATGAAGAAGATGAGGAATATAGAAAAATGAAGCAGGACTATAATAACACATTTCAATCTAAAATTGTTAGTTGTTCTGTTTGTAATTGTTCAATGACCCAAGCAAATTACTATAAGCATAAGAAAACAGAGAAGCATCAAAGAAACTTAAATAATAGTCAGTAGTTAGGTTTTAATAAAATGAATGAGGTAATTAGGTATTGACTTTTATGATGTATAGAAATGAAAGAGGTAATATATGGGTAGTAGTGGTGATTTTGAAAAAATGAATGAGGTAATTATGCCTTGACTGTTTTTATTTTCATTATAGTTCTAATATATTGTTGAAAAAATGAAATAATCAACAATATTAAAAATCTGTGTTTAGACTGTTATAATTGAAATTAAAAAACTTCTATGAACTGTGGTTTTTTACTTTTTTCACCTCCCTCGATCCTGGAGCAACAGCTCACAGGTGCTGCTATCAAGAAGTACCAAAAGAAAGCCCTACGCATAACTGACAGGAATGCCGCAATGCCACATGCAACAGCAATGACAGTGATGGTCAAACTGCGCAGGAAGCTATTCGTCAGCAATAATTTCAGATTCGAAGAAGAACAAGAAGGAGCTTTAAACAGCTATCCGCACTGCATTTCACGCAAAATATAAAACACCTGAGAAATACTGTATGTTTGACGCTTGTCAACCTGCTCGACTATCTCACTATACTCCGCCCCTTCGCTGAGCCTTCTTTGCGGGCTTTGCAGGTTCATCTACGTCTTCATCTACCTCTCCTTCAGCCATTTCTTCGTCGACTGTCTCTTCTTCATCTGGCTGCGGGTCCTCTGTTGGTTTCCCAAAAAAAAGTCTGGCAAAAATGTAGGAGTTTCCAAGCACAGCTGCACCGTTTTCAGTCAGTCACTGTAGTCTGATCGAATCATATTGCTGCACGTCTCACTCTCAGAATGTCCTTTGCTGGAACTGCAACACGTTTCGGCGGCATGGGTGCGGGAAGGATGAAAGTCACAAAGGGGCTTGAGCCAAATGCTTGATGATGTTGATGAGCAGGAAACCCCAGTGCCTGTCTTGAGTTGGTTCCTGCATTGAAAAGGTGCAACCATCCCCTGTGCCACTCATCAAACCTACGCCAAAATGACTCAAGGCCAGACCTCTTCCATCGAGCGAGGCTGAGAGTGGAACGCTCCATTGAAGGAGAAGGCTACATCCTGTACTCTCCGTAAGTCCTGAACATTTGGGCCGTCAACTTTACACTTCCGGGTCTCAACTTACAACATCTATAACAACACATTTGCTAATCAGCTGCCTTATTCTGGGTGAACTTGCAAAGCTGCCCATCTTTTTCAACCTGGAGGCCTTCCAAAGTTGCTGGAATCCACCAAGGCTCACTCCTCGGCCGACAACTTTGGGAAATCAGCAAGGCCACAATGATCCACTGCTTGACCAACACCTGGCCATGGTGCAGGGTCCCCTTGGCGACGATTTCAACTTGGAGGAAGTTGGAGGCCACAAAAAAAAATGACCAAAGTACAGCCGTTCATTTCCTTTTTGTGATAAAGGAAACCCGTGGATTTGAGGTTATCCCTGGCCGTTATCCCATGAAAACTTGGGCCAACCCTCAACACCCAAGAAAGTGCCATTCCAAGAGCAACTCACGAGGGGCCTGCCAGCGTCTCGTCACTTGGAGTTGCCAGAAGACCTTCGGGCCTCACAGCGACCGGGGCATTTCCTGGAGACCCTAAGCCGTCCCGTAGATGACGGAAATATAACTGAGATGTCCATTGATGGTTGGGCTTGGCTTGCTTCCCCAAAATGGCCAAACGGCGTGAAAGTTCGGTTCTCTGTCCCTATTCTGAGATCCCTTGAGGCCATTGCGTGACTGCAATGTGTCTGAAGGCGTGGAACATGGCCGTTGTCAGGGCCTGACATTTGGAGAGCGGATGGTATTCCAAAATCTTCGAAACTCTTGGGAAATCAGACGGTACCCAACCTGATTCCCGAAATCCAAATAGAGGTCAAGATTACGTCCCAAGTTTGAGGTCCAAATACCGCCTAGTTTCCCACAGAACGCGCGGTGAAATCAAAACTATCTTTATTTTACAGGTCAAACCACAAAAAGGACTGTTCTGACCAGGGTCCAGCCAAATCTGACAACCTCATTGAATTTGATAGCCATCGTGTTTTTTTCACAGTTTGGGTCGCTTGCTTCGGCACATTTCTGGGCCCACTGCCATTAGGAGGAGAAATCCTAGCAGAACACTCAACCTCGGACGAAAACAGGGGTTCGGGCATCTGGATAGTAACTGTTTCTGGTACATGGGCTGACCAGTCCAAACCCCTGATCATCCAAGCATAGCTCAGAGCTTTGTTCCTTTTGTTCCTATCATTCTTTCACGTCTTTAAATGTCTTTGAGTTTTGTGTGGAATCATGTGGATTTGAGGCTTGAGTTTGACCATCCTGAGGAGCATCACAGAACAGCTCCAGCTATCGCTCGGTCGCGACCTGGGCCAAGCCCAACTACCCCACCTGTCGCCTCCCGAATTAATGCCCAGTTTAGGGTCAAACCCTTTGGAACACATGACTGCGCTTTAGTTTGTTCACCCACCCGGAAGCTCTGATTTGAATTCCTCACTGCTGTAGGACCCACTGTAGGAAACATTTTTTTTGAACAACGAGAAAGTCCTGCTTGAATACCTTGAATACCCCATCGGACATGTTCACTTTTGGATGAGAATCACGGGAAAAATCCAAGTCGCTGGAGCCACTGGAGTCCCTTGAAAAGCGCCTCGGCACACGTGATGCCTTCCGTCGCTGACCAAGAGCATTGAGAGTCCTAATGCACCATGCACAGGGTGTTCCAAGCTGCAGACTTGCCACTGTCCACTTTGGGCTCAGTCCTGCTAAAGCTGAAACTTGGGGCATCAGGAAAATGTGCCTTGTATTGACATATCATATTTGGATAGGTTTTTTGGAAAATTGGGATGCACACCCCACCGGTTGTGCCACGACGTCGGTCCAACTTCCCTCGCCTCACGTCGACTGCCTCAGCTCCATCCACTGGAGGAGATACTGCAGTGGCATCATCCGCCATGGCAGCAAAAGGAAAGCTACACAGGTCGTAGTTCTGAGAGAACTGGTAAAGCTACAACAGGTCTAGTGCATCTCATGGGGAAGCAAGGTTCAGCGATCAGGCAAGTCATGTCTTTCTTTGACTTGTTCTGTGGATCTCTGAACCCAGCAGAAATACTGGAAACGATCAGAAATCAGAAATGCCTTTCCCGGAAAGGTCTGATATTTCATGATATTTCATTATATTTCATGAAATTTCATCTCCATCTTCATGGCCTTGGCTTGGTCTGTTCTGGGTCAAAGTTTGGAAGCACTGAAGCTGCAGGCCACAGAAAGTGGCTAGTCCACCTGTTCTTCTGCAAGATGCAACCAAAAGTCAGGTGACGTGGCCACTCCATAGAAAATGTGTGGCTGTGCAATGCCTCCCACTGGTTTGAACTTGAACATCATTGAACACCTATGCTGTGGGACAATAGCACAAGAGTGAATTGCTGCCGCTCCTTGTCACTCAGTGGGTCTGCATGTTCTATCTTCACTACTATACTGACTGTTTGTCAGAGAACCCAAGCGAAACCAAATATTGCTATTTCGTGAACTAGTTCACAATTCCACGGCACGACGCCTGCAAGTTTCAGCAACACAAGAGATATGTAGTCGAAAAGCTTGGCATGCCAACGGAGAAAAAGAAGCAAACTAGAACTTATTATGTATTAAATGCAAGATTCAAAGTCAGACATAGTTACTCGACCGGTCAACAGCTCTTGCAGACTCACTTTTCGCGTTTCTCCCTCAACTGCAAATTCTGGAAAGCAAGGGTCAAAGCACTGCTGGCTGCTTGCTCCATTTGATGCATCAGATTGTCCCTCTCACAACGAATAAAAATTGGTAACCCTACTATCTAGGTCAATAAATTGATCTAGGCTTGTCTGGGACATGCTATGGTTGTTCACTTTGTGAGACCATAGGCCATGAATTGCGCACCCCCAGCCATCTCCAGCCGTGGCATGAAAATCGAAAATCGGCCTACGGAGGCCCAAACTGTACAGGCTGCAGCACAAATTCAAATCTGAGCCAACGCTGGGCTCCCAAAAACAGGTTCCCATCTGGGAAACGGAAGCATCACTTCAAGAAAGTGATTGTTCAAAAAAGACATATTATATATATATAACTACTGTATAGATACTCTTGCTGCGCCGAATTACAAGGTTGTTCGCAACTTCGGTTGCAGCCACTTTCAGCTCACCCACTCTTCAGAAGTTTCATGAACTCTGCAAAGTCCAACTCCGCCTCTTCATTCAGCGTGTCTGGAAGGATGCTATCGCAATCCTCGATCACCTTGCAGACACTTTTTCGACCCGCTTGAGTGATTCGACAAATGATACCAACAAGTGCAGATTTGTTGACAATACCAGAAGTTGTAGCAAAAAGGTATCAAAGCCGTTACATCATGTCACATCTATATAAATCCACCGTATGATTTTGGATGTCATCTTTTTATTGCAGGCAAGACAGATCGCCAAATCACCCTGCCCATCTCCATGGAGGTGATAGTACCATTCCCATCCAAATCAAAGCCGCGAAAGGCCGCCAGAGCTAAATCCTTGCGTTCTTCGATGTTGTGGTCCATGATGGCAGCCAAAAACTCTGTATATGCAATGGTTCCTGGAAAGGGCAACTGGAAACCGCTCACTTCTGGGGCGGCCAAAATGCAGCGAAACGAAAAAATTACACCACCGTAGACCCCAAACAGTGGGTGGATTCAAGACGTGTTGAGGAACAGGGTCAAACACATGACATGAGAAAGCATTAAGAACCCCTAACCGTAAACTGTTTGGAAAAAATGCAAAATGAGACCACCCACCACAAAGGGAAACAAGAAGAGAGACAAACTGGGAGACAATATAGGAGACAAGACCTTGGGAAGGCGGACACACCATCCAACACCAAGGCGGACACCTTAAGAAAGCCTACCCCAACAGTACATTGTTTGAAAAAATGCAAAATCAGACCACCCACCACAAAGGGAAACAAGAAGAAAGACAAGTTGGGAGACAAGCTGGGAGACAAGCTGGGAGACAAAGGAGAGAAAACCTTGGGAAGGCGGACACACCATCCAACACAGGTCACATGTGGGGACAACATCCAACACAGGCACACGTGTGGGGAGACAATGGGAGACAAGGCCTCTTGAAGGCGGATATGATCTAAGGCGGAGACACCATCCAACACAGGCACCAATGTGGAGAGACAATGGAAGACAATGGGGAGACAAGACCTCGGAAGGCGGTCCAGCACAGCACACATGTGGGGAGACAATGGAAGACAATTGGGGGGACAATGGGAGACAATGGGAGACACGGGGAGACAAGACGTCAAGAAGGCGGACACACCATCCAACACACGCACACATATCTAGGGCATCTAGGGAGACCTGACCTTGTCTCCGAGCTCTTTGATTGGATGTGTCCAGTGCCCGAATGATACAGTACAAACCTTAACATCATGATCGAGTGATTCAACCCCAGCTCCTTTACACTGTGCATCCAGCACCTTTACAGCCTCGGCCACCCACTGATGCCCAGAACTTGGGGATGCAGGAGCAAAGGTCAAATACTCCATGAGGTCCGTCAAAGGCACTTCGCCTTGATGATGAACATCTACTTTTTGGAAAATACATCGGAGCTCTTCATGTTCATAGGACCCTAGGTGCCGAGCAGCAGCCAGCAGAGCAGCTCGCTTGAACTTGGAGAGTTTGCTGAAAGCTCGTAAGCGTGATGCAATGGTGGAGCTGGAGTGTGGAGTAGGGCCACATTGAGGATCAGCATCAGCTAACCAGCGATGTGCCAGAAGATTTTTGGCCCCAGGACGAACTCGGAAATCAATCAAAAGACATTGTTTCACGAAGTCGGCAGCCCAAAAGGACGATGTAGATGATTTCAACTTCGGAAGCAGGGTGCCCTCTGCAATAAATTTGCTCATGTCTTCCATGTCGTATGGAAGCTCCCCTTCCAGCAATGTATGTATGCAAACACCCAAAGACCAAATGTCACACCGCAGATCGTAAAAGTCTGGGAAACAATTTACATCTACTCTGCTTGGATTTGCCACTTCTTGGTTCAAGATGCTGATGACTTCTGGCGCCATATATTCCTCAGCTTTGGGTGCTTTGCCAAACATATTCTGACCCACACGTGCACCTGTGATGTTTAACTGCATAATAACATTACAGTAGAAAATCTCAGAAACGAATGTCCACATTCCCACATTTCAAACCTTAAAGCCTTAAAGTCATCATCCGCCAACGCGACGCCGAAGCTTCAGGAGTCCCTGCCACTGACCGAATCTTGATCAACTGCTTGGGAGCTCTGTGGACCACCGGCTCCGAGCTGACTACACTGCACTCCGTCGACATGGCCGACCTGTTATTTATTGGCCACGCGGCATGGCTCAGCATTGCAAAAAAAAAACGAACACTGTGTTATCACCATTTTCTAGAAATGATTCAAAATGACATAAAACCAGCATTTCTATCTCCCTTACCCTTCTTGCAAGTGAAAACATGACGTAGATTGCATGGCACACTGACATGGGACAACAAAGTGCTATCTGAAACAACTTGGGGCTTTCACCCAGAATGCCTCTAGAAAATGCATCCAAAATTTGGAAACACCGTAGAAAATGGGTCCGGAAAGTGCGCCTAAACGCACCCATTTTCTATGGGAAATTCGGACGGGAATGCACATACATATATACTATGCAGCAGGTATTACACTATATATTACTATATACAGCAGACATCAGCAGATAGTTTTGCAGACATACACCATACATTCCACTGCGTTCCACATCCCAATGTGTTAACACAGCTCGCCTGGACTTCGGGATCTCGTCTTCAAAAGCCCCTCCACCCAGGGCAGTGGCGCGGGCCGTGCTCCACTGAAGGCGCTTGGAGACGATATGGGCAGAACACCTGAGAACGAAGAAATTCTGCGCCTATCGGACAATCCCCGATGATCAGAAAACTCTAGAGATATCATGAGATATCATGAGATGTTAACGATTTTTTCTATGAACATCTGTCGACGACAGATACTCCGTGTCTCCCTGGAAGAATACATACCATCATGGCACGACCATCAACGACAGTGCCATGATTGAAATCCTGCAAGCGGGCCGGGCACTGTTTGGAGAGGCCAAAATCTGCCACGCGGATGGGCGAATCCACAGATCTTCTAAGGAAGAGGATGTTCTCCAGTTTCAAATCCCGATGGCAAACGCTCCTGGTATCCAGGCGCCAAGGTTGGCCACAGAGGTCACCAAAAAGACCATCAACATTAACAGATATTAACAGTCGTAAGCAGCTGGCTTGTACCTGCAACAACCTGGTAACCTGGTTTAAGACTCTACGAGCCAGGTGCTGGGTTCATCGCAAATGTCGGAAATGCATGGCGATATTCAAAATATGCAAAGTTTGACAGACTATGAGACTACGGCAGAGGGACTCATCAAAGTGTCCGAATCACCACCAAAAAAAAGACCATGGTGCCCTTTCAAGCCGCCCAGATCCTGGAGTGACAATGAGCGAGTACGCCGGTGACTTCTTGGGCAATCCTGCGAATCAAAGTCTCTTGGCCTTTCAGATCATGAAGCCACTCCATCAGATTCCCACCCAAACAGGCTTCTGTCACCTTGGTGCGCTGTCAATGCCGGTGAGAAGTAGTTTGGCAGAAACTTGTGTTGGGCACAAACATGGAATTGAAATGAATTGAACAGAAGGTTAGAAGATGTTAGAAGCACTGACTCCTTCCTTCCGCTGCAGCGAGTGTATTTTCCAACCCAGACCACCAGGTGCAACTGAGTTGCAATGTAAAAGCTACATCTGTCCTCATAGGCTTCCAGAAATCGGAGGATGTTGGGATGATCCAAGTCCGACAGGATGTTGATTTCAGACCAAAGTTGATCCACGTCTTCGATCGAGGAACGAGCCATCTGTTTGATGGCCACCGCTTTCTTGCTATCATAACAGCTCTTTCCACGGAAAACACGACCAAAAGAACCTCGTCCAAGCTCATCTTCTTCAGACCAAACAAAATGATCATGCACAGTTCCTGCAGGGCCCTGCCACAGTACGAAATGGTGCCACTGCACCTATCAAAAAAAAAAAACTATTAAATTAAAAGAATTACAAAGAAGTGGAGTTTCGGGGTGTACTAAAGAATTACATTCTCCACCGGAAACACTCACCAAATCTTGGCCATTCAAGCAGAAATGGCAGGGCTCAGTTTGAAGTACTGGTCCTATTTTTTCTGGCTGCGGGATCGGAAAACCTGGAGAGAACTAACATTCAACCCAGAATTTGCTTAACAGTCTCTTCGACCTTCGACGATTTGGCTTTGTGTGTGTGTGTGCCTTTGTTGGCTTCCTTGCGGCACTTTCATTTCTCCCATGTTCAGCTTGTTTCGTCTTTGTTTTGTCTTCGCTGTGTCTTCGACCCCTTTCAGGCTCCGTGTGCGACTGGAAAATTGTTTCACCCTCGGATTGCAATCATTTACAAGAATCCTAAAAATGCTCTGTCGGCAGTCCCAAATCCTTGTTTGGTGGATAATTACTCGAAATTTGGGAAACCACACCACTTGATTTCTATTTCGGACTTCTGCACACGTTCCCGCCCTTCCTTCTTGGAAACCTCTCTTCAATCTCCGCCAATGAATCACACCAGAGCCTCTGCTCCCATGTTCTCGGGCAGTCACAGCTCCCGGTAGACAGTCAAGATCTTCCAAGGAATCGCGCGGTGTCCGTCCTCCAAGGTGTGAACATCGATACACGCCATCTACTTTCGTGAGATGTCATGAGTAGTTGGAAACGGCACTACCACATTTATGTTCATGCCCTAACCTGAAAATTATTCTATTCAATCTCAAAACGACGCTCGTGTCCTTGTGCTGACTCGCCCTTCAGGTTCAATCGGGACACTTCGATGCTCGGAGAAATCACTGGATGGCTGGCTGATGAGTGGAGCATCCCTGATGCGCGCAAGCCAGCTCTGGTTGCAATGATCGCTGGTTAATGGTCAGGGGTCCTGAATTTTCTAAGGAAAAGATAATGGCAGATCAACACAAAGGCTGCCTTCCCAGTCCATTGAACCAAATCACAGGACGGCTGTGTTCTGGGTAAACGCAGAACGGAGGGCTAATGATGCATTATGCAGCTACTTTTGGTAGCATTGGTTGTTCTACAGACATGACGCCCGCTAACCCGATCCTTGTGGCACCACGAAACTCCACCCAAGCTGCAAATCCTGCTTCTGTTTGCTTTATCCAAGCTTCCCCATTCACCTATTGTCCAGACATGTCCAAAACCCGATTGGCACACCATCCACCACCTTCCCTTAAACCCCGCCTGCCAGGCGCGTGCTGTCGCCATCCGCCTCGACCCCGAGGTCGTTCAACTCCAAAGGTCGCGTGAAGGCGCGACCTGTGCGACGGAAGCGATGTGCGGGCGGCTCGGTGGGTGGAGCGATGGGGTGATATGCCATGGCTTGGTGGCTGCAGCTGGTGATTTTGAACCAATTTGAATATATTGAATATTGGTTCAATTCAGTGCTTGATTTTCTGCACAGAAAGCTTCATATCACGATAGGTGTGCATCATTCTGCTCTTGACACCCATGTGCAGTTGGACGCAGTTCATGTCTACCATGAGTTGGCTCTGAGCCAAGTCTGAGAAGAGGAAATGGCCACCAAAGGCGATCGGAATTAACCTCGCAACACTTAAAGGGCTGATGGCTGGCTATTTTGGAATGAAGCACTTCAATATCTTCACCTGATGCCAAACAGTACTGATGCTTGCCAAGAGAGATTTGGGTTTCAGTAAACCATGGTTTCCAAGCCGCAAAACTGGACTAGGGCTTTGCTTCGATCAGATCCACTCATTATAGATCCACTCATCCAGTCTATGACTCCAAAGAATCCAATGAGGCCTTGATCAGCGTGTTGTAGTCATTGTCTTGCCGTTCCCGTCAACTTGCGGCCAATGCTGAATTGGATTGAATTGGCATGTACACTTGACACTGCTCGTGGCGCAAAGCATGGTTGGATATGCAAAGGTGATACCCCAGTAACCTGACATGCAATGGTGTGTTGCTGCATGAACTAGCGATATCCACGGTGGAAGTGTTGCAGAAAACGCCAAACGCGGATGACCTTCAGACCTAGAGACTGAAAATGACCAAGACCATAGATAGCTTACCAATCGAAAATAGTAAACCTCGCAAATTACAGGCTAGCTGGTAATTTTGGTGGCTGGATACACATTCGACTCCGCACAGGGCGCACCGTGGATAGCAAGCAGTAATGACCTTTGTCAACAGGGATTTGAGGTTTCAGTGAGCTATGGCCGCAAAGCAACAGAACGGTTTCACTTTCTGATGGTCCCATTCAGTCCTGACTCCACAGCCGATCACTAGAGTTTCGATATGGCTATGTCCGAACATGGTGTATAACCCCCAATTGACATTTTAATATATATCCGCCGACCCCCCCGGTCAACGCAAGGGAGCGCGCCAGGGTAGTAGTACTACTGCTGCTGCTGCTGCTACTACTACTACTACTCCTACTACTCCTACTACTCCTGCTACTACTACTACTACTACGACGACTACGGGCAGGACTGAGGGTTGTCCCGGAATGGTCGTATGAACGTCAGTGGGAAGCTCATTTCTCTGCCCAGGCGCAGTGTTCTACGACTCTGGTACATCTGTGGGTTAGCGTGGTCTAAGACGACTTTTTGGAAAAATCAGTCAGAAAAGTGAACCCTCTGCGGACTTCACACGTTTCGGCCATTTCCACTTTTTCAATCTTTTTCACTTCTTTGGCGAGCCCGGAATTTATAACTTATGTAAACCCTAAATGAAATCCCTTAATAGAAGTATGCGTATATGTTCCATGGGGCCGGGAGATTTTATAACTTACGTAAACCCTAAATGAAATCCCTTAATAGAAGTATGCGTATATGTTCCATGGGGCTGGGAGATTTTATAACTTACGTAAACCTTAAATGAAACCCCTAATAGAAGTATGCGTATATGTTCCATGGGGCCGGGAGATTTTATAACTTACGTAAACCCTAAATGAAACCCCTAGTAGAACTATGCGTAGGACGTCACTGTTGTTATGACAAGGAAATCCCCTGGCACCAATGGGTTGCTAGCCCCGCTCTCGGGTATGGCCCTCCGGGCCAAGGGACAACCCCTTGTCCTGTGGGTACTACTACTACTTCTACTACTACTACTACCACCACTACCACTACCACTACCACTACCACTACCACTACCACTACCACACTACCACTACCACTACCACTACCACTACCACTACCACTACCACTACCACTACCACTACCACTACCACTACCACTACCACTACCACTACTACTACTACTACTACTACTACTACTACTAGTACTACTACTACTACTGCTGCTGCTGCTACTGCTACTGCTACTGCTACTGCTACTGCTACTGCTACTGCTACTACTACTACTACTACTACTACTACTACTACTACTACTACCAGTACTCCTGCTACTACTACTGACACTACTACCACTACTACTACTACTACTACTACTACTACTACTACTACTGCTACTGCTACTGCTACTGCTACTGCTACTACTACTACCACCACTACCACTACTACTACCACTACCACTACCACTACCACTACCACTACCACACTACCACTACCACTACCACTACCACTACCACTACCACTACCACTACTACTACTACTACCACCACTACTACTACTACCACTACTACTACTACCACTACCACTACTACCACTACCACTACTACTACTACTACTACTACTACTACTACTACTACTACTACTACTACTACTACTACTACTACTACTACGCTACTACTACTACTACTACCACCACCTACTACTACTACTACTACTGCTGCTACTACTACTACTACTACCACCACTACCACTACCACTACCACTACCACTACCACTACCACTACCACTACCACTGCTACTGCCACTACCACTACCACTACCACTACTACCACGACCACGACCACGACCACGACCACGACCACGACCACGACCACGACCACGACCACTACCACTACCACTACCACTACTACTACTGCTCCTACTGCTGCTGCTGCTGCTACTGCTGCTGCTACTGCTACTGCTACTCCTACTACTACTACTACTACTACTACCACCACCACCACCACTGCTACTACATCTACATCTACATCTACATCTACATTTGGGCGCTGTCTTTTGAACAGCAGCAGCAGCTAAAATAATCATTTTCTATGGATTTCAGAAGTTACGTTAGGGACCTTTTGGGGTGCAATTTTGATGCTTCTCCGTCCTTCACTGCCATGGTGCTTTCCCATCCGGGAGCTGTCTTTTGAAAAACAGCAGCAGCAGGAGGAAAAAGTCACGTTCTATGGGTTTCAGAAGTTACGTTAGGGACTTTTGGGGTGCAATTTTGATGCTTCCCCGTCCTTCATTGTCATGGTGTTTTCCCATCCGGGAGCTGTCTTTCGAGCAGAAGCAGCAGCAGCAGCACAACACCAACACCAGTGGCATGGTGTTTGTGTGGCGAGGGATACTTTTTGGAGGCCTGCAGCAGCACGAGGAGCAGCAGCATTAGCAAGAGCAGCAGCTCTTGAAATTGGTTTGTATGGGTTTCAGAAGTTACGTTAGGGACTTTCGGGGTGCAATTTTGATGCTTCTGCGTCCTTCACTGCCCAGTGTTTTCCATCCGGGAGCTGTTCACGGGGAGCAGTCATTCGTTTCCGGAGATGATGGAATTTCTGGAGTTTCCACATCCGGATCCACCGATAATTCAGCATGGAACCGCTTGTGCGGAGGAGACTCATCACCTCGAAGAGGACTGACACCACCATGGCATGCATCATTGGAGTTCATTTCGCAGAATCTGCGTTCCGTCTCCGCAGACACTCACAGGAGAAGTTGGCTGGGACACTGGCATCTCCAAATGATGCTCTTCCTGTCCACACAGGTTTTCCATCCTCTCGGACCTCATGGCAGCTTCTTCTTGCACGGCTCGGTTGACTTCATCTTCTGTCCAGAAGGTCAATCGTGCACATGTTTCCATAGCATCATAGATTTGACTTGTAGGAACCACCCTTTGCCCATTGCCAAGAAGCCAGGAGCGAAAGAGCAAGTAAGCAGAGGTGATTTCTGCTGTCAATGAATTCCGGCGACACCAAGAACGCCACAAGTCCTGGAGAAGCGGAAGGCAGCTCGGCAAGCGACGAAAGGCAGACCATTGCTAGCATCATCGACGAATGCCTCTACAAATCGATTCGGTGTGGCGAAGTCTAGCAGGACGTTCATCGTGTCATCCAAGAAGCGAAACATCGCAAAATCTGATGCTGTCTGAAGAATGAATTGCGAGCCAAACGCGGCAAAATGATCAGCGCTAGGCACACAGACACTTGCACGCGGTGCTCTGCGGTCACCATTGCAAGGCACGGTCACAGATATGGAAAAGTGAAGAGGCAAGCAACGCGTATAATGACAAAACCAAGGCCTTTCCGAACTGTTCGTGAATCATGTCATGTCATGGCACCAAGAAATGATACTCCATAATCCGTGAAAACCTGGATCATGCACACAAGAACATAACAGCCCCAGGAAGGTAAAGGCTGCGGTCCATGCTCAAGAAGTTCACTCAAGAAGTCAGACAAGACCATGCATCTGTGAACGTTGACATGAGTTCTAAAGTCAAGCACAACTTACGTCCCATACTGGCTTCATGTCCGTCCATGTCTGCAGTGGCTCGCAGAATTGACACTTATATATTGTTAATGAATATGTTTATATATATATATGTATTACTTTATATATACTTGAAAAAGAATTTTAAATGTAAATATAGACATATATATATATATATATATACGTATAGATACATATATTTGGAAAAACTGGAAAGTATATACACGTCGACGCATACATATACTTATATATATATAATCATATCCGGTGAGCCAGTCTCACATTCGCCATCCATCACACTGGGACGCCGCCCCCGCTCTGGGCTCGCATACCTTGCGTGCAAGGAGGCAAACATAAAGACAAAACGAGTGACACAACCAAACAAGGGAGAAGCACCCAACGGACCCACCCCTTAAAAGTAACTTTGAACATCTATCGAAACTGCATCCATATCTCATAACATATAAGTTCTTTACTCAGACAACACAAGGAACATAACGTAACATAAAAATTCTTTCGTCAGACAACACAGGGAACAGAACGTAACATTTCAGTTCTTTACTCAGACAACACAAGGAACAAAACGTATCACATAAGTTCTTTACTCTGACAACACAAGGATCATATCATAACATAACATATAAAGTCTTTACTCTGTCAACACAAGGAACATAACGTAAGATGTAACTTCTTGACTCGGTCAACACAAGGAACAGAAGGTAACATATAAGTTCTTTACTCAGACAACACAAGGAACATAACGTAACATCTA